GCCGTGCAGAGAGTGGCTCGATGACATAACGGAATGGTGTCAACGTAGTGGACATGACTTGTTCCACCTTGCGCAAGATAGACGGGCATGGAAAAATCTGATCCCGTAAACGGTTGGACCCAACGGGCGCCAAGCCTATGGGATATGATGATGATGATGAACTTTTCATATCCTTGACATACATAAACATCACATCAATCCTAATTTTAATTAAGATCATAAGTACGAACTATATAAATGCATTTGATTTAATTAATAGATTCATTTTCTTTTTGTTTTCGTTCTCATTTAACATCAAAGATATAAAAAATTCGTGTATCTTTTGAAAAACTACTTTATTTAATTGACATTTGGTTGAAATCTCATGTTGATACATTTCTTTAGGAAAATTCAAATTAAGCATAATTCTATGATTTGAACGGAAACTGATGACATACATAACAAACATAGTACGCCTATTTATGGAAAAATAACTATCAAAACAACAGTAAGATACTTTATTACAAATACACTATTAGATGCATTCATAGTTATTGATAATACTAATAATAGTTTACGAAAACTACTCTTAATCATACCACTTTGTATTTTTTCTTGAGGTCTATATTCAAAGTGTATATGATTATCAGGACGTTATTGTAAAGAAATTGCTGTTGGCATATGGAGAAACACGCTTAAAGAAATCAAACTTTGAATATAATATATCTAATTTAATCAACAAACAATTAATCTAATATTTAAATTCTAATAATTCTAATCATTCATAAAATATCTTTAAAAGAAATGTCCGATTAATAATATATGAACATTTATTTACAAATCGTGACTGATATAGATTAAAGATAACGAGCATGAAAGAACTTGGACGTATACAATCGAGATTGATTTAAATACTTCTGGATTAAATAATTTTATTTATATAAAAAAAGTATAATTTGTAGATTATAAATGAGATTTTCTTTTTAATATAAGAATAGAAGAAAAATCATTAAAAGATTATCTGAAAGATTATGTTAATTGAAAATGATAATATATACTGAATATAGGAATTTTTGAACACAATTAATCCACCCGATGTAAAATTTTGTGTGTGTGATGTTTGGAATGTTAGTGTACTTATTGTTGATGATTTTATTTCATCTGTCAGTTGTGAGGATTGTCTAGTGCTCAAATCTGATGATGAACTCTGATGATGTTTTGATGTTGATGTATCAGTTTCATCAGTATAGATTGAATTTTCTGGTATAGAACTCGATTGTGTAACTGAAGTAACAGTTGAATTCATCATGGTTTGAGTCCTATCGGATTGTGATGTAGTCATCTCTGTTGAAATTATACTTGATAAAGATAATGTTGATGGTAATTGAGTTGATCTGAGAATAATTTCGTATGTTACATTTGATTCCAATGGTGTCTTATCAAAAATATGTATGGAGTCTTCGATCAGATCACCTGTTTGTAAATGATCTATATTATGAGTAAGCCATGTATTGATAGTAATATCTATATTATTATTTATGCGTTTTGAAGATATTAGGAGATATTGTGGATATAAATTTTGAAAAATAATATGAATAAAAGATGAATCTAATGTTTGATTATGATTTACAATGATAATTAATCGTTGTGTAAAATAATCTATTGAATAATACTGAATGAAACTTGAAACAAGATGAACAGGAAAAGAAAGAGTAGCATTTGTACTACTATACACACGTTCTTTACCATCTAATTCATTGACAAGATAATCATATTGACTATCATTAAGTTGAGAAAGTAGAATATCGAGTGAAACAATTTTTTGTAAACGATATGTTGTTAATGAATTAATTAAAGATAGTTTAGAATCACCATTTGGATTTGTTTGTATATAAGATGCCGTAAAATTTCTGAAATATCCCTTAAAAGAGGAAAGAAATGTCCAAGTGACTATTGATGTTGTAAATGGAGATAGATCACCAAATGTAGTCGATAATTCAACATTGAACCGTTGTTCTTTATTGACTTTCATCCCTATGATTCGAAAATTAATCGGTAAACCTTTTTGATTATCAACAATTGTTGGTTGTCCACTAGTGATTCGAAAGTTTTCTACTAATCCATATCCATTATTTGTAATAATTACGGCAAGAATAAATGGTTGTGAAGCAATGGATTCGTTTGAAAGTGGATCAAGACCGATAATATTTTGTTCAAGAAAATATGCGATATCAAGACGAGCTTCTGGTTCTACAAAAATTGAATCTGGTTGAAGAGTTATGTTAACAACTTCTCCATCGATTGTATATGAAAGTTGACCACCTACTCTATATAGAGTAGTTTGTATAGGTGCAGCAGATGAATATGGAATAAGTAACCAATTCATTTGACCAGTACCACCAGGAAGTAAATTTGTATTGTATAGATCGCCAGTGATTTGTGGATCACCAATACTAAATCTATCAGTTGCATTGGTTTGATTTTCTGTATAAACTATCAAAGTAACATGGATATTATATAATGTATCTCCACCACTATTATCGATTATTAATTCAGCATTAAAACCTTGTCGAGTAATTGTGAATTGTTGTAAAATTCTAATAGTGACTGTTGCACAAACACCGATAGGAGAATCACTAAAAACTTTTAGATAATTGTTAAAAATATTCAATTGTGCTTCTATTATATTTGAGTAACCTAATGAATATGTATAATTCGTGTCTCTATAATATTGTGATAAACGTCTATCAAATTCAGATCGATTCATAAAAGGAAGATAATTATTTGCTAAACTATTCGATTCATTAATACCCAATGAATAAAAAGATATTGTTCGATTATAATATAAAATACGATCGTGAGTTTGAGTTCGATTAACACATTGATGTGGAATTAATATTAAATCATTATATTCTTGTATACTTATCAAATAACCTTCATCACTTGTTAATTGTTGTGATCGACGAAATGCATCTTCCCATGAATCATCAACACAATCGAGATCAAGCCAATCTGCATTTCCATAACCGAGGATAAACATTTCTCGAAAATTATCCATAATAGGAATGATAGATGCTAATTGAGATTTTGCAATTTCTGCATCATTGCTAAGAGAACGTCGTTTTCGTTGTTCGGAATTTGAAATTAAAGATAAACAATCGCCAACAATATCTTTGAAGCAGATTATTTCTCCAAGCCATGGTATTTTTCGAAGTAATTGTTTTAATTCATTGCTACAATCCACAAATTCACTCAATATGTTTAACACCGTTAATATTGCGCTTAAGATACGTGTTACATTAGATGTGGACGATGACGCAGTGTAGTTATAAAGCTTCCATAGCATATTAATTGCTATATGAAATAAGAAAACGACACATGGTGATTTTCGCTACATTATTTTCTAGTCTGAGTTAATATGAGATTATTATAACATTCAATTTCTTTTCAAAAAATAAAGGTTACTCAAACTCTAACTGTATAGATGATTATGTTGAGACAGAAAAGCAATAAGGGATGATAAGAGTCTATGTAATGTCGCCAATATTTCTTTTCGCCAACAGTAGTTTCGCCAATGACGAGTTTCCTGGCGAAAATTATCCGTTAAGTGAGTCATTAATGTAAAATCTAGCTTAAGTTCAATATCTTTGAGGGTGAAGGTGAGTTCCGGTTATTGTGAGATAAGAAGTAATAGGAAATGAACACGTTGATAGTGTTCAAAGATACGGACAGACATAACGCTGCTTCTCAGTTAAATATATATCATTAGAAGTGAAATAAACAGAGATCATATAGTAAAATATCATATAAAGCCTTTTCACTGTCTGTTCATATGTATAATAGGCTCATTTTAGTTTTTCAAAAGCCATATTTAGTATGATACTGTTTAGTTAGAATATTATCTGTGATTAGCGAAATCGCAGTTGAATTTCGCCGAAAAGATACAATCAAATCTGATATCTGAATTCGCCAATCGGCGAAGAGGAATATTGGCGACGATAGACTAGTCCGATGAGAACATCTGGGCTAAAACAAATGGTCACATTTATGAACTAGAAGAAATATTACTTACTACAGTGGTAAATTTCCTTTGCCGCTTCCAATAGATGTATAACTTCCTTTGCCACTTCCCTTCGATGTGTAGCTTCCTCTTCCACTTCCCTTCGATGTGTAGCTTCCTCTTCCACTTCCACTGAAGGTATATGAAGGCGTGAACCAATACATTCACGGATACTATTCACACAACTTTCGCATGTTGAGCTTTTAGATAGAAAAGATATGACTTGTGTTATTATACTGTCACTATTGTCTCCGCCACCTAAATAAATTTCGTTTCCCCAAGTACCTTCACCGTTTCCATTTCCTCCAGAACCCAAATAATTTCCATTACCCCACATATCTATAATATTCTGCCCACTACCTGAAATATTTACTGTACTATATCCACCTCTAATCCATTCGTTTGGAGATGTAATATATTGAAGTAATGACTTAATATACTTAAATACAGGAAGATGTCCATCGATACGACGTAAGCCAGCACAAAAATAGGAAGCTTCAAATTTTGCTACAACTTCCGTAAGTGATTCGCGTTTTACTCGATGATTACTAAGATGTTCTATCATCACTGCAATGACAATTGACGAATTAGCTTCTATACTGCTACTAATTGTTTCTCTAATGGAAAATTTGAAATTTGAAATAGAATCTGGCAAATAGAATTGAAAATTATCTAAGCGAATAAGACCATAGTTAGTAAAAGTCAAATCAATTTGAGTTATATTCTCATTCTTTGCCAATTCATCAAGATCAATAATCGTCGGCGAAATTACAAGTACAGGTGCAGGAACATAAGCTACATATTCCGCTTCTAATGATATACTATACGTTTGTTCAAGTGAAACTTTAGTAACTGAAAAAGTATATGAAACAAAGATACGTTGTAGAAAGATAACAATGTCTTGATTAAATGTTGTATCTCGATCAATTCTTATAATAGTTTGATATGATGAATGTTTTAATGCTTGAGCTCGAATATCATAAATACCTGCTGTAAGTGTTATAGTAGCATATCCTGTTTGATTACTCTGAAGAATGTATTTTTCATTAAGAAATTGATTGGTTATTGTAATAGTTACATTAGGTAAATTGACTGGATTATTACCAAAATAAGAGAATTCATCTTTACAAACAAAATTTATATCAAATAATGTTCTATTACTTCCAATAATAGTCAATTCGATATTGAATGATTGAGATATCGAATATGTAAGATCTCGAACTGATCCTCGCACATTAAATACGCTTAATGGTGCTGAATCGGGTATTTGAATTAACAAAATAAATGAAGCATTTTCAGATTTATTGACTTTCGGAATATTTGTTGTTAGAACAGATATATATGTTTGATTCGGTAAAGTAACTGTTAAAGGTCCTAAAGGAAATGAGCCCGTATTAAAAACTGTGATTGATAAAAACTTTTGTGAATTTCGAGAAGTAATCAAATTCGTCAATGTTGGATTTATAGTAAAATATGCACGATCAGCGATTACATTGACTGGAAAAGAAAGTACAATTGATTTGATAATTTCATTTTTAAATGTAAAAACAAGATAACCTGAACCACTTTGATTAAATTGAATATTGATACTAATAGAACAATTCGTTAATGGAGGAATATTTGTTAAATTACAATTTGACGATGAAAGATTATAAAATGATACGACATTTTTAGGACTAGTTAATGAATATGTTAAATTATCAATTGAATAGTTGCAAGGATTTGATATTATGGCAACAGATGAAAATGAATTCATATATATCTCGCCTGCATGCATCTGTAATGTATCTACAGTTAATATTTGAACTTTTAAACCCAAAAGTGTCAAATAATCTTGAAAATTATTAGTTTTCCAATCAGCTGGATGTTGACCACCTACATACAACGTTCCGTATTCATTAGACAAAGGTGTATAATATGCAGTAAATGTATTTGTTGTCGGTGGAATTTGTACTGAGGGTAGCTCTCGGCGAACATTACCAATAGAAATCCATACATTTGCTTGTAGATTATCTAATCGTAATGTTTGATTATCATATCGATGAATTTGTCCATCAATGATCAATTTAGACAGAATTCCAGTTAAACTTTCATGTGATTGTCGAAAATGAACAGTTACATTGTATGTAGGAGGAACAATTAATGAGAATGTTTGTTGATCAATAACACCAGTTGATGTTTGTAAAACACGAACATTTATAGTATAATCAATGATAGAAGCAATTGCTGATGACCATTCTATAAGTGAAGAGAATAAATTGATTGTTAATCCACGTGGAATATTTCCAGTTAATGACCATTCTAATGGGGATTCACCTTGTAAAAGATATTGAGAAAGTGATAAATTAAATGATGACATTTCTATTATTGTAAAATTTGGTATTATCATTAGACGAGGTGGAATTGGTAATGTTGAACAATTTGTACCAGAATATGGATAATAACAACGACAAGTACCCATAATACATTGACCATGATTGCAACCAGTTGATGGACAACTTGGTAAATATCGATATGTTAAAGTATTTAGTGAAGTAATACTCACATTGTTTTGTAATATAGAAATTGTAAGAGTATCAGCTGAATGAGAATTTAAAATACAACTCATTTGTTTATTATTGATAAAAGTGGCGGAAATCAATATTGATTGATTATTACTATCAATTAGTTGACAAAATGATGAAACATTTTGAAAATTATCACCATACAATGTTAAATCTGTTCTATTCGTCAATTCTAAACTTGATGTTGGAGAAATTGAAAAAACAATTGGAATTTGTGTACAATTCGGTCCATAATATCCATTATGACAATATTGACATAATGATCCATAAACACGTGTATCATCAATACAATTGCATGTAGCTAATGAATAATTGCATTGTGCTTGACCATGAATACATATTGGACATGAAATACATAATGGATAAGCAAAAAGATTCGACGCACATTTGTCACATGAATCTCCTGAATAGATAGAGTTACATGAACATGTTTCATTACCAATACAAGAGCCATGATTTGTGCAATTATTTCGTGTTTGACAACTCCATTGACTTGATATTATAAATGCCGATGTTGCTAACGAACCAACTCGAGATTCATTCAATGATAAAGTTACATATTGGTTTGTAGTTGAACAATTTAGAAGAAGATAAAGTGATATTGTTTGATTTGAAAATGCAGATAAATTCGTAATTGATGAAGGAATAAATGAATACTGTTGAATACATGGTATATCGTAAATTAAATTCATTGTAATATTGATCAAATCAAAATTACCCGGATTTGTGATAGTTAGAAAATCCGATATATTATTTGTATAAGATGTATATAACCAATATGACCATTGTGAAATGGCAATACGAAGATTTTCAACCCATAAAATACTTTGTGCTTCTGGAGATGAATCATAAGCTGGATGTGATCCTGCAATTTCCAATGATCCAACAAATGAATTACTTGCGAAATAATATCTACCAAAATAATAACCTTGATCATCAACTGTTATTATGGTTTGTAATGAACGATTCAACCAAATTTTTACTGAAACATTTCCTCGAGTTGCATTAATTGAATATTCAAGATTCGAAGCTGTATTTAAAGATATGAATTGATTTGCACGTCTCCATTCAATTGTTGCGTTGTAAGAAGGTAGAATTTGAATGATGACAGAAAGATTCGTTGTACCCATTACATTGGTGACAAAAACAGTAAAGTTATAGTTATTTAATGATGCCAATGCAGAATATATATTCAAAATACCTGTCGTTTCATTTAAATAAAGATGATTATTGTAAAAGTCAATCATCGGATTGAATTGATCAATTTGAAAATAATAATGAAATGGTAAATCACCCGACACTTTATAAGAAGATATGTTAATTGTCATTGAATCGAATTCATGGATGATAAAAACAGGTAATTGACTGAATATCGGTGGTGGAGACGACAGTTCACATGATGATCCATAATAAGGTGAATTACAAAGACATGAACGAAATTGGCAACGTCCATTTGGATAACAATTTGTAGAATTAGGACACGTTGAACTCACCTAAAATAACAATATTAAAAATTTTAAGAATAACGACTTTATTAATGTAACTCACCGATAATTGAAAAGTTGAATACGTTTGCTCAGTTCCGTTAATCATCAATCGAAGAAACCAATTGACAGAGGTATCGAGTGTTTTGAAAGGAATCTTACAAATAATAGTCGAATCATTAATGATTAGGGCAGAAACAATAGATGCATTTCTGTTAATGGTATCAGAAAAATATTTACACGATCTCGAACCTATGAATTCAGTTGAATTGAAGTTTATCCCGTAGACAGTTATATTCATATCACCAATATCATCGATTGTCGCAGGACTAATTGATTGAATTATTGGATACGGTAAACAAGAAGGACCAAATCTATTTTCTTGACATTTATCACATATTTCACTAGTGTATCCATATTCACACATACACGAACTGTTACAGGTTCCATTACTCTGACAGAACATGAAGCAAGGTAAGCATTTACGAGTTCCACTGGATGTATTTGTGACAACGAAAAAATAATCAGTGTCGCATTGATCACAATGGTCGCCTGTATAACCTTGAGAACACTCGCAACTTCCAAAATGGCATTTACCAAACGAACAGGAACCATTGCTTGGACACGTAGTCTGGATCGAAATAGAACAAAGACACATAGAATATGCACGGTTAACCCATGTAGTACCATTATCGAGCGAGAGCGAAACATAAATGTCATGAAATTCTGTATAATTTGACAGCGCACAGACCACCGATGAAGTATTGGCAAATATTGCTTCAGTAGTCCAAACATTCGACGGAAAAACAGATGATTGGAATTGGCATAAAACATGATGTATAGATGAAAAATAGAAGTAAGCACCATTCAACACAATATCGACACCATCTCGTGCTGAAAGGTCACTTGCAATTCTAGGCTGCACAGAGAATAGTTGTGTGTCATTGGTACATTGTTGGGCATAATAACCAGGCTGACATTCTTTACAGAAAATACCTGCAGAACGGATGAAAATATCACAACCACACGTATTGTTTCCACGATCACAGTTCACATTCGAATATTGACGATGACCACATGGATAACAATCGGGATAATTCAAATATCCTACATCACATGTTGAACAATTTTGACCATCATATTCTACGTTACAATTACATTCTCCCATATGCCATATTCCATGATCATTACAAGTATTTAATTCCGAACTGTTCGGCCACATTGTCATGTTTGTTATCGAATTCATTGATAGTTTTCGATTAAGCTCTTGAATGACACAATCTTGTTCAATTACATAATCAAACAACGATATTGATCGAATCAATACACCTCCTAACGCTGTGGATTGATTATAGAGGTTTGGCTCCCAACCTATTCGCACGTTACCTTGACTAGTGTTGTAGGGTCCATTAGTCCGTGTTATACATGTTGCCTGTTGGTAATCTCGATACACACATAGCTTTGCACTCATATGATCATATGTGACACATATTTGATGAAAAACACCATCAAAAAGTGTGTCTGGTCCCACGAAGAACCAATTATTGTCTAATCCATAACACGTTCCAGATATTTCGATAAGTACATCACTAATAATACGTATTCCGAAATGTTTATTACATCCTCCATTCCATGTTGATTTAGGTGAACCAATATCCACGATGATATCGCCAGCACTCAAGTCACTAGCACGAAAATAAGCACAAACACTGCGACTACTGTCACCGCTGATATTTGTATTAGCATCAACATATGTGAAATAAGTGGTTTGATCTGATGAAGGCATTGTCCAGAATGAAATGCAGTTTGAACCTAAATAATAGAAAAAATAAATAAGTAAAAACTAATTAGCCGAAAAATTGTGATTATTGTCAAGACTTACCTCTAGATCGGCAACCACGTAATTGAATATCATCAAGAGCAAAATCAGCTCCATATCCACCTGGTGCATTTGAAATTATTAATAAAACTACAGAAGTTGTTGGTGCAATAAATGACAAACCATATTCAAGCCAATTCAATGTATTATATTCAGATAAAGGACCACTATCTATTTGTGCCAGTAAAGTATTACCAATTGATGGAGATCGAACTTGGAATAAGACATTTGGTTTCAACTGATTGAATCCAGATCTAACGACATTAGCCATCCAGACGGAAAGTTGATAACGATTACCGATAATCAGATCAGTTACTGTATAATTGTAAACTTGACCAGTTTGATAGTTTGCATTGACCAATAACATGTAACCACCTGCGTCACCCGTGTGATCTCGTGCTGAATTATGCCATGAACTATAATCGTTAGGGACTGAATTGACAAAAGCAAAATAACCGTCAGGTATAGCACCCGAAAAAGTCTGATAGTATGTTGTTGTGAAGCCAAAATCGTTAGGAGTTGCATTCGAATATTGTGGACTGCCGGCACCAAATGTGATAGACACAATGGGCGTGGAATTAGTCAATTCAGTATCATTGCAGAGATTAGTAGATTCTATTAATAAAAAAAAGAAAGAAATGTTAATATAATTGAGACGTTCATTCAAGCGAATCTTGAACATACGAATTTCACATGTTGTACCAATATAATCACTCGGACACGTGCAAGTACCATCACTGTTGCATGTTGCACCGTTCTTGCATTCAGGATTACATATAGCTAAAATAAAAGCGCAAATTTGAGCTTTAGCTGCTAACAAAATCTGAATAACATCTATTTAATGTTGGTTTCCTTTCTGTTTCTCATGAAAATCGTTTCGAATTTCTTTAAATATTTGGAATAAGTATCACCGCAGGGGGATTGCGAATCTAAAAAAGATCTATGAGAATCCGACGAGATTGTCACTATCAGAAATTGGTTCCTTCCATGTTTTTTATAAACTGTCTTGCACGATATTCTGAGCATAATACATTAAAAAATATGCACGTTAACTCTACTATCCACTTACCATGAACATTGCAAAAGAATATTGAATAGAAGAGTAGGACAATCATATACATTGTTGCAGTAACAATTATGAAATTATATTTGAAATACGATTAGAAATAACGTTAAGATCAATTTATAGAGTAAATCAAATCTAGAAAAAAAAATAATTACTTCCTTCCTTATTTTTCCTGCAAGAGAAAAAAATCGTCTATGCATTAAATATAATTTACGTCTAGTGAATCATCATAAATATAGAATTTCTTTTATTCAATGTACGACAACGCCTCCCTTTTATTAAATAACTCAGTGGGGATTCTAATAATGAGACGCATTTAGAAACTTTTGAAACATTCATCTTTTTCTTCTATTGAATAAATATCATTTGACGGAATAAAAGAAAAATAATGTTCTTATATTCGAAAATGTGTCGCATTCGCTTTGCCGACAATTAAAATTGTACTAACAAATTATTTGATCATCATTGTTTTGAGAGTATATATAATGGTACGGATGATCATATTTGGAAAATATTTAAATATCATAGATAAACTTTAATACTTAAATTACCAATATTTATAAACAAACTCGATAGAAGATATTCGATTCTTCTAATTGAAATGTGAGAAAAAAAATTATCTAAAAGAATTTTATTGGTGCATAAGATTAAAATCTAAAGATTGTTAGAAATATATGATTAATCATTAAAAAGATTAAAAGAAATCATAAAGATTTCCTAAATCATCAATAAATAATCCTTGAGGATGGATTAATCGTCCATTTACATTTTCAAAACTAAATTTATCAGCAATGATATTACCGAATTGTGAATCTTTCATCTGTTTTACTATTCGATGATAACACCAATCTGATATAGAAATTGAATCATTTTTGTCAACGAATATATAACTAAGTTCTTATTATGCAACTACTCTTCCTTGTGTGTCATTTTCATAATATTGTCTTATTTCTGATATTCGATAATTAACAACATATAGATTATGATTATCATCAATAGTTAAAGACCAACAATCAATATTCGAAATAATTATTTCTTGATTTTTATGTTTATGAAGAAGGCGACTACATTCTTTCGAGAATATCGACTTTGTGAATTGTTATGTATAAATGTAAAATCTTTCGAGTTCCATCACACGAACTTTCAATCGTCATTTTTCTCAATGTGCAAAACATGAAGTCCGTAACATGAATTGGCGTAAATGATGATTAAAAAAAGCATTCATACATTCAAATTAGGATTTAAAAGCAACAAGAATACTAACGATAATTTACTTAAAAGGTCACTCATTTTATTTAGAAAATCATTTTAATATCTCTCAACTAACAATGATTGTACGAAAATGAATGTATATTGCATTTGTTTGACTCCCCCGCGAAGCCACATGTCTCTCCATATTGTCAAAAATAAACTATTGAAGCTTCTCGACTCCAAGAAATGTTTTTCACTCTGTTGAGACAAAAAAAAAGTGACAAAGCAATCTCCGTTACCAATTTACGTTATAAACAGTTTGACAGAACGCAATAAAATATGTCTTCCATCCATCTCGCTTTCTATTGGAAGGCCATAGTTTTCAAAATATTAATCCTAGCGACTGGGAAAAAACCCAGTGCAATACTATCAGAGTGAATTATATATCAAATCGAGTACTATAGGTAGATACAGTTTGTATTCTTTTACGAAGACTTATCGAACAGCAGAAAATGTGAAGATTTTTATAATAATTATTAGTGCTGTATTGAGTGTATATGCTATACACGAAAGTTCTTTGTCTTCATTCACAGATACTTTCCAGGTGTCTTTTAGACTGAATATTCCGAAAATTAGTTCGACTCTTGAAAGAGAAAAAGAATAAATGTGAGAAATTCTTAGTTTTTCAATCGCTCCGTTCCTTCTTTCTCTTCTAGACAACAAACCTTTCATCGATAAATATAATGGCTGATTTCATGGATACATCGCCATCTCCTGGGGATCAATCATCTTCAGAAAATAATTCTACAATGCGTAAGTGCTGACAATTTGTTGTTGTTCTTTCCACAAATCTTTTCTCAATGATATTTTATTCATAGAAACAATTCCTAATGATCCGTCCGCTTGGACTTTATCTGATGTAATAGTTTGGCTTCGAAGTTGCAATCTCGAGCAATGTGTATCTGCTTTTGAAGGTATAACTCGTCCATATCTTTTTCTTTAATATTCTTATAATGTTTTGTTAGCAAATGAAGTGGATGGGAGCACCTTGATGAGTGAGGATTTCGATGCGGCCATGATTAAAGAACTAATACCGACCCTGAAGCATCGAGTAACATTTATTAGTGCCAGAAAGAATCTACGTGTCAAATCGTAAGGGCCAAAGCTCTTCAAAATATTAAAATTTATCTTTGTTTCATAATAGAGTGGTGAAACCGACTGGTCAAAATCTACTAACGGCGCACAACAACGGAGATGCCAAGCAATTTGAAGAAGCGGTAGGGAGAGTATCATACTCATTATTGATATACCCTCAATTATTTAGACCGAAGTTATGTCAACTAGTTGTGTTCCAAAGTTTAATCAAGATCGAAATTATCATCTTGGTAAAAGTATCGTAGTTTTAAAATAAAACGAAGCATTGTTGTTCTTTCGTTAGTTCGTACGGATACAAAAGCTTGCTGCCAGTGGGAAAATTCTGGAAAAGAAATCGTTCGATTGGATGCTGAATCGATGCTTCAACCTCGACACACTACTCATTCCTTATCAGTTTCAAACCAACTGAGTACTGAAACTTTGAATCTTCTGACAAAATTATTTCACTATATACATGCGGTACCAACAAGTAATGAACTTGATATTGATTTCAACAGTATCATTGACGAACCGCTCAATAGCACGATTGTTTTGAAGTGCATTTCTAATCATCAATCGTTGAAATCTTACATTGTTGACAGTCTCAAGCGTTATCACAATTTATCTGATGTTATTCAAGTACTCTCATCAGTTATCGATTTACCAGCAGTTGATAAAACTTACAGCACATTTGCTGATATTATTGAAAAAATAACAAAATCCTTACTCCTTGTATGCACAATCGAATCCATGTCTTACGAAAGTCAGCGATTCTTTGGGAATATGATTAAAAAAAATGATTTACCGATACCGCTGACTTACTATACCTATCAACAAAATGAAGTACGGTTCAAAATCAATTTTAATCCACTTGTGGAGACATTTTGTTATTCGAACGAGAAGATTTTGTTATGCTTAGGTAGTCCTACAGCTGTTGGACTCGGTAAAACAAGTATTCTCCCGTATTTGTTTGAAAATATCAAGAGCGAGTCATTGAATACGGAAGGAAATGCTGAACTGCGCTATGGTTGTGTAGACACAATGTTCACGACTTTGAAGAAAAACGATCCGTATGTGGTGTTTGATGTGCATGGAACTATGAACACAATGAATGAAGACTTAATCACGTCTCTTCAACAGTATTGTGCTATTCAAATTATTTTTCTAACGGCTGATGATTTACAAAATGGAGATTTTATTCGAAAGATTATGAATTATTCGACTGAAATACGAAATAAACCAACAATTTTTATTACGTTTGATCATCATTATGGAGAGAAGAACACTTCAAGTTGTGGTAAAGAATGCCCGCAGATATTTAGTGACGAGAAATGGTCTAATGCGATTTGGAAAACTGCTCCAATTCTCAATCAAATATCTGGTGGTTCACGGTTAAATAACGAACGACGAATACAACGGTTGAGACAAAATTTGCTCAACGCTTTTGATTCTCTTCAAACATTGATTAGCCGTCAGCCCATCTGTAAATCAATTTTTGCCATTGAAGCTTATCTATTAGCTGTAAAATCAAATAGCAATACTTCCCCACCGCCATTGATTCAATTTGATATTGAAGATACGCTCAAAACATTATTTGATGGATTATCCGATCAAACTGATAATTTGCAGCGTGTGACGCCCGTCACTTACCTTCAAAACGAGAAGATGAAATGTGAAAAAGAATTGGCTCAACTCTGGAATGACTCGCCGGGAGATTTACCGGCGAAACTGGAGCAAATTAAAAAGCAATATGAAGAGATCGATCGCATTCCTGAGTATTCAGCATTCTTTATCGATTTACTCATAAGACGCACATATGTTGAACTTTTGATTACGGAAAAATATTTGGAGCAGTGGCGGATGAAATACGAACCGACTTTGTCTACTCAGTTGACACGGGCAAAAAACGATGCTATGACTTGGACATCTCGAATGAAAAGTTTCGAAGAAGAATATCAACAACACATGAAAAACGAAAATCAACCGGAAGTTGAAAACGCCGCTAATCAAATGCAGGCAATTAGAGGCGAATGCAAAGCCTCACAAGATCTTCTCAATAAAATTGAAAAACAATTATTTAATATTGATTTGACTATCGGTCTATTTTGTGATGAGATTTATGCATTGTATGAATTACTACCGAAACTCTTTGAAATGAACAATTCGGCTGATTTACTGGCGAAAAAATTATCTCAACTTATGTATAAAGGTTTCTCTTTTCATATTCTACGTGGACGCCCGTTACGATGTAACAGTAAATTGATACAAACATGCTTAAAATATTTACATGAATCCAACAACGAGTCACCTCTCGTACTGACAGTGATTGGTGAACAATCTTCTGCAAAATCTTCTTTATTGAATGCTACTTTTGGTTGTAATTTTCGTGTCAGTGCTGGAAGATGTACTATTGGTATGTACATGAGTGTCGTTCGTTGGCGTTCTCGTACAATTGTGATCTTCGATACCGAAGGACTCATGTCACTCGAAGAATCTGGTTCAATCTTTGACAATCAGATGGTTTCTATGGCGATGTTGTCTTCGCATCTTGTGTTGATTAATCATAAAGGAGAATTCAGTTCTAATCTTGAACATTTGATTGGAATGAGCTTTTATGCAAAATTACAAATTCGTTCACCACTTCGGCCGAAACTGCTGTTCGTTCTTCGTGATCAATCGGATACTGGAGCAACGGAAATATTCTTTCAACAACTCGCTAAATTTAAGGAGAATCTTTACAATGATAGTAAATTTCTCAAATCGTCGATTGACGACGAACTGGAAATCAATGAGCAACATGTGATTTTACTCACAAATGCTTTTTCCAATGATTTTCATCCTATTCTTGGAGTCGAACAAACTTGGAGAAATAATTTATTTCCAAGAAAGATAAATGCTCTTCGAACTATGGTTTTCAACACTCTCACTGAATCGATTACTGAAACTTATGTTGACATACCACAATTATATCAAAAGGTTGCCTCTAATTGGGACGCTATCGATAAACTTGGTCCTCATTTATTGTCATGCAAGACTCTCTACGAACTTTCTATAATGAATGAATTACGAGATTTCGCACGTGAAATTATTGAAGAAAGTATTACAGCTATAAATAATGAAGGACGACAACATATCGATCGCATCTTAGCGGATATTAATCATGAAAATTTTGGAAATTTTAAAGAAGATAATCTGATGAATCTGTTTTCATCAGCGATACAAGCCACTCACAAGAAGATTCTTGACAAAGCCATTGCTGATTATCAGTCGAAAACTGAACGAAGCTGTTTTCCATTAGAAATTCGATACAAAGTCGAAAAAACGATTGAACAACCAATTTTAAATATGCAAAGTATGTTAAAAGAAGACTTTGATGAACGCTATCGCAAAGCGTATCGTGATGCACGGGTTTCAAGCGCACAGCATCGTCTCATTGAAACGGTTCAACAAGAATTCGATAGAAACACAAAACTCGGCGTCGATCAACTGCAAGTTCAAGTGGAAACTGTTTATAAAAATCAACTGGAAATATGTAGGCAGACTCTTCGACGAGATGTTGAAACAGAGGATCAAATAATATCAAAGATTCTCAAGTTCTACAACTCAGCCTTGCAATCAAAAACAGCAAACACATCAAAACAAAGTATTTATAATTTATTGCATCCATTGAATGCCAGTCAGTTTCGAGAATCGTGTCATCATTTCATTAACTTGTGGAAGCAAGTGACAAATTATGGAGCATCGCAGGAAGCAAATATTTCCCTCTGGCAACATATAATGAAGTTTGTCGAAAATCGTTTCTTAGGTGATAGAAATGACGATTTACTAAGGAGCTTTCACAACAGATTGCAACATTGGTTTCAGGACGATCGAGCGTTTCATAAGGATAAAAAGTTACTCATACAAATTGTAGAAAATCTTTTACCACAGTTACAAGACGATGTGGCCAAGCTTATGAACGAACATTTTTCTTCATCTTCGCTGAATCCGAGAATTATTGGTTTTGTATTTACATACATTGAAAACGTATTCAATCATGATTGTATCAGATCTAATCAAAATCGTATCGCATTACACTCCTTCCTCTCGGATGTTGCCATTATTGCACTCGAAGTTTTAGTTGAAGAATCTTTAAAAAGTGAAAAACGACGTCACGAAAAAGACATGGAAAACTGTGAGAAAGAGATGATCGAATGGAAAGAACGTATTTCGATGCAGATTCAACATATGCATAATTCACATGAACAAGGTCAAAATATGGCCGAAATTGTTAGTGAAGAAATATTCAAAGAGGTTGGACGAATCTTACTCGATCAAATCTTACATGAAATGACGGAAGATATTGCAAAAAGTCAATTCATCAATCATGAAGCTGTCCAAAAACAAGCTTATGAAGAAAGCTTTGGCCTAGGAAATGGTGAGAAAATTCTGAAATACGTTTTAAATGTCAATCGGTATTTTCGAGAGTTGAGTCTACGTGAAATTAACACGAAAGTGGAAGCGATTCTCCATATGCACACCATGAATGCTGAAGGAATCATTCTGAAAGTAATTCATAAAGCGAATGACATCGCCCAAAACAGTACACTTACCAATACTCAGCTGATCGCTAATGATATTGAAAGGGCTGTATGTGACATGGACATATCGTCGTTGAATCTTGATAAAAAATTTGCAATAGTTGGAGTTATGTCAGTGACTATTGAAGACCTTCCAAACTTTCAGCAAGGATTCAAAAATATATTGAATAGTATCAATAGTATACAGGAGAAGGTGATCAGTTTAACAAAAGATGTGAAAATGAAAGCGTATGCGGGATGTAAAGAACGAATCTCACGGCGTCTTGGGTGTCAAAGCCGTTGTCCCGGTTGTGGTTCAAAATGCAGCCGACCGGAACCACACGAAGAAGAAATGTATGAGCCGTGGTTTGTATGCCAATGCGCCCCAAACAATTGCACATGTGAGCGACCTGAACCTAAACTTTTGAAGAAACATGCGACTTCTCATCACATCGCTCAAGCTTTTTTTGGTAGAAAATACTATAAAATACATACGCCAGTTCTCGAACTTTGTTATCAACGTTGGAAAAGTGGTGGGATGTTTGTTGGTGATATTGAGATTGCACCACTACAAAAATTTTACGACCAATATCATCCAGATTGGTGTGATAATTTGCGTCATCTATCGACTGAAGGAACCGCGTGTAATGAGAGCATCCCTCCAGTCGAACAACGTCGTGCTTGGATGATTGTTCGTCATGTTCTTGTTCCACATTACGCGCGTTATGGTATGGTTGAAGAAGAAAATTACAACAAGAAGTTTTACCCATCGAACGTTGACTCACTACTTCCTGACTTCAAACCAAATTGGAACGATACAACTGAGGATCCGGTTGCAGACGACTATGCTTGAACTAGAAAAAACAGAAATGAACTAACTCATCATTGAAACTAATGAACAAATGACAATAAGAATGAGTCTAGCTTTATTACAGATTTTTTTTAGTCGTGATCTGTGAAAATTAATGTATAAATATAAATGAAGACGTGAAAGACGCGATACAGGCAAAGTCTACGCTAGTCGATGACGATTTATTCATTTCCTTTTTATTTAAATAGAATGCATATTATTGATTAAATTACAATTATATAAGTGTTCATATTTGATTTCATGCATTAATAGTTCTACTGAAGAAATATGAAAATAGTCATTCAGAAACATTTTCAATCTTTTAAGCATTTGGGGAGCGAAGGTAATGTCATATGTTCTTCACCTTCGCTCTTGATCTGATCGAAATGAGAATGTTCCGTCATTTAATCTTCACTTCGAAAATCTTCTCGTTTTAATACGAAATGTACATTTAACAGAGAGAACAAAACAACAATGAGTTAATATCAAAGTACACCACAATGTACGACGTGATTGCTAATATCATGCGCTGTGCGGGTGAGAATATCACAAATATATCTGACAGTTTATGATATGATTCAAGACGAATTTTCAATTATATTTACTGTGAGTCCAGTTGTACTGTTATTTTCAATGAGAAACTTCTATGGTAAAAACTTCAAGTCGATCTAATATGTCAAAACGGATTTTAAACTCTACAACATTTCGTCTTTAGAGATTTCTTATCTAAATTTCGTTTCAGTTATTTGCTGTAAAAGTTCCAATAATCATTACTTCATCGTACGGTTCGGATACAAAACTTCGAATAAAAAAGTACTCGATGTATTTCAAAAAGAGGTGAAGTTATTTCTAGACCTGGTGGCACATTTCAATTTCTTTTGATCCCTATCTAAGACCCTCTATCCAATATAATATTCTTGTGCGTGCGTTTATTGTCTATGAAATAACGTAGAGCTTAAAAAATGATTTAATTGACTGGACTTTGATATTTCATTTTGTGTATTAGTCAATAAAATCTTGATTTCTCTCAGCAAACATAAAAGATTGACAGGGATTTAATGCAATACTATAATTGTATAAATTTGATGAAAATATAAATGACGTATTCAGTTTTCGATACGTAAAATAAATTCCTCCTGATGGTTTTCATATTTATCTGCGCGTTACTCGCGTGTTTCAGTCGTTTATCGGAAGGAAGAAACGGTACGTAAATGATGAATTTGAGATATTTCAAATGAAAACCTTTGTTTGTTGCATAAATGTTCAATTATTCTCTCGCAGGATGTTTTCCACTTCCCTGTGCTAACAATGCGACTTGCACTGTTGTCGATACATTTGATTACACATGTAAATGTCCAGATGATTTACCAGTCGGTGGTAAAAATTGTGATCAATTACTCGTACCACGTAAGCTGTTCAAACAGATATTTTCTTTTGTTAAATAAAACGAATAATTTATTTAATATTTAGAAAATCCTAATGTTCCTGGAGGAGACTGTAAAGTAAATCCGTGTCAAAATGGAGGCTATTGTCAGCATGAACATCACAATATCCATGCATGTCAATGTGCCAATGGTTATTGGGGAAGATTTTGTGAACGTAAGAATAGTTGACTTTTCTTTTTCTTACGGAATTAAGAAAGCGAGGGAATTTTAGAGGCTCATCCATGTATATCAAAACCAGGACTATGTAATGCGGGTAAATGTATTGCTCTCGAAAACAATCTTTTCCATTGTCATTGTTCATCCGGTTTTAATGGTGCTTTGTGTGAAAATCAAATTGTTGGACAAACAATTGTGGCAAAAAGTAAAGACGATATATTTCCATATTATTAAAATTCTCTTAAGATGTTTGTGATTCAAATCCTTGTCGAAATAATGGATACTGTCGTCCATTAGTTGGTAATAAAGATTTTCAATGTGTATGCTCAAGTAATTTCACCGGCAAAACATGTGGTAATCTAAACTCATTTCAACTTTCGTTAAACGACAAACTTTATCTTTTTGAAAAGATTTGTCGACAGTATGTACTGCTGAATATTGTGGAAATCATGGATTTTGTCAAAGTAAACCGATGATTGGTCGTACATGTTCGTGTGATCAATTTTACACTGGAAAATATTGCGAAGAACGCATGTGTAAGTACAAAACGAAACAATGACTGTCTCACGTTCGCTAATTCAGCTGACCCATGCTCATCTCATATTTGTCTCAACGGGGGATCGTAAGTTCTACGGATCGAACATTGACAAGACGTTTTTTGATGAATTCATGAGTATAGATGTTATTCTACAAACTATGGAACAGCTTATTGTTTATGTTCAACAGACTACACAGGAAACAATTGTGAAGCCTTTCGAACTCGTACGTATAAAGAACGACAGTTGTTTGATTTACTAAATAATATCTGGATTTCAGGCGACTGCAACTCGTATTTTTGCATAAATGGCGGTCTCTGCACGATGAATAACAATAGGCCAGTATGCCTATGTGCTCCAGATTTTCAAGGAGATTACTGTCAAATTTTTGCACCAGGTAACAAATTGGTTTTCTTTCCCCGCCACTATGCAAATCGTATTTGATGTTTTTAGTTGCCAATTAGAATATTCACCTTGAGTTTGTTATCGATTCGACTCAAACAAACGTCTAGAATGAATATTCTGATGTCCTTGATCATTACAATAATCGTATCGTTTTATTTTGAGAAATACATTTGTTTTTCAAAGTATTTATTTCATTTCGAATTTATTATAACGGATGGATTTGGAAAAGGATGCATTTCTAAAATTGAATAATTAATTCATAAAGGTGAGAAAATGATGCAAAAGAATTGAATACAACTATTCACACACTTTTCATTCAAGCAACCCTCACGCAATGTTAAATAGGAAGAACAAGTCTAAGGCATTGGTTGAACTCGATCAGTAATTCGATGTTGTTCATACATTCGTAGAACAAATTTTCCTGCACGTTGCGAACGATAAGTGGTAATTTGATCGTATAATTCTCGGCTCATTCGATTTTGATCATATTCGAAAACTAAATCATCACATTGTCGTGGAAATATCATTGGATATGCCAATGATGCAAATGTGATATCTGCAGCTGTTGGAGAATTCGTATTCAATAGATATAATTCTCCATGTTTTTCCAACATTTGATTCACTTTTTCAAAAACTTCATCAACATGTTGTTTTGACATTAAACTTGGTTGTTCATGAATTTGCATTCCGACCGTAGCTAATGCTTGAATAGAGCCAGGAAAATGACGTTGAATCCATCTTTCAAGTCCTGTTGTACCTCGTAACCAACACTGACGTAATTCAGATGTATTTTTATCAGAAGCAAACATTAACCAATAAATATATCGGCGTGCATGAACACCAAGTGTTTCATCAAAATAATTGACAAGTTTTTCGACTTCAGGTGTTGGATACAATGTCGATTTTCCTAGTTTACATAATTCATCACTAACATAATGCATGATTAATGATGATTCTTTTAAAACATTCTTCTCTTTTGTTATATAAATTGGTGTACTAGATGAAAATCCCTTTGTATGCCATAATGAAGTCGCCATATGCGTGAGAATTGAACGATAACATTCGACATATTTGTATCTTTCATTTTCATTGTTCGCTGCTGCATGTTGCAATAGATCAAGTGCCCATCTTGCTTTTTCACAAAAATGAGAGAATCGTATAGTAATTAATGTTGGCGAAGCATTTCTACTATAACGTGTTCGTAAGCATGTACTTATTGGTTGTCGTAAACAAAATAATAGAAAATAGATCAATGCACATAACATACAAAATAAACGATAAAATATTTGAAATGGTACATAAATGCCTAATCCAATTGGTAAATGATACCAACGTGTTCCCATTATTTAATCTCGATAGATGAAATTGTGAATGTGTTATGTAATTACATAAATGTGGTGTTTTCAAAGAAAGAAAAGACGTTTCAACATTTGACAAAAAACAATCAGATGCATAAATTGCCCAATAGATTTACTTGTGAAGCAGAGGGCAGAAGATATTGAAAAAATATCAATGATCAATTAGAGAAACAAATCGCATTCATTTCAACTCTTTCAATTGAAATAATTCTCGACAGAAATTCAAAATCGATTGAGTTATGATTTTTGTACTGACAAGCAGATTATCAAACGCAAATCTATTTCATCTGAAAACAAGGAAATAATAGTTTTACTTTATTTAGAAATTAATTTTTCATCATGTTGTTATATGTCTCCTTGATAAGAAAAGAAGATTTTTCTGTCTGTTACTGTTTTTATTCATCAAAGAAAGATTAAAAAAAAACACTTATTAAGGATTCTCACAACTAATTAGATCTTCACTTTACTTTTCATTCAAATATCATCAATGTCATTGACAAACAGTAGCACATTGGAAAACGAAGATCCGTCAATATCTGAGAGTCCGTTGAGTCGAGTAATTAAATTCTACTTTTTGCTCATTTGTGACGTTCCTTCAATTTCTCTGCAGCGGATTTATATTGACTTCTTTCTGTCGATTACGAGAATTACGTGCTAAACAATACACTCATGTGTAAGTCCATTTTATATCGTGATGATCTCATTGATCTTAGAGTGATTTGTTTATTAGTTTGTAATTTTCTCATTACAACGATTGAATTACCAGTTACATTGATTTATATTCATTTTGAATAGCTCATTCCCGCATTGTATCAACTTTGTCTCTATTGGATTTTCACAGATTATTTTCTCTTTACCTCAAGTCTGTGGATTATGACTGTTGCTTCGATCCAACGACATTTTCTTATTTTTTATACACATTGGATGAATTCGCATGTCAAACATTCTACATCCATTGTCATACCACCTACTTTTCTGTTTATTTGGTACATATCCATGGAAGAAACAATTTGATTTTACTCAAACTTGGTGCAATGGACCATGTTATGCATATTAGAGTACAACTGTAATCATTGATTGGATCCTTGTTTCATTTACACCTGTTGCTTTAACAGTAATTGCGAATGTTCTCCTTGTTCTTCGAGTTGTCTATCAAAAATATCGAATTCAACGTGTTCGTACCTGGCGAACGACTTGTAAACTTGCTTTGCAATTATTTACGATCTCTTTTCTTTTTCTAAGTATTTATTTTCCATTAGTTACTATGTCATTTATTCGCTTACGGTTTGATCCAACATTTCTGACGACTTTTGCCTTGTTTCATTACTGATACCATTTATTTGTTTGATTAGCCTTCCTGAAGTTGTTTCGGAAATCAAAAAAATCCATTTGTATCAACAATCGTATTCGACCTGAACAAGACCTGCAAGTTCCTATGACATTGACTTCGAGACGAATTCATCAATAAATATGTTGAACGTTATCATAAAAGCGTCGTACTATTCACTCTAAATCACAAGTTTGTGTCTTGTCACGTTGACTGTCAAATCGTAATGGAACTGAGAAGAAGAAGAAGAAGAAGTTGACATGTAACTCGTCGATCCGTATGTTGATGAAGACGACAGATATGAAGAGGTAACATCTGCTTCTACACGCATTTGTTAAAAGGCGTTGTAGAAACATTCGATAGTTGGATATGTGAACCAAGGCATGCTCGTAAAGACGTACTAACCATCGTCCGATTATGTGATCGACTACCACGTCGTAGTCTTCGTTTTTTAAGTTTCCTAAATGTACTTAACAACGTTTTAATTTGAGCCTTCTTTCATAGGGATGTTTCCCCGACCGATGATACAACTAACGGTATGGAATTACTTCTAATAAGTCAAGGTGTAAATGAGATGTTAGTCAACAGGACAATCTTTAGTGATTTAAATGTCAGTTAGAAAAATGTTCCTAACCTTATACCTTTGTCACGAAAAGACAAATTACAACTGAAATAAACCGGTACATAGAAGCTTTTTTCTTCTCATCTAAAACCGAAAGTATCAGATAGAAACAATTTCCTTGTACAACATGGCATTCCTTCTCATACTCATACTTGGTACAGTTGATGGGATAATTAATCTGATCACATTTTCATCTCAAGATTTCTGAAAAAAAGTCCTACTCATTCTATTTGATTTTGTTCTTCTTCTATTGACCTGGTTTTCATCTGTTTATCCAATACTCATCACATCGATCTACACTATTACCAACTACTTGTACTATTCCGTATCCTGTTATAATCAGTCACCTGATGCACGACATCTGAGCCAACAATTGTTCATTCTAGTATTTGTACACGTTGCTGTATTGTTTGCGCTCTTGTATGAAAAAAAAACGTGAGATGAAAAGAATAAGCTGTCTGATGAAGAAGTGATAAATGAAACTTCGGTCATCAATCCGTTCTAACAAGCGTTATTCTATCTACAGAGCAAAAATAACAGTGAAAATGAGTTGTCCATGAAGAATCAATCTATTTTGTGTAACACAATAGAACAGATATTTTCACTTGCAGCTATAAATAAAGTACAGAAACTTCGGATTTTTTCGAAAGTTATGCATATTGTATTAATGTATGAGAAAATACAGGAAAATCTAAGAGAAAAATCTAAACGCGACCGAGATATTAACGTAACAATACTTTTCAGACAATTTTATGATAATTGGAGTACCCGTTCAAGAAGTCTCACGTAAACAGCCGGACAAATTGATTGGTTCTACTAGTATACTCGTACCTTTTGATGGTACTAAAATATTCATTCATATTTCACTGTTTTCTTTTCTTCTCTGTTCTTTTGAATGTCACACAACAGATCTCATGATATTGCCATCGTTCTATCGATATGGGATTGAACAATACGATTCCTCCACAGCACAAATATTATGTATACAAGAAAATTATGAATTTATTTCTATTAGATTCAAAGACGTATTTGAGAAAGAAAAACACTGTTTTTCTTCATATTACGATAAGTTGACAATTTGTAAGCATATCGTTTCTCTATCGATTATCATGATTAGACAAGTTCAAAGATACAAAAGGATTAATAAATGAAATATCATGCCACCTGTATACCTCGCTTCTTTCTTTTTCGTTCTAATCTACTTAAATCGAACATCAAAGAACAGATGGCGATATCTATTCTTTTCGTGTTCATTCAACCGCAGATGATCTTCACCTTTCATCATTCGATGATGAACATTTTTCCCAATTCATTCATTGACGTTCAACAACAAAATAGATGGGACGACGTTCCAAATCAAAGAAAATCTGTTCGATTGAAAATCTTTCGAATGAAATCTTCTATGAAATCTTCAAATATGTTGATGGTTGTGATGTATTTTATTCATTTTCTAATCTTAATCATCGTTTTGAAAATCTTCTCAAATCTTTATTTTTTATATTAAATATCAATTCGGATCATCTGAAATCCAAAAAATATCTTCGAAAAATTTTCAAACAAATTTTTAATTGTCATCAAAATCAAATAATTTCAATTTATATGGATATGTCATTATCATTTAAGGATACATTTTCGTTTGATTCATCATTTAATCAATTAGCAACTCTTCATCTTTACAATTTGGAATCCAAGAAATTTCTTCGAAATTTATCTTGTTTATCAAATCTATCGTTATTAAATCTTCACATATGTGATCCATCAATTGATTTAAATGTCATCTATGAAATTGTATTAACTTTACCAAAATTAAAAACATTTCATATCAAAACAGATCATAATCTGAAATTTTCATCATTATCACATATAAAGAAGAACTTGAATGAAATTGAACGTCTTAATATTCGAGATCATTGTGATTTTAATGAAATTCTTTCGATTCTATCATGTTCATCTTCTTTATCTCATTTAGTTTATATTCAAACAAATCCAATTGATTATAATATTCAAATAAATTCACCAATAATTTTATCAAAATTAACACATGTTTATTTACGTATAACGGGGATGAAATTTCATGTTTTGGAAAATTTTCTTAAACAAATTTCATTGAAATTACAAACTTTATCTTTAACTACGGAAAATGAAGATATGAAATATCTCGATGGGAATCATTGGGAAAATTATCTTTCAAAAAATTTACCACAATTAGAAAAGTTTTATTTCAAATCATATATGAAACATCATCATCGTATTGATCAGAGAAAACTTAATCAATTTCTAACATCATTTTGGATTAAACGACAATGGATATTGGAAATTAATGTTCATTGTACACATTTTTTATATTCAATTACACCATATAAGTATGAACAAAAACAATTCATTTCTTTCGAATGAATTCTTTTCTTTTTTTTTGTAGAAAACGATGGTATGATTCATTAGTAAACGATGGAATCACTCCATCTTCATTTCAATTAGAAAAATCGTGTCAATTAACGTTGAATAATGTTAATACAAAGTTTTGGAAACAAATTCAACATTTGATAAGTTTAACGAAAATTTATCATTTAGTTTTGCTTGAAGGAAAAACTTTTATTGGAAAATTAATTCAAATTGTGAATTCATTACCTGAACTTATTTCGTTACAATTTAATTCATTATCTTTTGTTGTACCAAATGGAGAAGATTTACGGCCATGTTTTTCAAAAAAATCTCCAAGTAAAATTGAAAAAATTTATGTTGAAAACATCGAAACAAATGCTGAAATTGCACTATTATCGACACTTTGTCCAAGAATGAACTGTCTACGAATAATATCATTTGGAAAGAACACAAATTCATACTCATTTTATTATTAGAAAAATTGATTGTTGTTAGAAATAAACATTTACTTGTCGTAAAAACAAATTTGTGAATAAAATCTCGTAGTTGTCAAAATGATTTCTTACCTAAATCGTAGTTCTTTTCTTTTAAAAGGAAAAAAGCACGAATTTCACGTCCTTTTCAATCAATAAAATTCTGCACTGTTGGGGGCACTAGGACAATTCGTCGCCATGATAATATTATGAATTGATAGCGTTACATATGTATTTCAATTAATAGAAAAGTACATTATCATCAACAATCTCGATATTGACACGACGTGGAACCTAATAATCTAATGGTACAGGGAACAAAAAATATGGGTTATTTCAAAACGTAATGCACAATGTTTCGGAAATACCCATGTATGAAATACAGAAATTAAATATCGAAAGTACTAAATCTTTTAACAAAGAGCATTACTGAGCTACCCATACGACAAAAATTGAATCCTATTTATATATTGATGAATTTTTCAATCTCGTAAACCAAGCAGAATTTCACGGAAATTCTGACTGGAAGAGTTCTACATGATAGTGAGTGATTTTTATCGTAGTTCATTAAGCAAATATTCGGTTGTATTTCTCAAAATATGTCTGTTGTAAATTAGCTATATAGAATAAGCTTTACTTCACAATGAAAAATCCTGATTGGAATACGGTTTTAATTAGTATTATAGCGTTGTAGTATACAGAATAAACTATCGAATCTTATGAGTTTATGGTGGAGTTCGATTTTCATTAAAAAATGTATTATAGTATCTGAAACTATTTTAATCAGAAGGGTAAAATATTTAGTTGTTTTTTGTTGGATCTGTTTCATTGCATGTCGTGCATTTTTTTACAAATGAGATTTTTGTGTTTTACAGATGCATTGATCCCCGTGCAATGTTTACGTCTCTCTCTCTTTCTATCTGCACATTATGTTAGTCTTGTTACAACTAATTAACTACGTGCGTAATTACTTGTGCAACAAATAATTATGGCGACGAATTGTCCGTCCACCGAGCGAGCAGTGAGATTTAACGAAGTGAATCATACCAAAAGAAAGATTTATTCAAAACTTATGTGTCAATGTTGATTTGTGATTCTGTCAAATTGAAAAAACTTTCAATAAACGTATTCAATTTGTCTAGAGAAAGAGAAGAGAATCTGCAGAAAACATAGAAAAACTAGTTCATCCTTACTCATAAATTTTGGCGTCATCTTCCGAAAGACAACGACATAGTAAACTAGCAAACTAATAAGTAGAATACCAGATGCAACAAGAAAGCCAATATTGGGACGTGATATAACTGGTGCTATGACGAGATAAATTGATATTAATATCATGATTATCACCAGAGGAATAGGAACCTGAAAAATATGCTTCAACCATGTTATTCCCTATTGAATAGAATGTACTTTAATAACTCGATGAGCATCGCGCTTCGTAAATCGACAGCAGAGCACGGCAGTGAATGTTAATCCACAGAAAAGCCAAGAAACGAAACTAAAATAATTGATCAGACCGTCAACATCACTTGGAATACAATAGATTATCGAAAGAATCGCCTGAATTAAACAAAACACAACGAAATAAGCCGACTCAACAAAAGAACAAACTTGTAATATAATGGCAGGTAATGGTGTTAGTCGTTGTTTTTGAATATACGAAAAAATGCCAGGTAAATATCCATAGCGCGCACTAACCATGCAATGACGAGCGTATGAGTACGTCGATACATTAGCACTGCCCAATGCACTTATAGATATTAAAATTGGTAAAGCACGAGCCACAGATCCTAATACAACCTCGCCCCATGTCTAAAGAGATAATCATCAATGAGTATCGCTCATACCATAGAACATGTTTATATACCATGGCAACGGCATTTGAACTCAGCAATTCAGATTTCGTCATCACTGTAAAATATGATATATTCGTCAGAATATATAAAATAATGACTGCGGGAATGGCCACAACAATAGATAACCATAGATTTCTGAAACGACATGTGCAATAAGCAATCAGTTGTACATGAATATGTAAATACCGTTTAGGATTTTTGACTTCTTCAGTTACTGACGTTAAACTACCCCATCCGGCATATGCCCAAAGTCCAGAATAGAAAGCAAGTGCGATTCTTAACGGGTTATCCGTTGTACCTATTCAGTTTATGAAAAAGAAATCGTGAAAGTCTGCTTCAGAAATATTAACCATGGAAAGAATTCTTCAAATTGTCAGTGTATCCTAATTGAAGAAGGACAAACTTTTATTTCATTATAAATCAATCAAATCGAAACAAACCTTGTCCAATTCGCACGAGACCTGCGATGGCAATCACCAAGATTGTCGCCATTTTGCTTACAGTAAATACAATATTCAATCGATTGGCTGCTGTAACGCTCCATGCATTTACATTGCCAAGAATTACTAAATGCATAAGTGATACTATAGATAAAAATGAAATCGGATCATCCAACGAACCAAGCGCAAAAATAGCCAACATTTTCACTAATTCAATCGGTGGACCACAACCTAAATGAATTGAGTCAGGCGACTGCTAGGTTTCGCTTTCTACTCACTATCCATAATTCCTGATAACAAGTAGGATGAAAATGTGAGAATAATAATGGCATTGCTTGATGGTTGAAGAATAAATGTGTTGGCCCAACTATTAACAAATGCAAGCATATCACCAGTCCGAGCATGAGCAGACCCAATTCCTACATTATATATCGTTAAATTCAAATGTAAATATACCCCATGAAATTCTCTCTTGAGATCTCGAAATATTCTCTACTGAACCATTCGAAGATTTTTATCGATTCAGTTATCACCTTCTCTCATGTAGATCAATTCCGAACCACTCAACGGCATTATTATTGCAATTTCAGCGTAACATAATGCACCTAGAATGAAGAAAGTCAATAAAAAAAATACTACTTCGCTGATGAGAAATCTTGCCGAGTAGAGCTACGAGTCCGCATATAACCCACACTATTAGACATAAGCCAACTGATTGAGTCTCTCGCAGAACGCCTTTCGGAGAAATGAAGATACCAGTACCTAAATATAATGAAATAAGTACGAGAAATCAGGCTAAATATCTGCTCACCAATAATCGTGCCGATAATGAAAGTAACGGCAGAAAATAGACCAAGATGTCGTTTTAGTGCGATCTTCTCATTGTATGGTACATTCCCTACGTTGGAGTCGGTATTTTGAATTAATTCAGTTGTTGGATGTTGTCCTTGACTCATTGACGAACTCACTCGTCGTTCGACCGTGAACTCTTCTGTGTATGGTTCGATACGATTCATTTAGAGCCGAAATAAAACAAGTATATATCGTTTTATTTAAATTCTTAAAAATTCGTGGACAAATACGATGATGACAAAGCGAGTAACCGAAAAGAACGAGAATAAATACTCTTCACTTATCAGACTTTGATTAACATTACAAATAATAAAAATGTCAAATAAGAAATTTCTCGCTAGTTAATAATTTTTCTTCACATGCTGTATGCGTGGCGATAACAACATAAAGATACAGGTCGTTTCCAGGAAAGTTCTTTCATTCTCGGATTTTTGAAAAAGTATCATACTTTATCTATCATTATATGTCTCTTCGCGGAAAATGATATTCTCCCCGAAAAACACTATTCTCAGAAGAACAATCACCAGGCAACAAATAAACGTCTTGGTCCGAATGAATTATTTGTTTCACAACGAGTGTTAAGAAGAATAAACAATGATGCATATTATTACTCACATTCTTTTGCAGTCTATATCCTGCATTTCAGTAGTGATGAAACTCTTACAGTCTGTTTCTTCTATAACTACCTCTTTAATACGCAAACGCAGTCTATACACTCCATTCAATTACCATACAGATAGACGTAGGTTAATAATTGTATACAAGCATATGCGATTAATTCATTGGTATATGGTATACAAGAAGAAAGAGCGATAGTTACTGTGTTACTTTCCATGTGGTCATCAAGATATTGTCATCCAACATATCCAATTTCATTATTTCCGAGATCCAGTTCTTTGAGTGTCTGCATAACAACGAGTAGATAGAGTACGTCTATTTGAGATAAATGGAGTATCAATGGCAGTTACCACATTGTTCAGTATCATACTGAAAGAAGACGTAACAACTACCTTGTTCTTTCGTACGGCATCGGAGAGAAAATGTACTCCTTTTATCTAGAATTTGAGCACAATTAAGAGCGTATGTAGTCAATACCTACAATGGGAAAAATGCGTGAATGGTATGTAAAATGTTTGAGAAACGAACAATGAGAAAGTGTAACAGAGGTTGTACTTAAAATACCAGATTGTTAGATCAGTCTTGGTGATTGTCTGTAAAAAGACGTAGTGTCAGTCAAGAGCGACATATGGAATATATGAACGAAAAACAGCTTTACCTTTTCTTGTAGGTACGCATCCAAAATTAGATTCAATCGATGACACACATTACACATATTGAGAATAAAATACACAGTTCCTACCAATAATGTTCCACAAAAGTTGCTGTTGGTCTGTTCGACATCGCGGAAAAAGCCGTTTCAATATGCATTGTACCGATTTTGACGATGATAGAAATTATGTGTGTAACTTTTTGTTTCGCTTCTATTCATACCGTGATTATAAAATATGTTTACAGCTTGTGATATTCACATATATTTGTTGTATGCATATGCGATTCGGTTTGGAAACTTTTTTTTGTTCTATTAAGCTATTTTTCATTTTCATGTCACTATCCTTCACATTATAGGTAAGTGGGGAAAATTCTGGTACAAATTCGAGTGTTGTATGTATTTCACAAGTGAGATAAGCCATAGACTTTAAATTTGGCTTAAAAGTTGTAAGCCTTCGTTGCGGACAATATACATTGTGTGCAGTAGGAGAAGATCTGAGGAGAATGATTCTTCGAACTCGTGTGACTCCAACGATTTTTTGTGAATTTAGTTCTCATTTGATGAAGAAGGATATCCACTACACACTCTCGAGAAGGGTGCATCATATTTTTTGCCGCATTAGGTTTACCAAAGAACGTAAGAGCGACGTGTTTTTTCTCTTTCTTTTGTTATTTATGACGTCAGAAGCAAAAAACTGGTGGTGATATTTAACATGCTATGATGGATCCTTAAAAACAAAAATATGATACACATAGATAGGTTGTGAAGATGTAAGAATAATTCTAAGTGATAGTTATCATCTTATAACACATCCATACTGGTCTCAATTTTGTCGATACACATGGTACATTCTCGTTTCAATTTGGAGTGTTAAGAATCTTATGTGAATGACCGAATCCAATTATCTCGAAGCAAGAAAGAGATATACGATGAAATCGATACAATACGAAGTTTCATTCTGCAGTTATCCGACCGGAAAACTGACTATTTTCAATATTGTTGGCTAACGCCAATAAAGATTCATTTACAAGATATGGATGTCGGAATATTGTGGTGTCTATCGAGTGAAACGTCGTGCTAATTTGCATAATGAACGCGATAAGCAAAAGCAGAGGGAAAAACAATGCAACGTTAGTATTTAAGTTTTCAACACACAATACTTGCTCTCGCGAAATACATTTTAGTTCCAAAAAAGTGTGCAGAAGGTTAAGGATGAAGAAATATACGAACTCATGTGTTTCTCTTTCATTTATCAGAACAAGCTAGCTTATTTACAGACAGAAGTGCACTGAGGACAAATAAAAAAAGAACAGATGCTAATATAAATTATATGTGAACAAACGCGTTCATTTTGCAAAAAAGAAACGACCAAATTATGCTCGCACTAATAGCGACGTTACTGCTCAATCTGTTTATGCCAGTGAATGCTTCGTATTCACTTTATTATTCTAATCTTCGTCAAGATTCTAATCGAACATATGATTGTTTATATTCTTATATAAATGATATTGGAGAAACAGCTGGTAAAAATGATCTTCACAACTATCAGTTAGTGCCTTATTGTCGTCGACTCGATGATAACGACGAGCAAGATGAAGTTCAGTATCCTATTCGTGAAAACATAAATAAGACTTTCACTTTCAAACAATTGAAAAGTGAAAATGTGACAGGTGAACAATTACTCGAATGGTTTTCACCTGTTGACATTGCAGAAATATATGAAATGTCTAAGAGTGAGTCGGAAGTATTGTTTCATAATTGTTCAGCACCTTGGTTTGGCCCACTGTGCCAATATACATTTGATCAGGAACCCGATATAACATTTGGAGATATTATTGAAGGTACCTTTGAGAATTTATACAAGCTCGGGTCGAATATATCGTCCGGAACATGTTATCGATTTGTAGCGAATTGTACTGGTCGGTCGTGGCCACTATGTCTTGATTGGCATGATATTTGCGATGGAAAATTCGATTGTATGAATGGCGAAGATGAGCAGTTCTGTACAGAATTGGAAAAGACAAAATGTGATGATCAATTCTATCGATGTCATTATGGTGGCCAGTGCATTCCACGCTCATTTGTAAAAGATGGCCATTACAGCACCGATTGTTTCGACGGGAGTGACGAACGCGATGGACAGCACGCTCCAACACCATTGCGAAACATGCTTTGTGTAAGTGTGACAACATTTCGATGCCAGGAACGTATTAGCCGATATCCGATGGCGTTTCACTGTGAGGATGGTGAATATCTGGCGGGAATTACTATACCAAATGATCGATTCTACTGCTTTAATAAAAAGGACAAGAAGGTATCAATATCTATGCTGACTAACATGGAACATATATCAAGCACAGATTGTCGAAGTTCATTTTATTGTTCGCTTCATGCTAATCGATCATTCGGATATAAAGTTATCGATGATACTGGTATACCATTGTTTCCGATCGAAGATATTCGATATGAAGACTGTGAACCATTGATTAAACATTGCCAACCGGAATGGTTAGTTATACCTGCATCACCAACTTTATTTGGATTCTTTCAATTTGTTTACTTTATTAATCGAACAGTCGATGAATTCAAAGTATCGATAACTCCTGATTTCGTTTGTTTTCATGCGCAAGCATGTCCAGCATTGTTAATGGACGTCGTTCCTATTCGTCACATCAACGGATTGACATGCTTTGATCCTTGGAATTTGACATACTTCCGTGATTTGAAAGATTTCAATGATGCATCGAGTATATTTTCGTTTTACAATAGTTATTGCAGGAGAAAAGGTATTGAACAATCATGTGAAAATTCATCCTATTTTCATTGTAACGAATCCATGAAATGTATCTCATACAATCGTGTTGGCGATGGTGTGGTTGACTGCTTTTATGGCGAAGATGAACAATATGATGCGTGCCATTTGAATGATTCAAATCGATATCGATGTCCGCTGGGTCGAGATAAATGCTTGTTACCTGTGGCACTTGGCAATCAAATGGACAATTGTCGCTTCGGAGAAGATGAAACCTTTGCCTATACTCAAAATTTTGCTGTACTAATACCGTTTCCATATATATGTAATTGGGAGATTGATTTGTATAGTTATTTGCATACACCGAATCATACAGATGAGACCGACTGTCATATGTGGCCTTGTGATAATCCTTACACGCATTGTAATAAGTTCTGGAATTGTCAAAATGGTCTCGATGAACTCAATTGTCCGAATTCGGACTGTTCTTTCAATGAACATGCCTGTCACAATCAACAGACTGAATCGCTGCACTGTTTATCGATGAATCATATGTATGATAGATATTTCAATTCCTGCAATGAGTCACCTCTTAAACGAAGTGTGTATTTCTACAATGGAACAGCTGATATCAGTCTAGATTACTTTCCCTGGAATGACAGTCGCTGTCTGTCATTCGATAAACTCTGTCCAGAGAATGGAAGTATTCAAAACTCATTAATTGAAGAAGATACTTGTCATCAGTCGTCCGATACTTTCTACTGGATGTTTGAGAAAACTGTCAAACTTCTTCCCGATGACGAATATCTTTGTGAATATAATTCTGATTTTCATGGAGATGGTGTACCTTATTTCAAAANGAATCGTATAGTGATTAATGTTGGCGATGCATTTCTACTATAACGTGTCCGTAAACATGTACTTATTTGTTTTCGCAAACAAAATAATAGGAAATAGATCAATGCACATAACATACAAAATAAACGATAAAATATTTGAAATGGTACATAAATGCCTAATCCAATTGGTAAATGATACCAACGTGTTCCCATTATTTATAATCTCGATAGATGAAATTGTGAATGTGTTATGTATTTACATATATGTGGTGTTTTCAAAGAAAGAAAAGGCGTTTCACGCAACATTTGAAAAAAGAACAATCAGATGCATAAATTGCCCAATAGATTTACTTGTGAAGCATAGAGGGCAGAAGATATTGAAAAAGTATCAATAATCAATTAGAGAAACAAATCGCATTCATTTCAACTCTTTCAATTGAAATAATTCTCGACAGAAATTCAAAATCGATTGAGTTATGATTTTTGTACTGACAAGAGATTATCAAACGCAAATCCATTTCATCTGAAAACAAGGAAATAATAGTTTTACTTTATTTAGAAATTAATTGGTCATCATGTTGTTACATGTCTCCTTGATAAGAAAAGAAAATTTTTTGGTCTGTTACTTTCTTTATTCATCAAAGAAAGATTTAAAAAACACTTATTAAGGATTCTCACAACTAATTAGATCTTCACTTTACTTTTCATTCAAATATCACCAATGTCATTGACAAACAGTAGCACATTGGAAAACGAAGATCCGTCAATATCTGAGAGTCCGTTGAGTCGAGCAATTAAATTCTACTCTTTCCTTATTTGTGATATTCCTTCAATTCTCTGCAGCGGATTTATATTGACTTCTTTCTGTCGACTACGAGAATTACGTACGAATCAATGCACTCATGTGTAAGTCAATTTTATATCGTGATGATCTCATTATGATTTATTTATTAGTTTGTAATTTTCTCATTACAACGATTGAATTACCAGTTACATTGATTTATATTCATTTTGAACAGCTCATTCCGGTGTCGTATCAACTTTGTCTCTATTGGATTTTCACAGATTATTTTCTCTTTACCTCAAGTCTATGGATTATGACTGTTGCTTCGATCCAACGACATTTTCTTATTTTCTATGTACATTGGATGAATTCGCATGTCAAACATTATACATCCATTGTCATACCACCTACTTTTCTGTTTATTTGGTACATTTTTCTTTTTTTCTTTTATCCGTGTAAGAAACAATTTGATTTTACTCAACCTTGGTGCAATGGACTATGTTATGCATATTAGAGTACAACTGTAATCATTGGTTGGATCCTTGTTTCGTTTACACCTGTTGCTTTAACAGTAGTTGCGAATGTTCTCCTTGTTCTTCGAGTTGTCTATTAAAAATATCGAATTCAACGTGCTCGTACCTGGCGAACGATTCGTAAACTTGCTTTGCAATTATTTACGATCTCTTTCCTTTTTCTAAATATTTATTTACCATTAGCTACTATTTCATTTATTCGCTTATGGTTTGATCCAACATTTCCGACGACTTTTGCCTTATTTCATATGACATATGCTGCTTATATTGTTCCATTACTGATGCCATTTATTTATTTGATTAGCCTTCCTAAAGTTGTTTCGCAAATGAAAAAATTCATTTGTATCAACAATCGTATTCGACCCGAACAAGACCTGCAAGTTCCTATGACGCTGACTTCGAGACGAATTCATCAATAAACATATTGAACGTTATCATAAAAGCGTCGTACTATTCACTGTAAATCACAAGTATGTGTCTTGTCACGTTGACCGTCAAATCGTAATGGAACTGAGAAGAAGAAGTTAACATGTAACTCGTCGATCCATATGTTGATGAAGACGACAGATATGAAGAGGTAACATCTGTTTCTACACGCATTCGTTAAAAGGTGTTGTAGATACATTCGAGAGTTGGATACGTGAACCAAGGCATGCTCGTAAAGACGTACTAACCATCGCCTGGTTATGTGATTGACTACCACGTTGTAGTCTTCGTTTTTTAAGTTTCCTGAATGTACTCAACAACGTTTTAATTTGAGCCTTCTTTCATAGGGATGTTTCCCCGACCGATGATACAACTGACGGTATGGAATTGCTTCTAATAAGTCAAGGTGTAAATGAGATGTTAGTCAACAGGACAATCTTTAGTGATTTAAACGTCGGTTAGAAAAATGTTCCTAACCTGATACCTTTGTCACGAAAAGACAAAATACGACTGAAATAGACCGGTGCATAGAAGCTTTTTTCTTCTCATCTAAAACCGAGAGTATCAGATAGAAACAATTTTCTTGTACAACATGGCATTCCTTCTCATACTCATATTTCGTACAGCTGATGGGATATTTAATCTGATCACATTTTCATCTCAAGATTTCTGAAAAAAAAGTTCTACACATTCTATTTGATTTTGTTCTTCTTCTATTGACCTGGTTTTCATCAACATTGGTATAGTCAACAACAATCGATCTTCATGATCGTTTTCTCTACTTTCATCCAATACTCGTCACATCGATCTACGCTATTACCAACTACTTGTACTATTCCGTATCCTGTTATGATCAATCGCCTGATGCACGACATCTGAGCCAACAATTGTTCATTCTAATATTTGTACACGTTGTTATATTGTTTGTACTCTTGTATGAAAAAAAAACGTGAGATGAAAAGAATAAACTGTCTGATGAAGAAATGATAAATGAAACTTCGGTCGTCAATCCGTTCTAACAAGCGTTATTCTATCTACAGAACAAGAATAACAGTGAAAATGAATAGTCCGCGAAGAATCAATCTATTTTGTGTAAGACAAGAACGGATATTCTCACTTGCAGCTATAAATAAAGTACAGAAACTTCGGATTTTTTCAAAAGTTATGCATATTGTATTGATGTATGAGAAAACACAGGAAAATCTAAGAGAAAAATCTATATTTTTGCAATAATTCACAAATCATTAGTCCAGCTAGGCTCCTGTTTGAACGCGACCGAGATATTAACGTAACAATACTTTTCAGGCAATTTTATGATAATTGGAGTACCCGTTCAAGAATTCTCGCGTAAACAGCCGAACAAATTTATTGGTTCTACTAGTATACTCGTACCTTTTGATGGCACTAAAATATTCATTCATATTTCACTGTTTTCTTCTTTGTTCTTTTGAATGTCACACAACAGATCTCATGATACTGCCATCGTTCTATCGATATGGGATTGAACAATACGATCCTTCCACAGCACAAATATTATGTATACAAGAAAATTATGAATTTGTCATTTGTTTCTATTAGATTCAAAGACGTATTTCAGAAAAAAAAACACTTTTTTCTTCATATTGCGATAAGTTGACAATTTGTAAGCATATCGTTTCTCTATCGATTATCATGATTTAACAAGTTCAAAGATACAAAAAGATTAATAAATGAAATATCATGCCACCTGTATACATCGCTTCTTTCCTTTTTCGTTCTAATCTACTTAAATCGAACATCAAAGAACAGATGGCGATATCTATTCTTTTCGTGTTCATTCAACCGCAGATGATCTTCACCTTTCATCATTCGATGATGAACATTTTTCCCAATTCATTCATTGACGTTCAACGACAAAATAGATGGGACGACATTCCAAATCAAAGAAAATCTGTTCGATTGAAAATCTTTCGAATGAANTGACAGAAACAACTTTAGTTTGGTGGGGGCTAGACCCCCCCCCCAGCCCCCCACCTAATCGGGAACCATGATTCCCGTGCAATGTTTACGTCTCTCTCTCTCTTTCTATCTGCACATTATGTTAGTCTTGTTACAACTAATTAACTACATGCGTAATTACTTGTGCAACAAATAATTATGGCGACGAATTGTCCGTCCACCGAGCGAGCAGTGTGATTGAACGAAGTGAATCGTACCAAAAGAAAGATTTATTCAAAACTTATGTGTCAATGTTGATTTGTGATTCTGTCAAATTGAAAAAACTTTCAATAAACGTATTCATTTTCTCTAGAAAAAGAGAAGAGAACTTGCAGAAAGCATAGAAAAACTAGTTCATCCTTACTCATAAATTTCGGCGTCATCTTCCGAAAGACAACGACATAGTAAACTAGCAAACTAATGAGTAGAATAACAGATGCAACAAGAAAGCCAATATTGGGACGCGATATAACCGGTGCTATGACGAGATAAATTGATATTAATATCATGATTATCACCAGAGGAATAGGAACCTGAAAAATATGTTTCAACTATGTTATTCCCTATTGAATAGAATGTACTTTAATAACTCGATGAGCATCGCGTTTCGTAAATCGACAGCAGAGCACGGCAGTGAATGTTAATCCACGGAAAAGCCAAGAAACGAAACTAAAATAATTGATCAGACCGTCAACATCACTTGGAATACAGTAGATGATCGAAAGAATCGCCTGAAGTAAACAAAACACAACGAAATAAACCGACTCAACAAAAGAACAAACTTGTAATATAATGGCAGGTAATGGTGTTAGTCGTTGTTTTTGAATATACGAAAAAATGGCAGGTAAATATCCATAGCGTGCACTAACCATACAATGACGAGCGTATGAGTACGTCGATACATTGGCACTGCCCAATGCACTTATAGATATTAAAATTGGTAAAGCACGAGCCACAGATCCTAGTACAATCTCGCCCCATGTCTAAAGAGATAATCACCAATGGGTATCGCTCATACCATAGAAAATGTTTATATACCATGGCAACGGCATTTGAACTCAGCAATTCAGATTTCGTCATCACTGTAAAATACGATATATTCGTCAGAATATATAAAATAATGACTGCAGGAATGGCCACAACAATAGATAACCACAGATTTCTGAACGACATGTACAATAAGCAATCAGTTGTACATGAATATGTAAATACCGTTTAGGATTTTTTACTTCTTCAGTTACTGACGTTAAACTACCCCATCCGGCATATGCCCAAAGTCCAGAATAGAAAGCAAGTGCGATTCTTAACGGATTATCCGTTGTACCTATTCAGTTTATAAAAAAAGAAATCGTGAAAATCTGCTTCAGAAATATTAACCATGGAAAGAATTCTTCAAATTGTCAGTGTATCCTAATTGAAGGAGAACAAACTTTTGTTTCATTCTATATCAATCAAATCGAAACAAACCTTGACCGATTCGCACGAGACCTGCGATGGCAATCACCAAGATTGTCGCCATTTTGCTTACAGTAAATACAATATTCAATCGATTGGCTGCTGTAACACTCCATGCATTTACATTGCCAAGAATGACTAAATACATAAGTGAAAATGTAGATAAAAATAATATCGGATCATCCAACGGACCAAGCGAGAAAATAGCCAACATTTTCACTAATTCAATCGGTGGACCACAACCTAAATGAATTGAGTCAGACGATTGCTAAGCTTCGCTTTCTACTTACTATCCATAATTCCCGATAAAAAGTAGGATGAAAATGTGAGAACAATAATGGCATTGCTTGATGGTTGAAGAATAAATGTTTTCGCCCAACTATTAACAAATGCAAGCATATCACCAGTCCGAGCATGAGCCGATCCAATTCCTACATTATATATCGTTAAACTTAAATGTAGATATACTCCATGAAATTCTCTCTTGAAATCCCGAAATATTCTCTACTGAACCTTTCGAAGATTTTTATCGATTCGGTTATCACCTTCTCTCATGTAGATCAGTTCCGAACCACTCAACGGCATTATTATTGCAATTTCAGCGTAACATAATGCACCTAGAGTGAAGAAAGTCAATAAAAAAAAATACTACTTTGCTAATGAGATATCTTGCCGAGTAGAGCTACGAGTCCGCACATAACCCACACTATTAGACATAAGCCAACTGATTGAGTCTCTCGCAGAACGCCTTTCGGGGAAATGAAGATACCAGTACCTAAATATAATGAAATAAGTACGAGAAATCAGGCTAAATATCTGCTCACCAATAATCGTGCCGATAATGAAAGTAACGGCAGAAAATAGGCCAAGATGTCGTTTTAATGCGATCTTCTCATTGCATGGTACATTCTCTACGTTGGAGTCGGTATTTTGAATTAATTCAGTTGTTGGATGTTGTCTTTGACTCATTGATGAACTCACTCGTCGTTCGACCGTGAACTCTTCTGTGTATGGTTCGATACGATTCATTTAGAGCCGAAATAAAACAAATATATATCGTTTTATTTAAATTCTTAAAAATTCGTGGACAAATACGATGATGACAAAGCGAGTAATCAAAAAAGAACGAGAATAAATACTCTTCACTTATCAGACTTCGATTAACATTACAAATGATAAAAATGTCACATAAGAAATTTCTCGCTATTCAATAATTTCTCTTCACATGATGTATGCGTGGCGATAACAACATAAAGATACAGGTCGTTTCCAGGAAAATTCTTTCATTCTCGGATTTCTGAAAAAGTTTCACACTTTATCTATCATTGTATGTCTCTTCGCGGAAAATGATATTCTCCCCGAATTATACACCCCCGAAAAACACTATTCTCAGAAGAACAAGCAACAAATAAACGTCTTGGTCCGAATGAATTATTTGTTTCACAACAAGTGTTAAGAAGAATCAACAATGATGCATATTATTATTACTTACATTCTTTTGCAGTCTATATCCTGCATTTCAGTAGTGATGAAACTCTTACAGTCTGTTTCTTCTATAACTACGTCTTTAATACGCAAACGCAGTCTACGCTTCATTCAATTACCATACAGATAGACGTAGGTTAATAATTGTATACAAGAAGAAAGAGCGATAGTTATACTGTGTTACTTTCCATGTTATCATCAAGATATTGTCATCCAACATATCCAATTTCATTATTTCCGAGATCCAGTTCTTTGAGTGTCTGCACAACAACGAGTAGATAGAGTGTCTATTTGAGATAAATGGAGCATCAATGGCAATTACCACATTGTTGAGTATCATACTGAAAGAAGATGTAACAACTACCTTGTTCTTTCGTAAGCCATCGGCCAGCAAATGTACTCCTCTTGTTTAGAATCTGAGTACAATTAAGAGCTTATGTAGTCAATACCTACAATGGGAAAAATGCATGAATGGTATGTAAAATGTTTAAGAAACGAACAATGAGAAAGTGTAACAGAGGTTGTACTTAAAATACTAGATTGTTAGATCTATCCTGGTGATTGTCTGTAATAAGACGTACTGTTAGTCAAGAGCGACATATGGAATATATGAACGGAAAATAACATTACTTTTTGTTGTAGGTACGCATCCAAAATTAGATTCAATCGTTGACACACATTACACATATTGAGAATAAAATACACAGTTCCTACCAATAATGTCACAAAAGTTGCTGTTGGTCTGTACGACATTGGTAAAAGCCGTTTGAATATACAATGTACCGATTTTGACGACGAGAGAAATGATGTGTGTAACTTTTTGTTTCGCTTCTTTTCATACCATGATTACAAAATATGTTTACAGCTTGTGATATTCACATATATTTGTTGTATGCATATGCGATTCGGTTTGGAAACTTTTTTTTTTGTTCTATTAAGCTATTTTTCATTTTCATGTCACTATCCTTCACATTATAGATAAGTGGGGAAAATTCGGGTACAAATTCGAGCGTTGTGTGTATTTCAAAAGTGAGATACACCATATACTTCAAGTTTGGCTTAAAAGTTGTAAGCCTTCGTTGCGGACAATATACATTGTATGCAGTAGGAGAAGATCTGGGGAGAATGATTCTTCGAACTTGTGTGACTCCAACGATTTTTTGTGGATTTAGTTCTCAATTGGTGAAGAAGGATATCCACTACACACTCTCGAGCAGGGCGCATCACATGTTTTTGCCACATTAGGTTTACCAAAGAACGTAAGAGCGACGTGTTTTTCTCTTTCTTTTGTTTTTCATGACGCCAGGAACAAAAAACTGGTAGTGATATTTCACATGCTATGATGGTTCCTTAAAAACAAAAATATGATACACATAGATAGGTTGTGAAGATGTAAGAATAATTCTAAGTGATAGTTATCATCTTACACATCTATACTGGTCTCAATTTAGTCGATACACATGGTACATTCTCGTTTCAATTTGGAGTGTTAAGAATCTTATGTGAATGACCGATAAGTTCGTTCAATTTAATTTCGGTAGTAGTATAATTAGAAAATTAGCAACAGTATAGCTGAAATTGCTGATACGAATAAACTTGTATTCATTACTGCATGGTTGTTTTTTGAAATTCAGTTACATTGAACGTCGGACTATTTTTTGGCCGAATCCATTTACCTCGAAGCAAGAAAGAGATATATGATGAAATCGACACGATACGAAGTTTTATTTTGCAGTTATCCGACCGGAAAACTGACTATTTCCAATACTATTGGTTAGAATCGATAAAGATTCATTTACAAGATATGCATGTCGGAATATTGTGGTGTCTATCGAGTGAAACGTCGTGCTAATTTGAATAATGAACGCGATAAGCAAAAACAGAGGAAAAACCAATGCAACGTTAGTATTTAAGTTTTCAACACACAATACTTGCTCTCGCGAAATAAATTTTAGTTCCATAAAGTGTGAAAAAGGTTAAGGATGAAGAAATATACGAACTTATGTGTTTCTCTTTCATTTATCAGAACAAGGTAGCTTATTTACAAACGGAAGTGCACTGATGACAAATAAAAAAAAGAGCAGATGCTAATATAAATTATATGTGAACAAACGCGTTCATTTTGCAAAATAAAACGACCAAGGTATGCTCGCACTAACAGCGACGTTACTGTTTAATCTGTTTATGCCAGTGAATACTTCTTATTCACTCTATTATTCTAATCTTCATCAAGATTCTAATCGAACATATGATTGTTTATATTCTTATATAAATGATATTGGAAAAGCAGCTGGTAAAAATGATCTTCACAACTATCATTTAGTGCCTTATTGTCGTCGACTCGATGATAACGACGAGCAAGATGAAGTTCAGTATCCTATTCGTGAAAACATAAATAAGACTTTCACTTTCAAACAATTGAAAAGTGAAAATGTGACAGGTGAACAATTACTCGAATGGTTTTCACCCGTTGACATTGCAGAAATATATGAAATGTCTAAGAGTGAGNGAGGCAGAATTCAGAACTTATTGTCATCGCGGCATTCTCGTTTTCCGTGGTTTAAACAAGACGAAGACATGCCTTTGTCCACCCAATTACTTCGGATCTCGATGTCAGTGGCAAAATCAACGTGTCAGTTTAACAGTTCAATTCGTATGGAGTGGCGTTTCATTTCAAATAACAATATTTGAAGTCATCTTCATGCTGATTGACCAACATGGTCAAATTGGGCCGTATCATGAACGACTTACATATGTGCCAAATCGTGACTGTAAAGCAAAGTATAATCTTTACTTACTCTATCCCGACCGACCGAAATCGCCAGCACAGAATTATTCCATTCGCATCGATATCTATGAGAAAACTCAGTTGACCTATTGGGCCAGTTGGTACTTACCAATTCCTTTCCCCTTCTTACCTGTTAATCGAATTGCTACCCAACTAACCATTCCTGAATCACCCAATCATGAATCGTGTGCTGTATCCTGTGGCGATCATGGCCAATGTGTGAATTACGTCAATGAAAGATCAATGTCTTTCTGTTTATGTGATGAAAGATATTCCGGTTCTTATTGTAATGTTAAAACTGAATGTAAATGTGCCAATCAATCGCTCTGCTTGACTTCGACGATATGCGTTTGTCCATTGCATAGATTCGGTTCCTATTGTCATATGACCCGTTCGATTTGTCAGTTGGAGCGCAATTCATGTGAATATAATGGTCTGTGCGTTCCGACGGACGATCGCATCGATTTAAAAGGATTTACTTGTTTTTGTCAGGAAGATCACTCAGGAGAACGATGTGAAAGGAAAGTCAATCGAATCGATATACGTGCCAATGAAGAAATCCGATCGCGAACTTCATTATTATTAATACATTTCATCACCGCATTCGATCATTCTGAACACGAACGTGGAACTCTATTGAAAAAAGTTGCCTATAATCAAAAAATGATAACCGTGTATGTTGCACAACCATTTCATTTACTTTTCGTCCAAATACCTAAGCAAGATTATTATTTAACAATCTTTCGTGAAAAACTTACATACTCGTCATATATTCAAACGGAAATTCAATCGAAAAANTGATTCCAGTTCAATTCCTTCGAAGATAACTCATAGGAAGAAAGCAAATTTCAGCGAGGCAGAATTCAGAACTTATTGTCATCGCGGCATTCTCGTTTTCCGTGGTTTAAACAAGACGAAGACATGCCTTTGTCCACCCAATTACTTCGGATCTCGATGTCAGTGGCAAAATCAACGTGTCAGTTTAACAGTTCAATTCGTATGGAGTAGCGCCTCATTTCAAATAACAGTATTTGAAGCCATCTTCATGCTGATTGATCAACATGGTCAAATTGCGCCGTATCATGAACGACTTACATATGTGCCAGATCGTGACTGTAAAGCAAAGTATAATCTTTACTTACTCTATCCCGACCGACCGAAATCGCCAGCACAGAGTTATTCCATTCGCATCGATATCTATGAAAAAACTCAGTTGATCTATTGGGCCAGTTGGTACTTACCAATTCCTTTCTACTTCTTACCTGTTAATCGAATTGCTACCCAACTAATCATTCCCGAATCACCCAATCATGAATCGTGTGCTATATCCTGTGGCGATCATGGCCAATGTGTGAAGTACGTCAATGAAAGATTAATGTCTTTCTGTTTATGTGATGAAGGATATTCTGGTTCTTATTGTAATGTTAAAACTGAATGTAAATGTGCCAATCAATCACTCTGCTTGACTTCGACGATATGCGTTTGTCCATTGCATAGATTCGGTTCTTATTGTCAAATGACCCGTTCGATTTGTCAATTGGAGCACAATTCATGTGAATACAATGGTCTGTGCGTTCCGACGGACGATCGCATTGATTTAAAAGGATTTACTTGTTTTTGTCAGGAAGATCACTCAGGAGAACGATGTGAAAGGAAAATCAATCGAATCGATATACGTGTCAATGAAGAAATCCGATCGCGAACTTCATTGCTATTAATACATTTCATCACCGCATTCGATCGTTCTGAGCACGAACGTGGAACTCTATTGAAGAAAGTTGCTTATGATCAAAAAATGATAACCGTGTATATTGCACAACCATTTCATTTACTTTTCGTCCAAATACCTAAGCAAGATTATTATTTAACAATCTTTCGTGAAAAACTTACATACTCGTCATATATTCAAACGGAAATTCAATCGAAAAAGCGTTGTTCTTCCATAAATCAACTTCTTAACGATACTGTTCGACAATACGAATATTTGCAACGAGTTAAATACTATCCCTTGTTATGTCGAAAGAATATCGAGTTAGCCTGTTTTTATGATGATAATGTTATGTGTATATGCGATCAGGATCGCTTTTCCAATTGTTTTCTATTCAATCATACACTGAATGATGATTGTCAGGGTTATAACTATTGTGAAAATCGAGGCCGATGCTTTCAAAACAATGCTTCATGTCCGACCAAATATACGTGTATCTGTCGCGATTGCTATTACGGCGCTAAATGTCAATTTTCTACGGAAGGCTTTCTTTTCACACTCGACACAATTCTTGCCTTTCATATCAGACCGAATCGTCCACTAAATCAGCAAACACGACCGATTCAAGTCAGTATTTCCATCAGCGTGATTTTTTTAGTTCTTGGGTTGTCCAATGGTTTATTGTCATTTGTCACGCTTCGTCGAGCCCAAGTCAAACGAATCGGAACGGGTCATTATCTTTTCTATTCGTCGATTGTCGCAACGTTTACAATATTAACTTTAACATACAAATTCTGGCTGTTGATTTTGACTCAAATGTCCGTGATGACCAATCGATCGTTACTTTATTTTAATTGTGTGACCGTCGATGTTACTCTTCGAATTCTGCTCACAACAAGTGAGTGGCTAAATTCATGTGTATCGGTGGAAAGAATGGTTAGTATCGTTATGGGCGTTCGCTTTCAACGGAAAACGAGTGTCAGATTTGCCAAACGAGTCATCATCATGATGTTCGTTTTCATCATAGCCACACATATCCACGAACCGTTCCGTCGACAACTGATTGATGATTATGATATCGACGAGCATCGAATTTGGTGTTTTGTGCGATATTTACCATGGATGCAAAAATATAACTCGTACATGACTATCTTTCATTTTCTTACACCATTTCTAATCAATATTTCGTGTTCGCTTTGGATTATTATCAAATTAGCCTACAGACGAAGTCATAAAGAACGCTCTCGAACGCTGAAATATCATTTGAGAGTTCAAATTCAACACCATCAACATCTTTTATATTCGCCATTTATCTTAATTGTATTGAGTTTGCCTCGTCTAGTTATTTCATTTACAAGCGGCTGTATGAGATCAACCAAGCAACCGTGGTTATACTTGGCTGGCTACTTTCTTTCATTCGTTCCGTCAATGTCAATATTTATTGTTTTTGTAATGCCATCAAAAGCTTACAAGACAGAGTTTTACGCAGTTACCGAACATTTTTTGAGAAAATTTCGCTCAGCCCGGTAATTTTGAGTGGTGTGGGTGAAGGTAGAAGAACCATTATTCTGTCATAGACTACAATCTCTTAATATATGTTCGAATGCACAGCTTGATGTACTCTCGTATTTCATATTCTGTTCTAGCTAATGTAATAAAATGAACTCGTCGTCGTTCGGTATCATATGAATGTAATAATATACTTTTAGCTGAATAGTGTTTACAGTACATGCTTGAAATAATATTTTCAAAATGGAAGTATATGACCGGTACAAAAAGTCATTTTCAATAAAAAAGATTCTTTTCGTAGGTCGTTGACGTACGTATATTGATGGATCCCCGTAGCATTGAAGGTATGAAACTGAATAGATGAGTGTTACGATACTTTTGTCGTCTCTGTTACATAATGCACGATGCTAGCCAGAATTATTCGTAAATGACATTAATCGACTAAACATCGTATATATCAATACCTCTCTTTTGAACGCGCACTACTTATGAATTTGATTCTCCATAAATAATGTAATCTCTCTCAGAGATTTCACTATAGATACGTTGACTGAATTCACCAGATGAAATATCGATTGCGGAAGGATATTTCATATGCTAACCATGCGAAGGTGATAGGGAAAAATACAATATTTATTGGAATATAAAAAACAGAATTAGATATAATTACGAAATCACGTTAATAGTGGTTAAACCAATGTCCTTGCCATGTCTAGGATGAACTCTGGCTTTTCGTATTGCGAATGTCTTCAAAAACTCTCTTCGAAAATTACGATTCCAAACAATTGATACATAAAATGTTCCAGCAGCAAACAAGTAGGAACTCAATCGAATAAATCCAATAATTAAATCTTCCCAAGCGATACGCAAAGTTGATTTTATCCATCCATCAGTAAACAAAGCATAAAGAATATATATTCCGTATGGAACATAATTGATAACAGCAAGAACCGATTGTGTAAATAACATGATTGATAGTTGAGAATCAATCTCTTCGTTGATNGACGAAGTCATAAAGAACGCTCTCGAACGCTGAAATATCATTTGAGAGTTCAAATTCAACACCATCAACATCTTTCATATTCGCCATTTATCTTAACTGTATTGAGTTTACCTCGTCTAGCTATTTCGTTTACAAGCGGCTGTATGAGATCAACCAAGCAACCGTGGCTATACTTAGCTGGCTACTTTCTTTCATTCGTTCCGTCAATGTCAATATTTATTGTTTTTGTAATGCCATCAAAAGCTTACAAGACAGAGTTTTACGCAGTTACCGAACATTTTTTCAGCAAATTTCGCTCAGCTCGGTAATTCCGAGTGGTATGGGTGAGGGTAGAAGAACCATTATTCTATCATAGACTAGAATCACTTACCATGTTCGTGTGCACAGCTTGATGTACTCTAGTAATTCATATTCTGTTCTAGCTAATGTAATAAAATGAACTCGTCGTCGTTCGGTATCATATGAGTGTAATGCTTCTAGCTGAATGGTGTTTACACATCCTTGAAATGATGTTTTCAAAACGGAAGTATGACTGGTACAAAAGGTCATTTTCAAAAAAAAAAGATTCTTTTCGTAGTAACTCGCAGCGACGACTGGTTTCTTTTTTCGCTGATTATTTTCGTTGTCGTAATTTCTTTTTCATACGAATTTATAACTATAAACGAATAGTCGTTGACGTATATTGATGGATCCCCGTAGTTTTGAAGGTATGAAACTGAATAGATGAGCATTACCATACTTTTGTCGTCTCTGTTACATAATGCACAGTGCTAGCCAGAAATATTCGTAAATGACATTAATCGACTAAACATTGTATATCAATATCTATCTTTTGAACACACTACTTATGAACTTGATTCTCCATAAATAAAGTAATCTTTGCCTGAGATTTCACTATAGATATGTTGACCAAATTCACCAGATGAAATATTGGTTGCGGAATGATATTTCATAAGCTAACCTTTACCTATCACGCGTTGAATAGGCTACATTAGATACGACTTCATAGTATGAAAGGTGTAGTCGATCCGATATGTATACGAAGGTGATAGGGAAAAATGCAATATTTATTGCAATATAAAAAACAGAATTAGATGTGATTAAGAAATCATGTTAATAGTGGTCAAACCAATATTCTTGCCATGTCTAGGATGAACTCTGGCCTTTTGTATTGCGAATATTTTCAAAAACTCTCTTCGAAAATTACGATTCCAAACAATTGATACATAAAATGTTCCAGCAGCAAACAAGTAGGAACTCAATCGAATAAATCCAATAATTAACTCTTCTCAAGCGATACGCAAAGTTGATTTTATCCATCCATCAGTAAACAAAGCATAAAGAATATATATTCCGTATGGAACATAATTGATAACAGCAAGAACCGATTGTGTAAATAACATGATTGATAGTTGAGAATCAATCTCTTCGTTGATTCCTTGATTTTGTAGAGCTGCGTGCCGTTGACTAACACTTCGAATAGTGTGCCAAAGTAGAGCAGTCAGGACGATAACTAGCAAAGGTGCGCCTACTGCGGTAAGTGCCATGTCCAGATAAGTATCAAAGACCCTATAGAATCCTTCTTCGGCTTCGCAAGATCTATGTACATTCGTGTACAAAACTAATCGATGCGTACTGACTGCAATCCAAAGAACAAAGTTTGCTACGACAAGCTTATAAGCAAGAGGAACACGATTGCTCCATAGTCGTAGTTCTAAAAAGGTGATAAATAAATGATCGACGGCTATTGAATGAAAACGAATTTTCACTTACTGTTTGAGCGTTGTGCCGAGAGAATTCTGTCCAGTGTTGCGAATAGAAACATAGTGTTTTCACTCTGATACATCACCATCGAGATAAACTCTCGAATTCGACAAAATACATTCGATATATCCATCAATGATACGTTAAAACCACTTTCCAGGATACGCGTCAAGAGAATGCAGTTTAGAATGAATAAACTAGCAATAGTTCCCCAAAATAGATAAATGAAACAAGCTTGTCGACGATAAGTTTGTGAACGAAAGACGAGTATGTTTCCCATACATCCGATATTTCCAGCCACAAATAAAAATATACCACCAACGATCGTTACGTAAACAGTGGCATTTTCAAGCATATTTTCCAAGGTACTAGACGAACTCATTACTGTCTTATTTTCCATGATGCTCAAGAAAGATATTCCTTGTTTTCTGCAATGATTCAGTTACCTCTGGGCATTGTTGTAACTTACTATATGCAGAATACACTTCAGGAAATGAAAAAGAAATGCTAACGATATTTTTCAGGCGACGTTGTATGTATGAAGTTCTTTCAAGTGTGCGTTAATAATATTAACATCTACTGCTAATTAGTTTCTCTCCTCAATCTTTCCAATGGCGTCTTATTCAACGAATACAATAAACGCTTTCCTCACTTGTGCCCCGTTATTTTGCGATATTATTTCATTCAAAGTATAGTGTAGTGAGGATCTGTGTAGAAAGGAGTCGCAACATATGAAACAATGTGCTGAAGAGAATACAATATTCATATTGTCATTCCGTAATTCATTGACTAAATGCAACACATTGCAGAAATATCTATTCGAATCAACTGATGAGCGTTTCTTTTTCGACGTTCTTCTTATCGTTGTTGATGTTGATTTTGACCTTGAATACTATGTATTCCTGTACGTTCCACTAATTGACGAATATTTCGAACTGCATACAAACAAAAGTAAAGCATGACAAAGTAGTGAACCTATCCTATATGCAGTCAAATTCGATATGGCAAACAAAGTCTAATACATGTCTGGCATTTTTTTGACAAGCATGTTTATTGACGTATAGAAATAGGATGAAAACATATGCTAACCGGTAAAATCACAAATGGTATGGTGTGAGTATAGCAACACGGGAACTACTAAGAGCATGGAGTCTTGTAGACGGTGAAACTACATTAGAAACTATAAAAATAATTGCTAAAGCCATGCAAATCGTATCCTAGAAGAACATATTCAAAATTAGTTGATATTTTATAATGAAAAAATTTCGTTTTTTTTACCTTGTCTACATGAACATGAGCGTAAGCATTTTACATGATATTTATGAATTCAAGTGATAATAATCACAGCTTCTATGAGATTTAAATCTGATGATGTCATTCGAACCAACAATAATGTTTAAACAGGAGGTAGAACTCTATCTTACATTTAACAACTATCATCTATGTCATATGGACAAACTTTTCGAAAAGAAAGAGTTATAATTAGGATGAGTTTTTCAAAACCGCCGTGTTGCAACAAAAAAGATTTCTTTTAAAAGACAGATTTTGCGTGTTATTTTATTCATAGATTGATTTTCAAGTTTTATTTTTATCTATCAATTTAAGAGAAAGAAAACAATTAATTTTGTGGGTGTTTACTTCCGTTCTGCCGCATTACATATTTTTTGTCTTACACATTAATCACGTGCCGTAGGTAATTTCTAACGCGTCATTGCATGATGCAACGAAAATGAAATATTATGCTCTCTGGACAAAAAAAAAAACTACATAAAACGCAGAGATTGGACAAGTACCAGTACTTGTACTTTTTTTACTTAAGTACCGGTACTTTTCTAATGTATTGTGTAGGGTACTCAAGAAAGTACCGGTACTTGAGTAAAAAAATACTGTGTACTTTCAACATCAAGTACTAAGTACCTTTTAGTTAGTACCAGTACTTGTACTTTCTTACTCAAGTACTGGTACTTTTTTAAGTACTGTACTAAGTATCCAATGTCTGATAAAACGTTGAAACACATTGAAAAACGCAATATTGTAGATACATTTTTAGTAATATTCAATTCACAATTCAAACAGTTCTATGTCGAAACAGCAGTATATTCTCGATATATTCGATACACGACACGATGATCAACGTCATCAACGTTATACACATGGCCTACGTGCAAGAAAAAACAAATATCTAAGGCCACGGCAATTAACGTCATGTACGTAACGTATTTCCTTTTTCATCGTTGAATAATGCATACTTTCTAGATGCTCCGAAGCGCTCTCGATCGATTACACGATCAGAAAAAGCAGAAGAACTAATTGATGATCAAGACTATGGTTATCTCCTTGATGAATTCTATTATTCTCTTGTGAAAAAGTATTATTCTTCTTCCGAGTATCGTTACGATACACACCCATATGACCTCAGCATATCAAGAGCTATTCGATTGAACGATGTTGACTTTCTTGGTGTAGCTATTCGACAGTTACAATTGAATCATCAACAAAGGAATGTCAATCGTACAGATAGACGAAATCGAGCATTTGAACATTATATACACTATGATCGTCATACGATGCTCACTGATGCACTTGTGCATGCGGGTCCACAGTGTGCCGAAGTTATATTAGATGGCGTATACGATGGTTTTATCTATTCGACAATCATTGATCATGTTACTGGTAATGGAAGAACTGCTCTTTGGTATGCTTGCGAAAAAGGTTATTTTGATCTCGTCCGTGAACTTGTCGAACGTGCACATGCAAATGTAAATAAATGTGGAGTCTTATTGGTTGCGCTCCAAAAAAATCACAAAGGAATTGTAAATTATCTGTTAAGTCAAGGATGTGATCCTAATCGACGAGTAAAAAATTATAATGAAAGTGCATTACATATCGCCTCGCGTCGAAATCAACTTGATATGGTTGATCAACTGTTGAAATATGGTGCTAATCCCAATGTACTTGATTATAAGAAAAGGACGCCTCTGGATTATGCTATACATAAAAAACATATCGAGATAGCTCGAATTCTGATTCAGTATCATAATGGACGTTTTATTATGAGTCAAACAGGATATACACCGTTGATGTTAGCAGCTAGTTGTAATAACAAACCTATTGTGAATTTACTTTTGAAGATATTACCTGATCAACAAATTTTAGACGAATTAGCTCTTTTGGCGTGTCGATATATAATTGATGGGAATCGGAGTAAATGCGACGAAGCGTATTGTTACCTCGAGAAAGCACTAAGTCGAGCAGTACCATCGTGTATCAATACTCCTTGTGAAGCTTATGAATTTGTTACTGAATGTCAAACACTCGATGAACTTGTGTCAATACGAAATAATGATAACAAATTACGAATGTATGCATTAGTTGTTAGTGAACGACTTTTACTTCGAAAAGGTGAACTTAAACATCTTCTTACCTTGATTATAAAACAAAGTGATGTGTACAGATGGCAAAGATTATTCTATCGTTGTTTACAATTACGAATGCGTGCCTATGAGTTGCTATTACAAGCAGAAGCTAATCGTAAATATGATATCAAAGTATGTGAAGAGTATCTTGCTCCAATTGTGAGTAGTTTATACAAAATATTGGAAACAGAGCGTAGAATATCTGTTCATTTGCTGGTGCGTATTTGGTCATGGGTGTTCGACAGGAAACTATGTCCCCTTTTGTTCAAGCTTCTAATGATAATTTTTTATGTAAGTATAGTATATTGTTGAAGAAACAATTTCGTTTTTTTTTCCTATTATTTATAGCTTTTGGAAACGGGAAATACTGCTAGCAACGAAAAATATATTCTTATCAGTCTCATTGTACAACTTGTGCGTAAGAAGATTATTATCCATCGAGGACTTACTCTGCTGGGATATTTTGTTAAGCGAATTGCATCCAATGCGAATGATCTTACATGTGCTTCTGTTAAGTAAGTTTTCCTATAGTGGAATGCAAAAATTTGAGAAAATAATTTATGCTTATTCTAGTATACCAACATTGTCCATTATTCGATTGTTGATATATGCTGGAGCAGACGTGAATGAAACTAACTTATATTCAAAGTCAACACCATTACATTTGCTCTCGACGTGTGATAACGAAAATGGAGCAAAATCAGCAATTCAACTTCTTTTGGACGCTGATGCACATATAGATTGTATAAATGCTCGTGGTTATCGACCAGACGATAACACTTATAACCTTGAAATCAAGGAATTCTTACGAAGTCATCGAACAATTTCACTCAAATGCTTATGCGCACGTTTAATTGTTTCAAACAATTTACCCCATAAACATTGTCTTTCAGCAGATATTATTCAATTTGTACAAANGACGCCTCTGGATTATGCTATACATAAAAAACATATCGAGATAGCTCGAATTCTGATTCAGTATCATAATGGACGTTTTATTATGAGTCAAACAGGATACACACCGTTGATGTTAGCAGCTAGTTGTAATAACAAACCTATCATGAATTTGCTTCTGCAGATATTACCTGATGAACAAATTTTAGAAGAAGTAGTTCTTTTGGCTTGTCGATATACAATAGATGGGAATCGGAGTAAACGCGATGAAGCATATTGTTATTTTGAGAAAGCACTAAGTCGAACACCGCCATCGTCTATCAATGCACCTTGTGAAGCTTATGAATTTGTTACTGAATGTCAAACACTCGACGAACTTGCTTCGATACGAGATAATGATAATAAATTACGAATGTATGCATTAGTTATTAGTGAACGACTTCTTCTTCAAAAAGATGAACTTAAACATCTTCTTACCTTGATTATAAAACAAAGTAATGTCTACAGATGGCAGAGATTATTCCATCGTTGTTTACAATTACGAATGTATGCCTATGAATTGCTTTTACAAGCAGAAACTAATCGCAAATATCATATCAAAATATGTGAAGAATATCTTGTTCTAATTGTGAGCAGTTTATATAAAATATTGGAAACAGAAAGTAGAATATCTGTTCATTTACTGGTGCGTATTTGGTCATGGGTGTTCGAGAGAAAAATATGTTCTCTTTTGTTCAAGCTACTAATGATGATATTTTATGTAAGAAGTATATTCTTGAACAAATAATTTCATTCTTTGTCTCAATTATTTAGCTTTTGGAAACGAAAACTACTGATGGTAACGAAAGATATATTCTTATCAGTCTCATTGTACAACTTGTGCATAAGAAGATTATTATCCATCGAGGACTAACTCTGCTAGGATATTTTGTTAAGCGAATTACATCCAATGCAAATGATCTTACATGTGCTTCTGTTAAGTAAGCTTTCTTATAGTGGAATGCAAAAATTTGAGAAAACAATTTATGCTTATTCTAGTATACCAACATTGTCCATTATTCGATTGTTGATATATGCTGGAGCAGACGTGAATGAAACTAACTTATATTCAAAGTCAACACCATTACATTTGCTCTCTACGTGTGATAACGAAAATAGAGCAAAATCAGCAATTCAACTTCTTTTGGATGCCGATGCACACATAGATTGTATTAATGCTCGTGGTTATCGACCAGACGATAACACTTATAACCTTGAAATCAAGGAATTCTTACGAAGTCATCGAACAATTTCACTCAAATGCTTATGCGCACGTTTAATTGTTTCAAACAATTTACCCCATAAACATTGTCTTTCAGCAGATATTATTCAATTTGTACAAATGCATAGTCGAGAGAAAAGCTGATAGTTCGGTTTGTCTTATTCGGTCATTTTTTAAAGTAAATTTTAAAAAAAGATCTTTATGATTTAAACCGAATGACGGTGGTATTCCATCACACTATCTGAATTGAAGCTTTCCATAAAAGAATCCTATATATGTGTAATATGGTTCTGCACGTGAACATTTTTACAGTTGTTATCCTGGTTAATTGGTTTCTCACAACGGTAAAATACATTTGATATCTTTCTTCAACTATGAGCGGTGTCACATGGTTGACTCATCTATTGAAATGCTTCTTGCTGACGTATGATCAGATGTAGTTTCATATATACATATTGATGATATTGCTCGTGCTTTTCTTCGTCTTAACAATCGTTTAAATTAAATAATCTTGTCTATTCACACCCTCACACCCTCACCCTCACCCACACCCTCAGAAGTGTCATTATATCCACCGGTAACTAATAGTTTTCCATTTCGCAATAGGGTTGCTGTATGTTCAGCACGTTCTTCTTACATATTTCGGATAGTTGTCCAATTACGTATTGATGGATCATATAATTCCACTGAATCGGTATAGCCATCGTGACCAATTCCACCTCAAGCCAATATTCTATCATCGGGCAGTGCAGACAATGTATAAAATTCTCGTACAGTTTCCATACTACCCGTTGATGGTTCATAAATTTCAGCATTGTCTAGATAAAATTGTCCAGTATATCCAGCAGCGACTAATACTTTCTTGTTGTTTGATACCGAAGCTGCATGTCGATATCGTACTTGTGTCATATTACCAATATTACGCGATGCTAAAGGTTAAACAATAGCGTCAGTATTCCGATATAAGAATATCTCACAAAATCTCTCAGAGGTTGTTGTTGCTGTTACTGTCATCGTGGATGTGATTGTAGTGTCAGTGGTTTCAGCTTTGTTTGATTTACGAAGCGCTAACACTAATGCCAACGATAAAATGATTATAAATATTATTATAATCACAGATATACAAATGAGTTTAATTCCACGACCTTGCCAATATTGATAAATTTTGAGTTTCTTATGAGTGCTCTCGCTAAATGCTGATTCACGTTGCATATTATATACTCAACAAAAAAAGATGTACAATGATCTGTCAGTCTCTTTTATATTACAGCATAGTATCTAAATATGCCTAGCATCATCTCAAGTAAACATACCCATATATGTTATCATCACAGGGTACGGTGGTAGTGTCGAGATGAGTGTAATGATGCAAAATTCTTTTTTTTTCAACATAATTCTAAGTTAATACTATCATAATTTTGCTACAGTTTAATCTAGACTTGTAGGAAAAGAACATTGATTTATGAAGACTGACAAAGCATACTGTAATTCACGAAAAGGAGATCCTATTGATTGCATTCACAGCTAACAAGCGAGACTCACAGACGTGTTGGCCGTTGTTTTGGTATTCATCATCGTAGTCGATGAGGGTCGTTTATTTTTTTTGCAACAGCTTAAAAAAATTAGAAATTTCCAGAATCTGTTAGACGACGAAAGCTTTTTAATTGATTTTCTGATCCGCTTCAAAGCCTTAGTGGAAGATAATTCTTCATCTACTATTCAACAAGTAGAATCTCTTAAATGATGGATGCAAAAATGGACTTTGAAGAAATTGGAAGAGTAGAAGTATCATCGAGAAAAGGGGAAATATCTCTAATTGACTCACACACGGGTACATTGTGTTTAAATTGCCCTTTAGTATGAATTGTATCACATGAATTTAACTGTAAACACTTGTCAACACTATTTCACCACTTTTCCTCCAGAAAAGAACGGCTATATCATTCTCGGAAGAGCTTATTACGAATAGAGTAGAAATCATATTTTTTATATTTAGTGAGAGGGATAACGATAGTTAAGATTACGTTTTGACAGTAACAGTGTTTAGATACTTGTCTATGATTTAATGTATACAGGATGAATTTTGCCTTTTTGTACTCGAACGATCTTGAGGAATTCTCTCCGAAAACTAGGATTCGATACCATTGATACATAGAAAGTACCGGCAGCAAACACGTATGAACCCAATCGAATAAAAGCTAGGATCAATTGTTCCCAGGCAACACGCCAAGGCGATTTTATCCATTCCTTTGTAAACATGGAATAGAGAATATAAACTCCATACGGCACATAATTGATAATAGCAAGAATCGATTGCAAGAGTAACATGATTGTTAATTGTGAATCCGTCTCTTGAAGATTTCCTTGAATTTTTAGAATTACACGTCGTTGATTGACATTTCGAATAGTGCACCGTAGTAAAACAGCCAACACAATAACAAGCAGAGGAGAAGCAATCGCTGAAAGAGATACATCCAAAGAAGTATCAAAAGTTCTATAGGATCCTTCTTCAGACCAGCAATAGCCATATACATTGGTGTACAAGATCAATCGATGACCTGTCATAAGCAACCAAACAAGAGCATTTCCGATTATGATTTTATAGGCAAGAGGCACGTGATTACTCCATTGCCGTAGCGCTAAAATATCAAAAGCGATGGTCGGTCCATTCCTACAGAATGAAGGTGTATTAGAACTTACTGATCGAGCGTTGTGCTGACAAAATCTTGTCGAGAGTTGCGAATAAGAACAATGTATTTTCATTTTGATACATGAACAAAGAAATAAATTCTCGAATTCTACAGAATGTAAGTGATGCATTCATTAGTGATATGCGAAAACCGCTTTCTAGTATCCGTGTCAAAAGAATACAATTGAGAATGAATAAACTAGCTATTGTTTCCCAGAAAAGATAAATGAAACAAGCTTGTCGACGATAGGTCTGAGATCGGAAGACGAGTATGTTGCCCATGCAACCAAAATTTCCGACTATGAATATGAATATTCCACCACAGATCGTTGTATAAGTGGTCAAATTCATGAGTGCGATTCGGAGACTGCTAGGTGTGTTGATTGTTGTAGTATTGTCCATTTTAATGAAGAAAAATAACTGAGTTTAGCGCTTTATGACACGCGATACTGTGAGGGAGGTGGTTTAAAATAACTTTTATGAAGAATATATTTTTGGAATGTTGAAGGTGGAAAAGAAATTAGCAAAGCGCATCAAAGAAGAAAGTTTTTAATTAACTGAATAATCGATTTACAACTCTTAGTGAAAAAGTATCTCTCGTATAAAATCTATCAAAATGAGTCTTTCCTGCGCGAGTGGAATTTTTAAATGACAAAGAAGAACATCTACCATTGCTTTCTCAATATTTATTATTTATTGGTGACATCATAGGCGAATGTTTTTTCACACGACTCGGCAGAACTTTAAGATGTCATAAAGAGAAATCAATAATAATCGTAGTCTAATCACCGACTTATTCGTGCTATCGACAAATAACGAGAGAGATTTTTTTTTCTACTAGAGAAATCATTAAGCAAGCAAGCAAGCGAGTCGCTTCCTCTTGTAAAAAACAGTATCAACTAAATACAAACGGAAAACAAAAAGTTGTGTACGGTTATAATGGTGGACTACTGATTTATTCACAATAACCATCAGTCATTACAAAGTTTCGAATGACTAAGAACACAATAAGCAGTGAATTGATATATTTACAATGAAGAAAAAGAATCGACACAACTATGGATTAACAGATACATAATCGATGTGGAAAGAAGTATTCAACGTGTTTCATCTGCATTGAATTGATTTTCTTTTTCTAAAAACATCATTTGTGTGAAGACATAGAATAAATATATCATGATAAAAACATATTCACAAAATTATAGGTAATGAGTAGCTAGTCACATTTACTAGATATGATGCACGGAGAGTAATTATGTCAACGATGTGATAACGATTCGCGCTCCAGCGCTTTTCTTTTCCTGTCAAACATAGTATAGCTGTAAAATGCCTTTCGAATGTATACGCATTCGTTCTTTCACATGTGACATTCAACACCACATGTTTTTCTTTATCTCGTCTTTCGCTTTATCGTCATCGATTAACTTATTCGTATATTTTAATGATATGTACACATTGCGAACGGATACGAACTTTTCGCGAAATCATCCTTTATCACTAGTTCTGTTATACGGACAAGTCAATTACTTCTTATATTGATTAATGTTGAAATGTTTTCATTAGACTCGATTGCTAGCGTCGACAACATGTGTAGAGTTAATAGACCTGCGACATTTTCATCAAGACAGAATCGAAAGGAAAAAGAAAAGTATGTATCAGTATGTCTGTTGACAGCAATTGTTCGTTCCGTACAAATAAGCACTATAACACAATATCCGTTTATTATTCTATACTAAGAAGAGAAAAAAAAATACATCAGACATTCTCTTCCTTTTGTATTACGTCCTTTGCGTGTTTCTTTTCTATGCCGTCAACGAAAGACATCGACTTGTCGGCGAAATACCAGAGAAATTCATGTCTTTTCAAATAACCTTTTCACACAAAACAATCGTCCCACATCTTTTAATTAGAATGAAACAAGATCTAAAAGATTAACCGATAGTGCAAGTGTATATAATTCGCAAGACTTACCCTTTTAGATATACAAATACCGAATCTTCTTCGAAATGGAGTTATTCTCATTAACAACGAATGTAACTATCACTGATATTCAATGGCAAGCCTATCCAGTAGCGATTTTCTCGTTAATGTTATGTTTATTAACCGTATTAGGTAATATATTGATTATCTATGCGATCATTTCCAAATCAACATTACATACATCGACATATTATTATATTGGATCGTTGGCATTTGCTGATTTTCTCGTTGGATTGATTGTCATGCCATTAGCATTCATATTTGAAATGACCGACGATGAATACTGGCTATTTCGACGGCATCTTACATTTCTTTGTGATTATTGGCATTCCATGGATGTGTTTGCATCAGCAGCATCGATATTCGGTTTGTGTACTATTGGTTTAGACCGTTATATCGCGATTACGAAACCGATGGAATATCCGAATTCGTTCTTATCGAAGAAATGGTATTGTGTGATACCGATGATTTGGATATGTTCAGCAATTGTTTCATTTCCACCGGTGCTCTATTTCGGAACGAGACAGGCCATCACTCGTATGTAAACGATAACATTTTCGTTGCATTGTTCTTTTTTTCTTCCTTTCGGTCAGGACAATCAATGATGTTGAACGAAACAACAGCTGGAGTATTCAAAGAATGCGACTTTCCAAACAATCCATACTATATTTTGTTCATATCGATTGTATCGTTTTATCTACCGTTACTCGTAATGATTTATGTTTATATTCAAGTGTATGCAGCTGCGAGAACACAAGCATTAGCACTCTGTTCAGGTTATAAACACCATCATCGAATCAAATCAGCGAAATCTTTCATTCCAAGACTTCGTTTCAAACAAATACCTGATGAACAACGATCAACAACGATCACCGACGATAGTCCTATGCATGAACCAAGCGTGGATTTACTCGAGAAACGTCGATTATCACCGGAATTAATCACACTTCGCATTCATCATGGTAAATATCAAAATCCCAATGTTGAATTACTCAATATTAGTCGAAGGAAGTCATTAAGTAGAATCAAAAGAGAACACAATGAAACAAATACATTTTGGAAGAAGTTTTCTCGAAATCAAAAAGCAGCAAAATTCATCGGTATTATCATGGGTGCATTTGTTTTTTGTTGGTTACCATATTTTGTCTATTTTCTTCTCAGTGGCGTCTTTCTTATCCGTTTGAAAGACGAGCAAAATCATGAACTTTTAGTGAAAATCTTCTCATGGTTGGGATATACGAATTCTGCATTAGACGTTCTTGTTTATGTTTCGACTTCAAAAGAATTGCGAACAACATTTATTCGATTATTTATTCCACACAGATTGAGATGTGCACAATGAATTTTCATTTTCAAATGTATATTAAGTACAATCAACAAATAAATTTACGTCATTTAAAGGTTTTTGTCAGACAGGAATTTCATTGAAATAGTCATTTGCGCGCTCGTCTTCTTTCAGTAGGTTATCTAATTGACAAATCTTGGTGAAAGCGTTTCATACGGCGGATGTGGTTTTGTGTTGTCTATCGACACATATTCTGCTTATTGTTGACTAGAAGACCAGTTTGTATATGAATTGTCAGAGAAGCGCGAAAGAAAAGTACTTCCGAGATAAGATCAAACCAACTTCACGCCTTTTCACGAACTAAATTTATACACATTACGAGACTTTTTTCACTTGTAGATAAATATCTTATTTGTGTGAAAGTATCATTCACAGAAGCAAACTTCATACCAATTAAAAACTGTCAATGTTTGTCCAAGGAACAAGAGCAAATCCAGGTAAATATGAATGCCAATGCTCGTGCGTTGATCTTTCAATCCAATTACCGTTTTCTGAAAGAGGATATGACTTTGCGGCGGATCATCGTCGTCGATCGAAATGAGTGGTGAAGTGGTTACGGTGAAGATCGTAGCTAAACATATGATCAATCAAAACAAAATGATAATCTATTTCATGAAAAGAATACACAATCTGGATCGATTTCTGGAATTGATTATTTATATCGAATTAGTGTTCTCAAGGTCAAAACAAAGATCTATTGAAGTTTTCTAAACGAATTTGAACGTACTAATGCTTCATAGAAAGAGAAGTCATGAACAATACAAACTCGTTTTTCTTCTGTTGAAAGAATATCTTTCCTAAAAAAAAATATACAAGAATGTGAATTGAAGAGGAAAGTGCATGGTTCACAATCTTCGAAGTAAGATATGAATGATCGATTTTATCTATTTCATCAACAAATTATTTTTCAGCTATGTTCATATTATACTTTAATATGGCATTAAATGTCAAATGCCTGAACATAAAATCATTAGAATACCAAAGAAACAAAAGAAAAATGGTCTTATCGAGTCTAGATTTAACTGACTTGCTTTGAATAAATAATCTTTTTATCATTAGAAGTTTTTTTGCAGAGAATCCTGTAAAGAGTCCAAATAATCAACGTTGATAAAAATATGATGCATGATAGTATTAACAGCCAAGATAATTTTGCCTTGTTCATTGAAAATTTTTCCAATTGTGCTGCATCAGCCGTGTTTTGTGGATTTGTGTATGAATGACCTGAAAAGCGTTTTATTGCGTCATTATTCAGTAAAAAAGACATTAATAGATCGCATACTCATCGACAGTTGTATTGTATGTTCCGCATGTGTCTTATTAATGTGACTTATCTTCTGAATAGCATACGGTACAGTTGTAATGGTGACATTATCATCAAAAAGTAACCTAGAGAAATATGTAAGTAGATCGAAAGCCGAAAATTATACTGGCTTTTTACCGGGCCATATGAGCAGCCGTATTACCCCAGCACGCTGTTGTTCGACGTCGAGTGTGTGCTGTACTATCATTCGATATTTGTTCAAATTTATACGAATACATTGCGTATATGTTGCACATTTCGTCATCATGTGATGCTCTGAACTGAATAGGTTAACTTCATCATCTTTAAAAAAAACGAAATGATCTCACCCAGCATTGACAGCATGATCATCATCATTATCGTACACACATTCACCGACAAGATAATCACCATTATCAATCGATACTTGTGATGGAAGTACATAAAATGATTGAGGTCGTTGTGGACTACCTCTGATGATCTGTGTGATATTTTCACCACGTATTCGATACAATGAATTCACTCGTCCTGATAAATAGATATTACCAAATATTTTATAGAACAAAAATAAATGAAATTCAACCCCATCGATGAGTATGAAGCTTAATCGCAAATATATTAATACGTGATCCACGATAACAACATGAAAAAGTTGCTTGAATTTCTACAATAACAACCCGAAGAATAAATCTAATTATACAAGCAAACAAGGAATAGCTCGCTTTTATTTACTATGTGTTTTAGGTGGTAGATAAAAATGGTGTGTACCACTGAGCATTATACCTGCGCGATACGGACGTCTACATCGAAAATAAAACTTCTTTAAGCGATTCTATCGTTTTTGAGAAACACTACATACGACTTTCGACTAACAAGAAGTTGATTACCAGAATTATCATCCGTAACAATTGATAAATAATGAAGATTAACTATAATAAACTTATATGGTGTATTACGACCGACAACAAAGCCCACATCTATATGTAAATTATTATTCTCACTATTGTATTAGATATCTTTAATTAAATAAGAAACCGTTAGGTAATATTAATGGATGTCCATTGAGAGCCCATACATGTACGATGAGTTGTTTCCCAATACACGCCAAACCGTCAAACCAAAATGATCTATTCGAAGCTGGAATTGAACAAGCATATGTAATCATATGATGAACTATATTCATATCAACCAAAGGCAAATAACCAACTGATTAAAACATGATTTGTCTTTGAACTTGAGAAGCTCAACTTACTAATGGTTAGTTCTTCATCAGGTAATAGATATTGAACATATGCATATTGATCTTCCTAAAACAAAAAAAAATTGTGATTATACAAGAATCTTTCTTTCGTGTCAACTTTTGCTGTTGTCACATTCGACATTGTAACATTAATGGTAATAATATCATCATCTTTTGGAATAGTTATCGAGTCAGCAAGCTTAAGCACAGTAATTAGAATGATTAAAAGATTCCAAGAGGTGGTTCCTCTCCAATTGAAATTAGATATTATAGGCATGCTATGCATAATACATAATAAAACTTAAAAATATTCATATAGTTTTAAAGTTTGTTGCATTCTTGGTTTTATCTACACTCACGTTTGCTTTCTATCAGGAACTAGGAACAGAAATGTCTTATTTCTAAAATAGAAAACAAAAGAACGTTATATCCGTTGACAATTACAGTCATATATAGTCAAACAAATAAGCATACGACTTTTTTTTGCCCTAAGCAACTTGTTCGTTTAAATAAAATAAAAACAACCATCAGTCGACATCGGCTGCAAAAATCGAATGAATATTCATGCCTGTAATCCTTGCACTAGTTCAACAATTCCCATCAGATGCGTAAATTAGATTATTAAAGCGCAGTTTATGAAACATCACATGAACTATATTCGAGAAATGTACGGTCCAAGTTATCATTGTTGCATTAAAAGAACAATAGATGAAATGTAAAACAAAATTCCGGTATTAATGATTCAGTATTAACTGCTTATTTAGCCGACGCAATTCTGGTTTCATTTGTACTTGGTATTGATATGCAACAACAATAATAATCTGGATTCTCACTGCATGCACCACTATTAGAAAGGTTAAAAGTGCGAGGCCGATAACTGCCACGACGGCGGCGAAGATAAGCATGCTCAGAACCATCATCATAGGATGTAATGCAAGAAGTAGTATTAGCAGTAATATTACAAACATATTCGAAAGAGCTACAAAATTGATTACAGGAACCCATTACATCAGAAGAATTATATTGGGTAATTGTATAGTTAATATTACAACTATTGCATGTTGGTGTAGGCTCGGAGAGCGCTGAGGTTGTAGAAGAAATTGGTGTTGTAGTACTCAGAATGGACGTCGCGTTTGTTGACATAGTAGCTAAAAATATATTCATTTAATTAACAAATGTAAACTTCTGGAAACGTTACTTTGTGTTGAATTGCACAAAATTATAATTGAAAGTGATGCTAAAATTGTTGATTTATTTGCAATGTACTTGACATATGACAATGTTCGATTACCAACATTCTTTTCATTGAACATTAATTTTACAGAACTATTTGCTTGTGGAACAATAACTCGATCATCTAGTAGCCACATACATGTACAATCAGATGGACATCTGATCGATACATTGTAAACTGTTTCATTTGACCCAAGCGAAACTGATGTCGGACCACTGATTATTCCTTTCTTAGTCGACGGCAGTTTTGATGATGAATGTAGAAAATGAAACAAAAGATTTTGTAGATTAAAATTAGCATTTGGCCGTAGGTGTATAAGACATTGTATGTAATAGAAAGACAATCTTCGATTGAATATATCCAATATATGACCAAGATCATGCGGATTCGATGTACATTCTATGGGATTTCCACCATCATCCAGAGCAACACTACCATCTTGACCGTAGGGAATCATTTGTATACCGATAATTGTCTTCAGTTCCGTTAATTCTCCAATGAATACTTGATTATGACAATAATCCATGAATTTCCGATGAAATCGAAGTTTACATAGGTCATTTTCCATTTTGATATTGGTTACGACTGATGATAGTTCTGAATATGAGAATGTTCTTCCTGCGTAACGATTAATCAAATCTTTGAGATCGTCTAAATCATCAAGAAATCAGACTCATATTCTTTCTTCTTGTATGCATCGTTTTCTCACCTGATAAGCAATTGCTGTCGAAATCATCTTCGTCACCACGCTTGCATATCGTCATTGGCTATAAAATCAAAATGTACAACTTCGGATTTCTCNAATCTTCTCATGGTTGGGATATACGAATTCTGCATTAGACGTTCTTGTTTATGTTTCGACTTCAAAAGAATTGCGAACAACATTTATTCGATTATTTATTCCACACAGATTGAGATGTGCACAATGAATTTTCATTTTCAAATGTATATTAAGTACAATCAACAAATAAATTTACGTCATTTAAAGGTTTTGTCAGACAGGAATTCAATTGAAATAGTCATTTGAGCGCTTGTCGTCTCTTATTAGGTTATCTAATTGACACATCTTAATGAAAGCGTTTCGCACGACGCGTATGGTTTGCCGAAACATATTCTGCTTATTGTTGACTAGAAGACCAGTTATATATGAATTGTCAGAGAAGCGCGAAAGAAAAGTACTTCCGAGATAAGATCGAACCAACTTCACGCCTTTTCACGACCTAAATTTATACAAATGACGAGACTTTTTTCACTTGTAGATAAATATCTTATTTATGTTAAAGTATCATTCACAGAAGCAAACTTTATAGCAATCAAAAACTGTCAATGTTTGTACAAGGAACAAGAGCAAATCCAGGTAAATATGAATGTAGATGCTCGTGCATTGATCTTTTATTAAGACATTCTTCTTGACAAGAATCGACGAAGCGTGCAACAACAATAAGCATCAGAATTTTCAATTCTATTATCATTTTCAGAAAGAGGATATGACTTTGCGGCGGATCATCGTCATCGATCGAAATCTTGCAGGTGAAGTGGTTACGGTGAAGATCGTAACTAAACATATGATCAATCAAAACAAAATGATAATCTATTTCATGAAAAGAATACACAATCTAGATCGATTTGTTGAATAATTTTTGAAATTGATTATTTATATCGAATTAATGTTCTCAAGATCTAATGAAGTTTTCTAAACGGAGTTGAACGTAGTAATGCTTCATAGAAAGATAAGTCATGAACAATACAAAACTCATTTTTCTTCTGTTGACATATAGAATATCTTTCCTAAAAAAAAGATACACAAGAATGTGAATTGAAGAGGAAAGTGGTTCTCAATCTTCGAAGTAAGATATGAATGATCGATTTTATCTATTTCATCAAGAAATTTGTTTTCAGCTATGTTCATATTATACTTTAGTATGGCATTAATGTCAAATGCTAAACATGAAATCATTAGAATACCAACGAAACAAAAGAAAAAAGTTCTTATTGAGTTTAGATTTAACTGATTTGCTTTGAATCAATAATCTTTTTGTCATCATTACTGATAAGCAACAGTTTATTTATTTTTCTACTCTTCGGCACCATCTGGCATTAACATTTCGTAGTTTTTTTGCCGTTGGATCCAATCATTCGATATAATTCCATTGCAGAGAATCCTGTAAAGAGTCCAAATAATCAACGTTGATAAAAATATGATGCATGATATTATTAACAGCCACGGTAATTTTGTCTCGTTCATTGAAAATTTTTCCGATTGCGCTGCATCAGACGTGTTTTGTGGATTTGTGTATGAATGACCTGAAAATCGTTTTATCCCGTCATTATTCAGTAAAAAAGACATTAATAAATCCCATACTCATCGACAGTTGTATTGTCTGTTCCGCATGTATCTTATTAATTTGACTTATCTTCTGAATAACATACGGTACAGTTGTAATGGTGACATTATCATCAAAAAGTAATCTAGAGAAATATATAAGTAGATCGAAAGCCGAAAATTATACTCGTTTTTACCGGGTCATATGAGCAGCCGTATTACCCCAACACGCTGTTGTTCGACGTTGAGTGCGTGTTGTACTATCATTCAATATTTGTTCAAATTTATACGAATACATTGCGTATATGTTGCACATTTCATCATCATGTGATGGTCTGAACTGAATAGGTTACCTTCATCATCTTTAAAAAAAAACGAAATGATCTCACCCAGCATTGACAGCATGATCATCATCATTATCGTACACACATTCACCGACAAGATAATCACCATTATCAATCGATACTTGTGATGGAAGTGCATAAAATGATTGAGGTCGTTGTGGACTACCTCTGATGATCTGTGTGATATTTTCACCACGTATTTGATACAATGAATTCATTCGTCCTGACAAATAGATATTACCAAATATTTTTATAAAACAAAAACAAATGAAATTCAACCCCATCGATGAGTATGAAGCTTAACCGCAAATATATTAATACGTGATCCACGATAACAACATGAAAAAGTTGCTTGAATTTCTATAATAATAACCCGAAGAATAAATCTAATTATACAAGCAAACAAGGAATAGCTCGCTTGTATTTACTATGTGTTTTAGGTGGTAGATGAAAATGGTGTGTACCACTGAGCATTATACCTGCGCGATACGGACGTCTACATTGAAAATAAAATTTCTTTAAGCGATTCTATCGTTTTTGAAAACATTACATACGACTTTCGACTAACAAGAAGTTGATTGCCAGAATTATCATCCGTAACAATTGATAAATAATGAAGATTAACTATAATAAACTTATATGGTGTATTACGACCGACAACAAAGCCCACATCTATATGTAAATTATTATTCTCACTATTGTATTAGATATCTTTAATTAAATAAGAAACCTTTAGGTAATATTAATGGTTGTCCATTGAGAGCCCATACATGTACGATAAGTTGTTTCCCAATACATGCCAAACCGTCAAACCAAAATGATCTATTCGAAGCTGGAATTGAACAAGCATATGTAACCATATGGTGAACTATATTCATGTTAATCAACGGCAAATATCCAACTGATTAAAACATGATTTGTCTTTGAACTTGAAAAGCTCAACTTACTTATGGTTAGTTCTTCATCAGGTAATAGATATTGAACATATGCATATTGATCCTCCTAAATTAAAAGAATTGTGATTATAAGAATCTTTCTTTCGTGTCAACTTTTGTTGTTGTCACGTTCGACATTGTAACATTAATGGTAATAATATCATCATCGTTTGGAATAGTTATCGAGTCAGCAATATTAAGCACAGTAATCAGAATGATTAAAAGATTCCAAGAGGTGGTTCCTCTCAAATTGAAATGAGATGTTATAGGCATATTCATGCTATGCGTAATACATAATAAAACTTAAAAATATTCATATAGTTTTAAAGTTTGTTGCATTCTTAGTTTTATTTACACTCACGTTTACTTTCTAACAGGAGCTAGGAACAAAAGTTTCTTATTTCTAAAATAGAAAACAAAAGAACGTTATACCCGTTGACAATTGCAATTATATATAGTCAAACAAATAAGCATACGACTTTTTTGCGAAATAAAATTGCGTAAGTTTTTATGCTCCAAGCAAATTGTTCGTTTAAATAAAATAAAACAAACATCAATCGACATCGGCTGAAAATCGAATGAATATTCATGCCTGTAATCCTTACACTAATTCAACAATTCCCATCAGATGCGTAAATTAGATTATTAAAGTGCAGTTTATGGAAAATCATATGAACTGTATTCGAGAAATGTACGGTTCAAGTTATCATTGTTGCATTAAAAGAAGAATAGATGAAATTTAAAACAAAATTTCGGTATTAATGATTCAGTATTAACTGCTTATTTAGCCAACACAGTTCTGGTTTCACTTTTACTTGATATTGATATACAACAGCAATAATACTCTGGATTATCAGTGCATGCACCACTATCAGAAAGGTTAAAAGTGCGAGGCTGATAACTGCCACGACGGCGGCGATGGTGAGTTTTCACAGAACCATCATCATAGGATGTAATGCAAGAAGTAGTATTAGCAGTAATATTACAAACATATTCGGAAGAGCTACAAAATTGATCACAGGAACCCATTACATCAGAAGAATTATATTGGGTAATTTTATAGTTAACATTACAACTATTGCATGTTGGTGTAGGCTCGGAGAGCGCTGAGGTTGTAGAAGAAATTGGTGTTGTAGTACCCAGAACGGACGTCGCGTTTGTTGACATAGTAGCTAAAAATATTCATTTAATTAACAAATGTAAACTTCTGGAAACGTTACTTTTTGTTGAATTGCATAAAATTATAATTGAAAGCGATGCTAAAATTGTTGGTTTATTTGCAATGTACTTGACATATGATAATGTTCGATTACCAACATTCTTTTCATTGAACATTAATTTTACAGAACTATTTGCTTGTGGAACAATAACTCGATCATCTAGTAGCCACATACATGTACAATCAGATGGACATCTGATCGATACATTGTAAACCGTTTCATTTGAACCAACCGAAACTAATGCCGGGCCACTGATTATTCCTTTTTTAGTCGACGGCAGTTTTGATGATGGATGTAGAAAATGAAAGAAAAGATTTTGTAGATTAAAATTAGCATTTGGCCGTAGGTGTATAAGACATTGTATGTAAGAGAAAGACAATCTTTGATTGAATATATCCAATATATGACCAAGATCATGCGGATTCGATGTACATTCTATGGGATTTCCATCATCGTCCAGAGCAACGCTATCATCTTGACCATAGGGGATCATTTGTATACCGATGATAGTCTTCAGTTCTGTTAATTCTCCAATGAATACTTGATTACGACAATAATCCATGAGTTTCCGATGAAATCGAAGTTTACATAGATCGTTTTCCATTTTGATATTGGTTACGACTGATGATAGTTCTGAATATGAGAATGTTCTTCCTGCATAACGATTAATCAAATCTTTGAGATCATCTAAATCATCAAGAAATCAGACTCATATTCTTTCTTCTTGTATGCATCGTTTTCTCACCTGATAAGCAATTGCTGTCGAAATCATCTTCGTCACCACGCTTGCATATCGTCATTGGCTATAAAATCAAAATGTACAACTTCGGATTTCTCTAAGGATGAGGATACTCACTGGAACAAACCATAGAAAAACGATTAAACTGAAAAATATCATGACAACGATCGATCTGAAAAGATATTTAATAACAAATGCACTTTTGTTCGAAACTGAAGAAATACTTTCATATTCAACACTGGACATTGAATCTGGATACGAATTTCTGTGTATGCACAAACTCAAATCCAGATTGGTTCGTTTTTTGCTTATTACAACAGATTGTTTGCATTTTGTGCAGTCGATCGATTCTGTTTTTATTCCAAACGTAAGAAACTGCAGCAGACATTCGTATCCGATAAACGAATTATTTTTAATTGTCTCCTGTTTTCATCAGAAATATTGTGAAGAGGAACAATGGATATTTTTAGAATTACATCAAAACCTTATGAATACAATCTATTGCATCGTAGAAGTAATGAATTCAGTTTAGACGAAGTTACATTTTCTCCTCCCTTCTTCTCTTTGTATAAACTTGGATATTGCAATAAATTTCTTCCACTAAGCTGAATTTAGTGACGTCCTCAAATATATACTAACGTCTAATAAAAAATACATAAAATGGCATTCGCAGAACTAATCATGAGCGACTTATTCGTTAATCAATTACAGCAATACTATGTAATCTTGCCTATTGTCACAACAATTTTATCAGGATATGTCCAAACATTTTCATGCAGTTTGAGTCCATCATTTACTTTTATGATCTACCAATATGAATCCATATTCGTTAGCCGGATGCCATAGATACTACGTATAATGAGAATGCTTGAATGTTATTAAAAAAGCAAGCTTTTAAATCGCTAATTATTTGAAATATGCAAAGTATATAGATTTCGAGCCTTCTTTAGTTGAAACAATTTCTTTAGTTGATAATCCTACTTACTGCTATGTTGGTGGTCCATGTAATACTCAAGTCAAAAGTATTGGGCTAACTCTTGATGACATTCTTCGATTGGAAGTCAAGGAAAGCATGACAATATATGACCAATCAGTATAGCCATCAAGATTACTGCTGCATTGTCGGTAATTATGTCTGTTGCGGGTGTCATCAATAGTCTCTGTTCAATCTTAATTTTTCAAAATCAAGATGCAAGAACAGTCGGATATGGCCTGTACCCTTTTACATACTCAATCACTTCTCTTCTGACAATTACAATGTTCGCAATCAAGTTTTGATTTGTTGTGGTTACACAAATGTATATATCTATTCCTCAGTCTGTCCTTCAAGATGGTTGTAGTGAGTGTTTACAAAGGAGTCAGTTTTGACGAAGAGAAAAGTAAACGCTTTGTTCGATGGATCATCTTCATTTTACCCATTGTGATTAGGGGGACAACTATCCATGAGCCACTACACCGTCAACTATTTGAGCATGAAATAAAAAGAGAAGAGCCGACCGCGGACGGTCGCTATACTTGATGTCTAACTTCGTATCCTCGGTCGATTCAAAACTATAATACGGCTATTTTATTTATTCATCTTCTCGGTCTATTCGTTGCAGATCTTTTGTCTTCGTGGTTTATCATTATTGCAAGCGCTCGACGACGCGCAGAAGCTCAGAAACGACGATCCTATCAACAGCATCTTCAAGAACAATGGCACGAACACAAACAGCTTGTCATCAGTTCTATAATTATAGTTCTATTATCAACACCGCGTTTTGTCATTTCTTTGCTATCAGAATGTACAGATGTGTTTGGTCATTTATGGTTATATTTTGAAGATTATTTTATTTCATTCACCCCATCGATATTTATCTTTGTCGTGTTTGTCCTTTCTTCGTATTTTTATCGAAAAACTTTCAAAAAATCATTTTTCTGACTGTCTAAAAGACGACGATCATAGAACAAATGATTATTGTCTCTTCTTTTGTTCACCCTATTTTAAGCTTTTTTCATTAACTGACAAATCAAACCATGATATAAAATTTTCTATTGTGGACTTCGTGCACGCAAGGAAAGCAACAAGCATGTATGGATTTCTTGATTTATTCAATGCATCAAACGAACATTGAAATATTAAAGATGAAAAATAAAAAGTACAAACGAGAACAATACATGTAGAAGCAGTATTTAGTATCTGTGCTGTATTTCTTTCACTTTGTTCAGATATTCCAACGTGGTTTCGACATCCACATGATCTTCTCGGAAATTGCTTCTGAATACTCGTAAAGCTTCACGAAAATAATCTTCTGCAACGCGATAGGTTTTGAAATGCATATGAACTAAACCAGCCTGTCGACGTAATTCACCAACTTGCGGCTGCTCGTGTAAATATATTTTCTTTTGCACTTGTTCTGCCAGAGACAAATACTTGAAAGCATCGAAGTGGTCTTCTTTATATTTCGCTGTTTCAACAAGATCTTTTAAACAATCGAAAATCGAGTCGTATTCAGATTTTTGATGTTTCTGCAATATCTGTATTGCTTTCTGAAACAAATTTAATGCTTCATCATAATCAGCACGCTTGAATGCAATATAACCTTTCAATTTATACATTTTGCCAATACTTGGATGATCTTCTTCTAATTGCAACATACAATAATTTAATTTTGTTTCGCAAAGCTCTGACGCTTTCTGAAAATTTCCTTTTGCAATATCAACATCGACAATTGCCGAGAGAATGTTTATTATTTGATCGTGACCACATGGTAGTATCATTTCGTACATTTGAAGCGCTTGTTCGAAGTTGGCAAGTGCGCATTTGTAATCAGGTCTTTTACTGTAGACTAAACCGATACTCCACAATGTACTGGCAATTGTCGAATGTTCGTCGACAGGAGACAACACACGCTTTTGCATTTTGAGAGCTTTATCAAAGTAAAACAATGCTCTGTCTAATTCATTATTTGCCAGGTAATTCTTTCCCAAATAAATCAAGTCCTTGGCGATTAATATGTGCTCGTGTAGAAAGAATTTCTGATCTATTGAAAGAGCTTCTTCATTGTATTCAATCGCTTTTTTAAAATCAGAAACGAACGAACAGATTGCAGCTAAATCATTCAGAGATCGAGCGATTAACAGATGATTCGGTGGCAACAAATTCTGTCGAATGGNAACAAATGCACTTTTGTTCGAAACTGAAGAAATACTTTCATATTCAACACTGGACATTGAATCTGGATACGAATTTCTGTGTATGCACAAACTCAAATCCAGATTGGTTCGTTTTTTGCTTGTTATAACAGATTTTTTGCATTTTGTGGAGTCGATCGATTCTGTTTTTATTCCAAATATAAGAAACTGCAGCAGACATTCGTATCCGATAAATGAATTATTTTTAATTGTCTCCTGTTTTCATCAGAAATATTGTGAAGAGGAACAATGGATATTTTTAGAATTATATCAAAACCTTATGAATACAATCTATCGCATCGTAAAAGTATAATGAATTCAGTTTAGACAAAGCAACACTTTCTCCTCCCTTCTTCTCTTTGTATAAACTTGGATATTGCAATAAATTTCTTCCACTAAGCTGAATTTAGTAACGTTCTCGAATATATACCAACATCTAATAAACAAGACACAAAATGGCACTCACATGCTATGTTGGTGGTCCATGTAATAATCAAGTCAAAAGTATTGGGCTAACTGTTGATGACATTCTTCGATTGGAAGTCAAGGAAAGCATGACAATATATGACCAATCATTATAGCCATCAAGATTACTGCTGCATTGTTGGTAATTATGTATGTTGCGGGTGCCATCAATAGTCTCTGTTCAATCTTAATTTTTCAAAATCAAGATACAAGAACGCAGTCGGATATGGCCTGTACCCCCTCTTACATCCTCAATCACTTCTCTTCTGACAATTACAATGTTCTCGATCAAGTTTTGGTTTGTTGTGGTTACACAAATGGATATATCTGTTCCTCAGTCTGTGCTTCAAGATGGTTGTAGTGAGTGCTTACAAAGGAGTCAGTTTTGGAAAAGAGAAAAGGAAACGCTTTGTTTGATGGTTCATCTTCGAGAACAATGACACGAACACAAACAGCTTATCATCAGTCCTACAATTATAGTTCTCTTATCAACACCGCGTCTTGTCATTTCTTTGTTATCAGGATGTACAGATGTGTTTGGTCATTTATGGTTATATTTTGAAGAGTATTTTAAAACTTTATAACTCAATGTATCAAACGAACATTCAAACATTAAAGATGAGAAATAAAAAGTACAAACGAGAGCAATACATGCGAAAGCAGTATCTAGTATCTGTGTTGTATTTCTTTCACTTTGTTCAGATATTCCAGCGTGGTTTTGACATCCGGATGATCTTCTCGGAAATTGCTTCTGAATACTCGTAAAGCTTCGCGAAAATAATCTTCTGCAACGCGATAGGTTTTGAAATGCATATAAACTAAACCAGCCTGTCGAAGTAATTCACCAACTTGCGGTTGCTCGTGTAAATATATTTTCTTTTGTACTTTTTCTGCCAGAGACAAATACTTGAAAGCATCGAAGTGGTCTTCTTTATGTTTTGCCGTTTCAACAAGATATTTTAAACAATCGAAAATCGAGTCATATTCAGATTTTTGATGTTTCTGCAATATCTGCATTGCTTTCTGAAACGATTTTAATGCTTCATCATAATCACCACACTTGAATGCAATATAACCTTTCAATATGTACATTTTGCCAATACTTGGATGATCTTCTTCTAGTTGCAGCATACAATAATTTAACTTTGTTTTGCAAAACTCTGACGCTTTATGAAAATTTCTTTTGGCAATATCAACATCGACAATGGCCGAGAGAATCTTTATTATTTGATCGTGACCACATGGTAGCATCATTTCGTACATCTGAAGCGCTTGTTCGAAGTTGGCAAGTGCGCGTTTGTAATCAGGTCTTTTACTATAGACTAAACCGATACTCCACAATGTACTGGCAATTGTCGAATGTTCGCCGAGAGGAGACAACACACGCTTTTGCATTTTGAGAGCTTTATCAAAGTAAAACAAGGCTTGGTCTAATTCATTATTTGCCAGGTAATTCTTTCCCAAATAAATCAAGTCCTTGGCGATTAATATGTGCTCGTGTAGAAAGAATTTCTGATCTATTGAAAGAGCTTCTTCATTGTATTCAATCGCTTTTTTAAAATCAGAAACGAACGAACAGATTGCAGCTAAATCGTTCAGAGATCGAGCGATTAACAGATGATTCGATGGCAACAAATTCTGTCGAATGGTATATGCACGATTGAACGCTTCTTCGGCTTTTCTATGCTGAGATCTTCGAAGATGAAGATATCCACTAACAACGAGCAATTCAGCACTTTCTAAAGTATTTTCTGCTAGCCCCGATAATTTTCGGTGAATAAACGATTCAGCCTTGCTTAGTTCATCAATAGTGATCAGAAGACTAGCAAACATGGTATCTGTACTGACATGCTGATATTCGTTCTTCACTGCATCAATATGTTTCCGTATTTTGTTCGACCTTTCATTGCTTGAAATCATTTTAACGACCCAAACTTTCAAATCGTCGTTGTCGAAATAAACTTCCTCGATTTTAAAAACTGATGATACAGTAAATAACACTTCACGTTCACTATTCAATTGGCTCAGACGTTGAATATCAGCAAATATAATCGATTTAGCTAACGGATCAGCAGTAATCTCAAATAATACAGATTGAATAGGACTTATTTCGGAGAGTTTTTGGTGTAAAAAGATCATAGCAGTATTTTGATCGCGAGAAGTGGATAAAAATCCATTCGTAGATATAAATGAACCGATATTTTGTTTCAATTTATCGATTTCCGATTTCGCCATTTTTTGTCCGCGATATAATTTTATTGGTTTACTACTTTGTAATCTTTCTTGTTTCAGTTGTTGACAAAGATCACTGATGAAAAGTCGAAAGCAGTACAAATAGTCGATGTTTTCCGTTCGAAGAGCTTCATTGAGAATGCGATAAACAAAGCTGTCTTTTGTATACCAATGTATAGCATTTCTTTTCCGTTCATAAGTATTAGAAAATGCTTCAATTGCATTCAATTGCTTTACGTTGTTTTTATAGGTTTGTCTGCAAACATCTAGCATTTCGTTAATGGCATTTTCTCGGTTTTCTACAGTGTGTGTTAGTACATCGAGTAACAACTGGGTCCATAAAAAGGACGGAAATTCTGTTCTGAAATTTCTTGTCGACTTTTGAGTTTCATTGAAAAGTGAAAATGTCGCTTGTTCAATTTCAAGACGTGCACGAAGATTAACTAGTTGCGCAAGTGATTCTTGTTTGACCGGAATCGTTACAACCGCGGCTGTAAGATACTTTTGATGTAGATGTTCTCCATAATGATCGTCGTCACAAATAGCAAAAAGGCACAGAACATTTGCCAGTTCATCTGGTCGACGTAAAATATCATCTACCAAGCTTTCATCAGTCACAAAAAGTACTTTCGCTCTGCCAAGAGTCTTCATGTAACTTACACATTCTTTTGAATCGATGAAAATTTTCGAATTTTGTTCGATTTGGTGTAAATCATCACGTGCTCTTCGATAGCTATCGTTATCTTCATGTATTGCCGTGCTTAACCATATTCTACCGATTGTTGGTAATACTATATAACAGTACAACTAAAGTGATGTAAATATCCAACTTCGTGAATATCGATGAAAATTTTTCGTTATCTTCGAAACGAAGAAAAATATGCCGAACCATGTGTCAGAGCGCAAGAGAATATGTTGTGCCTCTATTTTTGTCTTCAGCTTGAAGACAACGGTATTCAAGAGATTCATATTCTCTCGAACACGTGGCGAGCAAATATCAAGCATACGCTGCTGAGAAGCAGAAACTGATAGCAGTTGAGAAGAAAAAGAATATGATATGAAATATTGATGCGAAGTTATCTTGAAGAAATTTTTGACACTTTGAAACTCAATTGAAAAATCGATTCTAAACCTTTTACTATCTGTTCTATCGCTGAAGTTCACTAAGATAAATGAAATTCAAATATGGAGAGCAAACGATTCCTTCCAAAGTAGATAATATAAAGAAATGCATCTGATCAAATACGGATGAGATCTGTTCAATCAACTAAAGTTCGATATCGAACACGCATACGAATTTATTATTTTAGGTCATTACAATCTGCTTTGCATTATTTGACGATGATTTGTTTGTGGACCGTGTCCTGGAACGACCTGTACACGTCGTAGTATATGTTTATAGTAGAAATTGGCCAATATACCAATAAATTCCTTACGAAATCCCCTGGAGATTAAAAAGAATAGATAGAAAGGAATAACACCAACGAAATAAATCATAAACTGAGCAATAAAAGTAATAAAAGATTCGATTTCGAGACGTTGAGTGCTTTTATTCGTGGCAAAATATGTCAATGCACCATACAGAAGATTTGCAGAATAAGGAATTGCCGTGACAACGTTCACTATAACTTCAACAATAACTAAACGTGTCAGATGTTGATCACTCTGCTTGACACGCACTTGATTCGTATGATGTCGTTGATGAAGGCTGATAATAGTAAGAATACTAAAGATGCTCATGAGAATTGGCGGTAGAAGACCAGAAACGATAATTTGATAAATCGCGTATATTAGTTTGTATATACCAAACATACCACATGTGCCATTTCTTAAGTCCATTAAAATAGGCATATGCATTGCCATCAATGGGCAAATGATGAGCATAGCCAAAAGAAGTTTACTAGCTGTTTTAATTGAACTGAATGAACGGAGATGAACATTTGTCCGAGTAATGAAATATCGATCCACACAAGCAAACACGACTGAATAGCGAAGGTATAAATTGAGAACATGACTAACATAGAGTCGCATCTTACAATAGACGATCGATTGCGTTTGAGGATCGGCATAATACAATGCATAAATAGATGGAATAAGTATCCACAGCAAATATAACACAGAAAAGAACGATAAGCAAAGTAAATAAAGATGACTTGGTGTACGACGATATGTACGTCGTGTAAATACAATGCAATTGAAAAAATTCCCGAGAAGACCTAATGCGAGATAAATGCTAAAACCATAGCGTGATATATCTTTCTGTATAAATGGTAAATCTGTCACTGGCATCGTTCTTGTCTTAGAATTGAAAACAACTCCGTTTGAAAAGTATCATGGAAAAGAAAATTAAGATGAACGTGACAGTTGGGTGTAACAACGTCTCATAATACCTTAATCAGAACAAAGCTATCCTGAAAAAAAAAGAGTTCCCTCGGAGATTTTGTGTCGTTTTCTTCTTTCATTATTATCTCTGGTAGAAAACTAGTATCCATGAAGTAATGTACTTTTTGAAACGAGGTTCAAACGCCTCCCTACGCTGTGGGACATCGTTTTGAATAGAAACTTTTTTTCTGTTGATAACGAGGATGTATTAAAATATCAATAGCGTACGAAAAGTGTGTTTCAATCAAGCTTTACTCAACATATTGAAGGACGTCGGTGTAATTAGAAAGTGATTGTGAGACTTAGATCTAATAACCCTCTAGCTATCACTCGGAAATAGACTAAAAATTAGAAAAGATATTCACCTGAAGAAATTCAAATGTGATACTTGGGTACATAATGTATTGGTTATGAATAGATTGCACTTAAACATGTAACGATGCTTTTTTCCTATGCATAAAAATGATCTTATAATACTATTTTGTGATGCAGATTAAATCCACAGGTTTTCCCAAAGTTTTATTTTCGTAGACAGATATCCACTAGCTTTAATAATTTCAATAAAAGAATGAAAGGTTTATATGTTTGTTTTAATAATTCGTGTATCTTTTCCCAGAAGTATATAAACGGTTACGAAGAACGAAAAGAATCATGGATATATTTTTAGAAGTAAAATAAAAGCAAAGCAAATAGCACGTGTTTCAGTCATCTCAATCAGCATAAATAATATAATGAATAGATTGATATGGTTGTAGCAAACTGAAACTATCGCCATTTCCAACTGAACTGGTGTTTCCATGGATCATATGATTATGAGCACCTGCACTATTAATTCTGATATTTGTCTGTCCAGTGTAGATTGTATGTGTATGAGAGTTTTGATCGCTTCCATGTCCGCCTCCTCTCATACCCCAAGGTCCTGTTCCCATTGGTGCACTACCAGTAGATCCTCCATGGTTGTGACCTGGATCATAAATTGAATGTGTGTGATCACCAGCTGTACTGGTGACTAATGAACCTGCTGTATGCTGATGAGGAGGAAGTTGAGCAATGGTCAACGTATGTACTGCTGCTCCACCACTAAATCCAGTTTCAGTCACTTGTTTCACACGCAGCTCATACTGATCAACACCAATTGGAACTCGTCCACGAAAATCTGGTACATTGAACGTTGTTACATAATCACCTGCTCCATATTGTGTACCGATAACAGCAAACAGACGTTGATATTCGATACGTGATACAGCGGCACCATCACAAAGAAGCCATGGATAAGGAGGCTTATTTATACCGGCATAGATTTTTATTTCGCCAGTGAGAACTAAATTTGAACGCGTTTGATTATTAGCAATAGAATAGGGTGTATTCATTGTACTAATTATTCGAACAATAGCATTTTGTTCTTTATCGACGGTTAATTGTTTTGAAATAATAGCTATTTGTAAATGATCTGTAATGTCACTTAACTTGTGAACTTTAAACTCTTTCGGTCTCAGCTTCTTTCCATTCCATTCTGTGTCCATCGCATGTTGAGACAAATGTTTTTGAATATCTGTTTCGGACATAACTTGATCAGTGATTGTATGATTTTTTGTGGTAGTTGTGGATGAAGATTCACCACTGCCACTTAAACCGAGACTGAAAACTTTCAGGAAACCTCTGCCGATGCTACCAAAAATACCGCCACTTCCCTTCGACGCTGACTGTTTTATTTCTTCCACATTGCCATTAAAATACATTCTACTATCATTATGCCGTTCTGTTTCTGATTGATTGTATGAAAACATCTTATTTATTTCATGCTCTAAAACGTCTGGATCCAAGTCTGACGGTGACCAGACTTGTTGAAGTGCATCCGCTCTCAGTCTTTCCATCGTTGAATCTTGCATAGCTAAAACAATGTCGACATGGATATACTATAAAGGCAATTCATACAAAATGAATTACCTTGTTGTAGTAACGAAAGAAATTGTGTTTCCAAGCCGTCTGACAGCGCTTGTGCATTGATTTGTGGGTTGTCTGAATAGATCAATTTCTTCATATTCATTGTATATTTTCCAATAAATTTCGACGCTTGATCACGATGTATATATTGTGCATTGGTGTTTTCGCCATCAGCTATTGTTTTACTTGCAGCCGCCTTCAGTTGATCACCAGTAATCGATACAAAACTAGTCGATGTTTTCATACAATCAATCAGAAACAGAANAGACCTAATGCGAGATAAATGCTAAAACCATAGCGTGATATATCTTTCTGTATAAATGGTAAATCTGTCACTGGCATCGTTCTTGTCTTAGAATTGAAAACAACTCCGTTTGAAAAGTATCATGGAAAAGAAAATTAAGATGAACGTGACAGTTGGGTGTAACAACGTCTCATAATACCTTAATCAGAACAAAGCTATCCTGAAAAAAAAAGAGTTCCCTCAGAGATTTTGTGTCGTTTTCTTCTCTCATTATTATCTCTGGTAGAAAACTGGTATCCATGAAGTAATGCACTTTTTGAAACGAGGTTCAAACGCCTCCCTACGCTGTGGGACATCGTTTTGAATAGAATCTTTTTTTCCGTTGATAACAGGAATACATTAAAGTATCGATGGTATAAGAAAAGTGTGTTTCAATGAAGCTTTATTCAACATATTGAAGGACACCGGTGTAATTAGAAAGCGATTATGAAATTTAAATCTAACAACCCCTCTAGCTCTTACTCGGAAATAGATTGAGAATTAGAAAAGATGTGTCTGAAGAACGTTAAATGTGAGACTTGGGTACATAATGTATCGGTTATGAATAGATTGTACTTAAACGTGCAAAGGTGCTTTTTTTCTATACATAAAAATGATCTTATAATACTATTTTGTGATGCAGATCAAATCCGCAGGTTTTCCCAAACTTTTATTTTCTAGCACAAATATCCACACGCTTTAATAATTTCAATAAAAGAAGGAAAGGTTCATATGTTTGTTTTAGTAACTCGCGTACCTTTTCCCAGAAGTATATAAATGGCCGCGAAGAACAAAAAGAATCATGGACATATTGTTAGAAGTGAAACAAAAGCAAAGCAAATAGCACGTGTTTCAGTCATTTCAATCAGCATAAATAATATAATGAATAGATTGATATGGTTGTAGCAAACTGAAACTACCACCATTTCCAACTGAACTGGTGTTTCCACGGATCATATGATTATGAGCACCTGCACTATTAATTATGATATTCGTCTGTCCAGTATAGATTGTATGTGTATGAGAGTTTTGATCGCTTCCATGTCCGTTTCCTCTCATACCCCAAGGTCCTGTTCCCATTGGTGCACTACCAGTAGATCCTCCATGGTTGTGACCTGGATCATAAATTGAATGTGTGTGATCACCAGCTGTACTGGTGACTAATGAGCCTGCTGTATGCTGATGAGGAGGAAGTTGAGCAATGGTCAACGTATGTACTGCTGCTCCACCACTAAATCCAGTTTCAGTCACTTGTTTCACACGTAGCTCATACTGATCAACACCAATTGGAACTCGTCCACGAAAATCTGGTACATTGAACGTTGTTACATAATCACCTGCTCCGTATTGTGTACCGATAACAGCAAATAGACGTTGATATTCGATACGTGATACAGCGGCACCATCACAAAGAAGCCATGGGTAAGGAGGCTTATTTATGCCGGCATAGAGTTTTATTTCGCCAGTGAGAACTAAATTTGAACGCGTTTGATTATTAGCAATAAAATAGGGCGTATTCATTGTACTAATTATTCGAACAATAGCATTTTGTTCTTTATCGACGGTTAATTGTTTTGAAATAATAGCTATTTGTAAATGATCTGTAATGTCACTTAACTTGTGAACTTTAAACTCTTTCGGTCTCAGCTTCTTTCCATTCCATTCTGTGTCCATCGCATGTTGAGACAAGTGCTTTTGAATATCTGTTTCGGACATAACTTGATCAGTGATTGTATGATTTTTTGAGGTAGTCGTGGATGATGATTCACCACTGCCACTTAAACCGAAACTGAAAACTTTCAGGAAACCTCTACCAATGCTACCAAAAATACCGCCACTTCCCTTCGACGCTGACTGTTTTATTTCTTCCACATTACCATTAAAATACATTCTACTATCATTATGCCGTTCTGTTTCTGATTGATTGTATGAAAACATCTTGTTTATTTCATGCTCTAAAACGTCTGGATCCAAGTCTGACGGTGACCAGACTTGTTGAAGTGCATCCGCTTTCAGCCTCTCCATCGTTGAATCTTGCATAGCTAAAACAAAATGTCGACATGGATATAGTAAAGGCAGTTCATACAAAATGAGTTACCTTGTTGTAGTAACGAAAGAAATTGTGTTTCCAAACCGTCTGACAGCGCTTGTGCATTGATTTGTGGGTTGTCTGAATAGATCAATTTCTTCATATTCATTGTATATTTTCCAATAAATTTCGACGCTTGATCGCGATGTATATATTGTGCATTGGTGTTTTCACCATCAGCTATTGTTTTACTTGCAGCCGCCTTCAGTTGATCACCAGTAATCGATACAAAACTAGTCGATGTTTGATGAAAGCCAGCAAAGTAGAAGGCAACTTCAATTTCATACTCGCCGGCTTGAATCATCTCGGCAATCTGTCGGGCATTCTCTTCTGTTGAGCATTTAAAGCGAAAGATCATGGCGAGTGAGTTCGGGTGAACGGCGCGGAATGGTTCGATGCCAGCAATTGGTGAACTACTTCCCTGTACGATGTAAGCTGTGAGTGAATCGATCATCAACGGTGCAATATCCCAATATTTTGAGTATTCAGCAGTTTTCATATCAAACTTCTTAGCTATAGCTTTTCGTGCCATCTCTTCGACTGTATCATCACCTAATAACAGTTTAATACGTACTTCACTCTTTACGAACCAAACCCATGGATCATTCGGCGCACTTTGTAAAGGTGCCATCACTGGTACATAGTAAAAGATCCATTTCTGTGGCGTCTCACCTTCATTGGATACAGAACCATATACATAGATTTGACTACCATTGTATTTGAACAGCGTCAGAATGTTGGTACTAACAGTGCCACTGGCGAAGCTACGAGTTGTCGGCGAATCCGCTGGTTCTTCAACTGTGTTCAGTTGTGGCAACGGCAAATCGATGATTCTCGTTTCATTGCTGAGTGAGAAGCCAGTGCCAGTAGACAATAAGCACATCCATAGTACATATAAGAGTAACATGACGACCTACTTTGTGAAAAAGTATGCATATACAACCATTTATATTCATGATTATTTTGAGTGTTACTTAAGCAAACACAGACGTCACAAATGTCAATCGAAATATAGTGCAAAATCTGTTTCTCAAACACATGATTTTTTTTGCATCGATTGGAATTAAATCTTTATCATTTCACCATATCAGGATTAGTGTACAGGTAAATACCGTATTTATGTATCACACTCGAGTTTCGTAGTGAAAATGTATATGAAATTAAAGATGTTTCTATTTTTATTTTATTGTAAATATTGAAGTCTCATGTATCAGTTTTCGTGATTTTCCAAAACTTCACCTCCGAATCCTGCAATGTTCCTGATATTATTTCATATCCTCGAGCTGTAAAATCGGCACTGACTTCCCAAACATTCTCCACCTTATAAGTCGTCTGGGGATCAAATTGGAAGTCGCTCAAGGTAAAATTGTAAGACCACCAACTCTGAGTAGGAATCGGATCAAATAGGTTGTTGTTGCCCGAGTTCCCATAATTTGCAACTAGAATAACTGCAATATTCGAGACCGCACTCGGGCCAGCTATCCACACTTGTCCCTGCCGGCCATGAGTTGGATTACTGTTACCTTGTGTAGGCATCATGGGATATTTACAAGTAATATCATTGGCAATTTGTAATGCTCTTCTATTGGTGAGAAGTTCTGAGCCGTAATCATCTAAATCGGTCATATTCGAACCAATAATAAGATTTGCACCTGCTCCAATCCAGTGACTCATCACCGCTTGTCGTTGAACATTAGTCAGGCCACTTCTGGAGCCATTATTTCCAACAAAAATATTGTCCATGTCCGGATAAATAGTTAAAACAGTAGTGTTCCTTCTGCTAACTTGTACCATATATTCACGATATTGTTCGATGGCCCGTTGTACCGTGGACCACTGAGTTTGTACGCCGGGACCACCATTCAAGTCTTGATCCGTACGCATAGTATCGGCACTATAGGAAATATGTTGACTAATAATCGCTACAAATATTACTTACTTAGCGCTCCAGATGGTATAGTAAGGTTCATCACGGGAGAGTTTCCATGATATATCCAGTCGAATTTGACGTTTTTGTTGTGCAATAGCATTGTGGTAACATACAACAATTCCGCTATTGTCTTTTAGAAGATTGTGTTAAGTAGAATATCGTTTCGAGGACTGAACAAGTTTATTGATAAATAACCAAGTAGGTGATCGCATCGCTGTTATAAAAATGCGGGCTATATATAGGGGGAATAACTGTCCAGGTAGAGAGAGAGATACATATCGGATATCAGAAGATTTCACATCACAGTAAAGAGATCTAGGCACAAGATGATACATATGATATCAAGAGAGATGATATCCGAAGAGATACATCAAGGTAAGAGATCAAACTAAGAAAGAATAAGTAAAATACCTAGATTTGTTATAAGAAGATATTACAACATAACACGTCCTCATCCAAAAAACTGAACGTCCCCGTTCACAGTATGGCAAAAAATAGAAAAACAGAAAGTTAAACATCACAAATAAATAAAAAGTAGATAAAAACGGATATTCTACGTTGAAAGAAAGTACTCAATAACAGTATATAAATGAAGAGAAAGAAAAAATGATCTAAAAGGAACCGAGTCAAACAGGTTTCAATCTAGAAACATGCACTGTTTCCGTGCGACCATCATATGGACTTTTCACCACATAATTCAGTCGACCATGCTGTTGCTCAATTTGAAATGGACCATAATATTTGGGTGAGAATTTTTTTAACTTGTGGTTCATCATTTGTTTCAACCAAACATGTTGTCCAATGGAAAACTTCTGATCAATTCGACCTGTGTCAAATCGACGTTTATAGATATTTTGTTGTTGCTTAACATTACATCTTGCTACATGTTTGGCTTGGTTCAAAAACTGATCTAGTTGAATGAAATAATCATTCGGTGTCGGCAACACCACAGTTGTATTGGGCATATCAAACGGTAATCGGGGGACACGACCAAACATTAATTTATATGGTTCAATCTGAGTTGATGCTTGCTTGGATGTATTGTACGAGTAAGTAACGAAAGGTAAATATTCATCCCAGTCGGATTGTTGTTGATTAACATAAGGACCAATTGAATTTGCTATTGTAGCATTAAGACGTTCTGTGAGACCATTCGTACTTGGATGGTAGGTAGTTGCAGTAATATGATGAACACCACATCGACGTGCAACTGCTTCAAAGACTTTGGCCGTAAAGTGTGTACCTTGGTCGGTGAGCAGTTGTTTAGGCACTCCATAATGTAAGATCACTCTTTCAACTAGAAATCGAGCAGCTGCAGTTGCTGAACAATCTTTCGTAGCTTCCGTGATACAATATTTGGACAAATAATCGGTGCATACCAAAATATATCGGTTACCCCGAGAAGACATAGGAACCGGGCCAATAAAATCAAGTCCAAGAAGATCCATAACACCGGCAGGTTGTTCAATTGGTTGTAGTAGACCAGCTGGTTTCTTCCTGCAGATTTTGAACTGTTGACATGGTTTACATGATAATACATGATTTTTAACATCACTATATTGACCAGGCCAATAATATCGATCTTTGATCTTACACCATGTCTTGTAGACACCCAAGTGGCCACCAGTTGGATGATCATGGTACGCTACCAGCAGGTTATGTCTCATGGATTTCGGAACAAATGGTAAGGTATGTGTAGGTTGTCCTTGTCGTTGAACCATTTTACAAAGAACATTATCTTTCAAACAAAATGACTTGATGTTTGAGCCAGATGCCAATGATTCAAGTATATGGCTCGTTTTCTTGTCAGCTACCTGAGCTGCTCTAATATCAGCAGGATCAAATATGGGTTTTGTATCGGTGATAACAGCATTAATATTAGCAATGTTTTGACCATGCATCAAATCGATGTTCGCTTCGACTATATCGTCTGGATCATTTAGTGGATAGCGTGATAAACAATCAGCTACCGTATTACATTTACCAGATGTATGTTTAATATTAAACCGAAATTCTTGAAGTTGAACAGCCCACCGATCAAGACGACCATTTTTTGATGTTCTCTTATTCAGCCAACAAAGTGGATGATGATCAGTTAAGATATCGAAGTCACAACCATACAGATAATGCCGAAGTTTAGTAATACACCATACGAGCGCAAGGCACTCCTTCTCAACAGTTGAAAACTTTTTCTCTTGAATTGACAAAGACCGAGACAGATATGTAATTGGTTTAGGACCTTGAGGTGTCATCTGATGCAAGACACCACCTATACCGGTATTCGATGCATCTGTATTGATACTTAATCGAAATGTTGATCGATCATCTGGATATGCTAACAATGGATATTGAGATAATCTTGTTTTCAATTCATCAAAAGCTTGTTGACATCCATTTGTCCAAATGAAATCAATATTGTTGTTTCTGAACACATTCAATGGAGCTGCTATTGTGGAGAAGTTTGGAATGAAGCGTCGGTAGAATTGAGCCATTTGAACAAATGCATAGGCTTGTTTTGCTGAAGTTGGAACTGGAAAATCAATTGTTTTTCGTACATTGGTCCGAGTTGGTTTTATTCCATCTGAAGTTATTCTAAATCCTAAATAATCCAATTCTTTCTTACAAATAGAGCACTTCTCTGCATTCAATTTAATGTTGGCTTCTTGTAAGGCACATAACACAGCATCAAGATGTTGAGCATGTTGGACAAGTGATCGAGAATATATGATGACGTCGTCCAAGTACACCAATGCTATGTCCCATCGCAGAGCACCCAAAATGGAGTTGACAATACGTTGGAATGTGGCAGGTGCATTGGACAAACCAAATGGAAGAACATTGAACTCAAATAATCCTTCACTGGTAACAAAAGCAGTCTTCTGTTTGTCTTTCTCTTCGATGGGCACCTGCCAATACCCTTGCTTCATATCCAAAGTGGTGAAGTATTTGGCGCCAGCTAATCGATCAATGATGTCGTCAATCCGAGGCAAAGGATATACATCACGTTCCGTGATATAATTCAATCGTCGGTAGTCGACGCAGAATCGTGGTTTGCCGTCTTTCTTTTTAACAATAACCACTGGTGAGGACCACGGACTTGAACTGGGACGAATTACATTATTTTTCAACATTTCAGTTACTTGTTCATTAATAATTTCTCTCTCTTTTGGAGCTTTGCGGTACGGATATGACTGTATTGGTGCATGATGTTCTTGAATTGGAATTCGATGTTTGGTATTGATTTTCATAACCGTTGGTTCTGAATTGTCAAAGACGGTAGAATGCTTTAGTAAGACAGGTTGTAAGTGTTGTTGATGATGTTTTGACAGGTGTGCAAGCAAAGACTCAACTCTAAACCGAAAAGATGTGGATTTCTCTGTTGTGGTTGTTGATGATGATACATGTTTTGCATGATCTTCCGTAGTTGTATTAACATAGCAACAGCGTTCATTGTGATGTTCTATTAGTGTACCGAGTTGTGTTCCTTTGAAGATGGTTCTAGGTGTATTCGATATATTCATTAACGACAATGTTGTGTGATATTCGTCAACTCGTAATAATGCATAGGGCGCACAGATGTCTTCGTTCATAAGCAGTGTTGCAGATGGCGTAAAAATTGCTGCAGTCAGCTCCTTCGCGTCTGTAGTAGCTTGAATAACTTTTGCAGATCGTGGTGGTATAACGATATCTTCGGATGTTCGAAGGTTGCTTGGTTTTGCATCATTGATTTGTTTGGAGAATGGGACTTGTGCCGTTTGGTTCCCCACGCATACTGTGATGTTACGAAAAGAATAACTTATATCAACATTGTAATCATTACACCAATCATTGCCCAAGAGTACATCTGTACATAGATTCTCTATAATAAATGCATTGACTTTTGTTACGATGTTCTGTACCAGAATTTTTAACTCTACCATGCCAAGAATTTTCAAATCGGAGTTGTTGGCCGCTTTACAAACTTTGGTTACACGACGAATTGGTTCATGATGAATTTTTTCTAAATAAGCTGGAGTAATAGCTGAAATTGTGGAGCCAGTATCTATCATAATTTTCGTGTTCAAATTATTTACAGACAAATGTACAAATAAAAGTTTCGATGGATTTTGTTGATTGTAGGTGACATGACCATCATGTGCCACCATTATTCGTTTAAACGCTGATGTTGGCGTCGAGCACTGGGACATATACGCGCAATATGTCCAAAACCATCACAGTTGTAGCATCGGTTTCGGGATGAACCTGAATATTGACGATGATCATCCCAATTCTGTTGGGACTGAGGATATGACCGCGAGTGAATTACTTCTGGTTGTTCATTGTAGTTGTTTCGTGGAGAAACATAATTATTTTGTGATGTTGCTTGGTACTGGATTGGATACATTGGATCATGAAAAGTTGAACGACGTGGAAAATTTCGATGTTGGTAATGATTGTTTGAAGATTGAGATTCTCTCGATGGTGGTGGTTGACCTTTTCGACGAGAGATCGCTGCTACTTGTTCAGAACTATTTTCATCGTCGATAACAGCAGTGAATTCAGATTCTTCAGTTGTTGCTGTTGGTAATGATGGTGCACCAGCGTAGGTTGTTTCCGATCTTTTAGCTAATTCCAAAAATTCTTGTATTGTTTTAGGACTAAACATGATGATATTTTGTGCTAATGATGGTTTCACTCCTCGCAAAAGATGCAATAATTTTTCCGCTTCGTTCATCTGCGGGTTCAATTTTGAACATAAAGCTAATACATCATAGAAATAACTTTGAGCTAATTCATTAACACCTTGTTTTCGATTCATGAGTTTTGTTAATGTTTTCAGTTGCTGAGATGCCGACGTGAATGCTGTTACCAGTTTTTCTCGGAATGTTGACCATTCACCGTCTTCGACATTTGTTAATCGATACCACTTTTTGGCATCACCACTTAAATATAAAACTATTGCCTTTCGTTTAGTTGTTGAATCACCACCAGCTGCTTCGATTGTTTCCTCAAAATCCTGTATCCAAACACTTATGTCTTGATCTTCAGCTCCAGTAAATTGTTCCAAGGGTTTCATACCCTTCTCTAAGATTCGTGTTGCGAATCCAGTGCTAGTCGACATGTTTTGATCTTCTTCTAATTCAAGGGAAGTAGGTGATGTGTTTTGCTGTTGTGCGAGTGTTTCTTGTAGTCGTTGTTGTCGCTGTTCCTGTCGTTGTTGCTGTTTTTGCTGCTGTCGTTGTATAATTGGCTCGTTATCGATGGTTCGTTGTACTGCTGGTCGATTCCGTGTATCCACTTTCCCAAATGAAACGGTGGTAATATTCCCAGAGTATAATTAAAAAGGATAGAAATTAAAATTAAAATAAAACGGACCGGGTTGCGTTGCCAGCTTTGGAGATTGCTGTTTTGTTCACCAAAGTTCGGCGTCTCCACCAATGTTAAGTAGAATATCGTTTCGAGGACTGAACAAGTTTATTGATAAATAACCAAGTAGGTGATCGCATCGCTGTTATAAAAATGCGGGCTATATATAGGGGGAATAACTGTCCAGGTAGAGAGAGAGATACATATCGGATATCAGAAGATTTCACATCACAGTAAAGAGATCTAGGCACAAGATGATACATATGATATCAAGAGAGATGATATCCGAAGAGATACATCAAGGTAAGAGATCAAACTAAGAAAGAATAAGTAAAATACCTAGATTTGTTATAAGAAGATATTACAACATAACAATTGACACCATTGTCAGGACTGCCAGGAGTAACATAATCAAGCTTAATCATGTCAACACCCCTGTAAAAGTCATGAAAAGCAATCATTCAGAAATTTATTTGTCAAATAGAATACCATTGTGCAAACTGATCAACTACAGTATTACACCATATTTGCGCTCCAGGATGACTGTAGTTGAGATCGATTCTAGCCAATCCATTATTATGTCCATTGCCAATCTGTGAAAGAGTATAATTGGTGCCGAAGACAAATTTATTTGCGTCATTAGCAAAGTAACCCGGTACGACATAGACGCCCAACTTTAAACCTTTCCTGTGTAGATGATCTGCCAGCTGAGGAATATCAAAGATCGAACTGTCATATATGATACGACCATACTCATCACCGTTAGCGCCCACAGACCAGCCAGAATCTAACGAACATAGATCGTAGCCATACTCACCAAGTTCATTAACTAATTGATCACATTGCTGGATGACGTTCTCCTGATTGAATTTCATGCCTAGACTTTGCATAGGAAAACTATTCCACCCTTTTGGCGCAGAGGAAAAACCACCGGGTGTCGTTCCATACTGAATAACACCATAAGAGGCTTTTATTTGAATGAGTATACAAAAAACGATAAAGTACAACATTTGCTAAATGAAACGAACGCAACTCGAAGTCAACGGTCTTTGTTTTGCTGCTCTTATCTGTGATAAAAGATGCGGGTATATATTCTAAAAAGCGTTGTATTGACCAAAATTTTATTTACGAGCACAAACGATACCAATTGGTAAATGCCAAAGTTCATCTGGGAAGGGGAGCCATCTAAGTCTAACTATTGATTGATTTTAATCATTTGACCGAGTCTGTTTATTGCCTGATGAGGAATTTTCGAAAGTTTACCACGGATTCTTTACAATCTTTTCGAAACGATTTCGACGCAAGATAATAAATATAAAAAGATGCCGAAGTATTTAGATAGATAAAAAATAATGATAAATACGACATAAAATTTTCAATTTGAATTCTTTCAAGAGTTTTCTGAATATTCATTGCATTCGTTACTGACACTTCCAACACAACTATTGGATAAAAACTCATAGTTAGAATATATACTGAAACCTCAGATAATAACATTTTCAATAGATTACGATCTTTACGTTGAATAACGTTTGTGGTACTATTATTCGCTGTTGATACATCAGCTGGTTTAATACGTCTATGCATTTTGCTAACATTTCTGAAAGCCAGATACCCAAATAAAGTCATTAATACGGGAGGAACCAAGCCGACAAATATGACTGAATACACACTGTTTAAAATATAATAAAGATCAAAGTAACCGCAGCGACCATTTTGAATTGTGGTCATTAGCAAGATGTGAATAGGGAAAATATGCCAAAATAATGTTACTAGGATTATTAATAGTCTTGTCTTGTTTATATGACTGAAGTTTCTTAACTTTACATTCCTATGTGTTAGAGCAAACCGATCAATACATGCGAATATGATGAAATATCTTGACATTTGTCCCCAAACATGGAAAAAATAGAAACGTGATTTACAAAAGGCAAGTGACGATAATGAGGGATCAATATGGTCAAGAACATATAGTCCGTGAGAGATACTCAATGATAAATAAACAATATTTATGAACGCTGCACATAACAAATAAAATGCACAGGGATTTTTGTAATGTTTACTAAATAGATACACAACGCTGATATTACCGATAAAACCGAATGTTAATACAATACTGGTTGCATAACGAACTAAAGCAGTTTGAACTAATGGTAATATTGTTGGTGAAGACATTTCCGATAGTTTTAATTCTAAACGATGACTGTAGAAAAACTTTCGAAGTAGGAGTATTTTTCTTCGGGTGAAATTAGATAGAAATGGTTCTTCTATAATTTTAGATTATAATTATTTCCAGTGTTGTCGTGGTTCCTAATTTTTTTAGTATTTTCCTGATGTGTACTATCATGAATACATTTGAGACGTGCTTTCATCTTGTTTTTTAACAAAAACCCCATTCAATCCCTGTAACTTTCATCTACGTTGTTATCATCATCATCACGTCTCGAAGAATAATTATCCAATTTGTATATCCATTTAGATTGTTTGATGAATGAGGCTAGAATGTCAATTATTTCAATCACAAATCTTCTTATTAACGTCATTGTACGCACGAAAAACTCGTTGACACAGAAACATTCAGACACCAATACTTAAACACTAATGCTACGATGGCGAATACCACAACAGCCAACATGTCTACTAGTCTTGAAAATACACGTGCAGAATGATTTGTGACGGAATATTGATATTCATGAGCAGAAATCATGGATGTGTGGAAACATCGTCGCCAAGTTTACTTCATTGGCACTTTGCATATATCATCCCATCCGAGACTTGTTTCAAACACTAACACTAACGTAACGGGCCGTGCTCTTAACCGGGAAAGATGAACAGCTAAGAGAGAATGATTGACTACTAGTCTCGTTTTATCTCACTTAAACTTGTTCAGCATTGTTCACGTCATACACTTCAATAAAAATCCACAAAATGTACGGTTATTAGATGTGAATGCCATTCAAGGGATCTTCCGCAGAAGTTGGGCAATATTCAAGAGTCAAATTCAGACGACGGTCACAACATAGTGTGACATCTTACTTCTGTAAATCGAATTGGCTGCATTTTGTTTTCGTCCTCTTCGATGCTTTCATTTCTATGCGTCATTTTCATAATGACAATTCATGTCTCACCTACTTAATACCGAAGAAATTTGTGATGAAGAATGTGAGAAACAAGATAATTCTCATACTCTCTATCAATTGTTAGTCGATTGGTATGGCACATCCAATCTGAATCGCTCACTCTCTTCAACACAACTGACAGATCAATGGACTACATTATGGTTTGCAAAACGTGAACTACAAAGATTAGCTGACGAAAAGCTGATGAAATATCATTCGGCTATCGAACACTTTCTTGATTTTCAACCAGCCACTCTAAAAGAAAAAATCGCATTGATTATTCTTTACGATCAAGTCACTCGAAACATCTTCCGAGGAACTGCCAATGCCTACAAATACGATAACAAAGCTCAACAAATTGCTTTATCATTGATCGAAAATGTGACCCTGTCCGATATTCCGATCCAGTTTCTTCTGACTATTCTTATTTGTTTAATTCATTCGGAACAAATCCAGCATGTTGATCTAGTGAAAGATCGTATTGAACAATATGTGTCAACCAATTCGTCAGTCGATTCGAATCTTCTGCGATCGTTGAATGGTATCGTGAGAAATCATTATGATCGTTTGGAATTGTTCGGTCGAATTCCCGAAAGAAACCGTTTTATTAATCGAGAATCAACTCCAGCTGAAATTTCATATATGCAAGCTGTACAGGCAAAAGACGCTTTTTCTTTTTACTGATCAAATCGAACGAGGTCTCAGTTATTTCATAGACGTGCTTTTGTTATCAAATTTTACATTCTATTATTACATTTTTTGTATGATCTGACCTGACAGAATTTTATTCAAGAACAAATAAAGAAGAGGCCTTGTTTTCTCTCGTCTCTCTCAATCCAGTACATACACTTGTGCCACATTGTCTTATCTTTGATTCGTAAAAATATCCAATACACTCATGTCAGTCACAATCGAGTACCATTTTCTTGTTAGTAGAGAACACATTCTCTGATTTGAAAACAGAAGTCAGTATATTCTTTCTTTTATTCTACGTCGAAAACAACTGGCAATATGAGTGGTAATAGGCAAGCTTCTGATCAATCGTTATCGATGATTCTGAAGCGACAACCACAATTATATGATCTTCACACTCATTTACTTGGTATGGGCAATGCATCTTTTTGGATTGATACTATTCTAATGGATGAAAATATTATGCCATAGAATGAGACTTTTCGTCAGAATAAACTGAAACGCCGTGATTTATGTCCTCTCGTTTGGAATCAAGTTGGTAAAACAGGTTTTATTGATGACGAAGAAACGGCGACGTTTTTCTATTATCTTATTGATGAAAGTGGGTTACTGATGAGCAGAAAGGATTTTCGAAGAATTCAAGGACTCATTTCTGAAGTGTTCAATAATCGACTATTAGATCGTTCTTTAACATTCAAAGACAACTTTTCGTACGATGTCGTGTTGAAAGTATCGGATTTAAGCAAAAGCCTCGGTGTGAAACATACGAACCATGATATGATTCAACTTGTAATTAATGAAAGATTAGGCATTACTCCACAATCAACAGTCAGAATTCGTGAATGGATTATCTTTAATGCACGTGAGCAAAAGTTCGAAATTGTCGATGGAATTCGAGTTGAAGAGTTGCGATCATTGATCAAATGTGATCCAAACGCACCAAACAAAACCAAGGAACTAGCACGATCATATATTATAAACGCTTTCTCAATGTGCGATGCACAAGGAACACCTGCTCGTTACGTTGATTTACATGGTTTTCATGGGTCATTCACACCTGATTTCTATCCACATCGATTTGCTCTCAAAGACTCGATTTATTCTCAACGACCCGATGTTCTCGCTACACTCATCGCCAATATTATCGATCGATATCAAACGTGTTTNGTTTTACTTGCAGCCGCCTTCAGTTGATCACCAGTAATCGATACAAAACTAGTCGATGTTTGATGAAAGCCAGCAAAGTAGAAGGCAACTTCAATTTCATACTCGCCGGCTTGAATCATCTTGGCAATTTCTCGGGCATTCTCTTCTGTTGAGCATTTAAAGCGAAAGATCATGGTGAGTGAGTTCGGGTGAACGGCGCGGAATGGTTCGATGCCAGCAATTGGTGAACTACTTCCCTGTACAATGTAAGCTGTCAACGAATCGATCATCAACGGTGCAATATCCCAATATTTCGAATATTCAGCAGTTTTCGTATCAAACTTCTTAGCTATAGCTTTTCGTGCCATCTCTTCGACTGTATCATCGCCTAATAGCAATTTAATACGTACTTCACTCTTTACGAACCAAACCCATGGATCATTTGGTGCACTTTGTAAAGGTGCCATCACTGGTACGTAGTAAAAGATCCATTTCTGTGGCGTCTCGCCTTCATTTGATACAGAACCATATACATAGATTTGACTACCATTGTATTTGAACAGCGTCAGAATGTTGGTACTGACAGTGCCGCTGGCAAAACTGCGAGTTGTCGGTGAATCCGCTGGTTCTTCAACTGTGTTCAGTTGTGGCAACGGCAAATCGATGATTCTCGTTTCATTGCTGATTGAGAACCCAGTGACAGTAGACAATAAGCACATCCATAGTACATATAAGAGTAACATGACGACCAACTTTGTGAAAAAGTGTGCATGTACAACCATTTATATTCATGATTATTTTGAGTGTTACTTAAGCAAACACCGACGTCACAAATATCAATCGAAATATAGTGCAAAATCTGTTTTTCAAACACATGATTTTTTTGCATCGATTGGAATTAAATATTTATGATTACACCATATCAGGATTAGTATACAAGTAGATACCGTATTTATGTATGACACTCGGGTTTCGTAGTGAAAATGTATACGAAAATAAAGATGTTTCTATTTTTATTTTATTGTAAATATTGAAGTCTCATGTATCAGTTTTCGTGACTTTCCAAAACTTCACCTCGGAGTCCTGCAATATTCCCGATATTATTTCATCTCCCCGAGCTGTAAAATCAGCACTGGCTTCCCAAACATTCTCCACCTTATAAGTCGTGTGAGGATCAAATTGGAAGTCGCTGAAGGTAAAATTGTAAGACCACCAACTCTGAATAGGAATTGGATCAAATAGGTTGTTGTTGCCCGAGTTCCCATAATTTGCAACTAGAATAACTGCAATATTCGAATCCACACTCGGGCCAGCTATCCACACTTGTCCCTGCCGGCCATGAGTTGGATTACTGTTACCTTGTGTAGGCATCATGGGATATTTACAAGTGATATCATTGGCAATTTGTAATGCTCTTCTATTGGTGAGAAGTTCTGAGCCGTAATCATCTAAATCGGTCATATTCGAACCAATAATAAGATTTGCACCTGCTCCGATCCAGTGACTCATCACCGTTTGTCGTTGAGCATTAGTCAGACCACTTCTGGAGCCGTTATTTCCAACAAAAAGATTGTCCATGTCCGGATAGATAGTTAAAACAGTAGTGTTCCTTCTGCTAACTTGCACCATATATTCACGATATTGTTCGATGGCCCGTTGTACCGTAGACCACTGAGTCTGTACACCAGGACCACCATTTAAGTCTTGATCCGTACGCATAGTATCGGCACTATAAGAAATATGTTGACTAATAATTACTACAAATATCACTTACTTAGCGCTCCAGATGGTATAGTAAGGTTCATCACGGGAGAGTTTCCATGATATATCCAATCGAATTTGACGTTTTTGTTGTGCAATAGCATTGTGGTAACATACAACAATTCCACTATTGTCTTTTAGAAGATTGACACCATTGTCAGGACTGCCAGGAGTAACATAATCAAGCTTAATCATGTCAACACCCCTGTAAAAGTCATGAGAAGCAATCATTCAGAAATTTATTTGCCAAATAGAATACCATTGTGCAAACTGATCAACCACAGTATTACACCATATTTGCGCTCCAGGATGACTGTAGTTGAGATCGATTCTAGCCAATCCATTATTATGTCCATTACCAATCTGTGAAAGAGTATAATTAGTGCCGAAAACAAATTTATTTGCATCATTAGCAAAGTAACCCGGTACGACATAGACGCCTAACTTTAAACCTTTCCTATGAAGATGATCCGCCAACTGAGGAATATCAAAAATCGAATTGTCATATATGATACGACCATATTCATCGCCGTTAGCGCCCACAGACCAGCCAGAATCTAACGAACATAGATCGTAGTCATAATCACCAAGTTCATTAACTAATTGATCACATTGCTGGATGACATTCTCCTGATTGAATTTCATGCCTAGACTTTGCATAGGAAAACTATTCCACCCTTTCGGCGCAGAGGAAAAACCACCGGGTGTCGTTCCATACTGAACAACACCATAGATGGTTTTTATTTCAATGAGTATACAAAAAACGATAAAGTGCAACATTTGCTAAACGAAACGAACGCAACTCGAAGCCAACGACCTTTGTTTTGCTGCTCTTATCTGTGATAAAAAATGCGGGTATATATTTTAAAAAGCGTTTTATTGACGAGCACAAACGACAACAACTGGTAAATGCCAAAGTTCGCCTGGGAAGGAACCATGTAAGTCTAAGTAGTGATTGATTTTAATCATTTGACAGAGTCTGTTTATTGTCTGATGATAAATTTCCGGAAGTTTACCACGGATTCTTTACAATCTTTTCGAAACGATTTCGACGCAAGAAAATAAATATAAAAAGGTGCCGAAGTATTTAGATAGATAAAAAATAATGATAAATACGACATAAAATTTTCAATTTGAATTCTTTCAAGAGTTTTCTGAATATTCATCGCATTCGTTACTGACACTTCTAACACAACTATTGGATAAAAACTCATAGTTAGAATATACACTGAAACCTCAGATAATAACATTTTCAATAGATTACGATCTTTACGTTGAATAACGTTTGTGGTACTATTATTCGCTGTTGATACATCAGCTGGTTGAACACGCCTATGCATTTTGCTAACATTTATGAAAGCCAGAGACCCAAATAAAATCATTAATACGGGAGGAACCAAGCCGACAAATATAATTGAATACACACTGTTTAAAATATAATAAAGATCAAAGTAACCGCAGCGACCATTTTGAATTGTGGTCATTAAAAAAACGTGAATAGGGAAAATATGCCAAAATAATGTTACTAGGACTATTAATAACCTTGTCTTGTTTATATGACTGAAGTTTCTTAGCTTTACATTTCTATGTGTTAGAGCAAATCGATCAATACATGCGAATATGATGAAATATCTTGACATTTGTCCCCAAACATGAAAAAAATAGAAACGTGATTTACAAAAGGCAAGTGACGATAATGAGGGATCAATATGGTCAAGAACATATAGTCCGTGAGAGATACTCAATGATAAATAAACAATATTTATGAACGCTGCACATAACAAATAAAATGCACAGGGATTTTTGTAATGTTTACTAAATAAATATATAACGCCGATATTACCGATAAAACCAAATGTTAATATAGTACTGGTTCCATAACGAACTAAAGCAGTTTGAACTAATGGTAATATTGTTGGTGAGGACATTTCCAATAGTTTTAATTCCAAACAATGACTAGAAAAACTTGCGAAGTAGGAGTATTTTTCTTCGAGTGAAAGTAGATAGAAATGGTTCTTCGATAATTTTAGATTTTAATTATTTCCGATGCTGTCGTAGTTCCTGATTTTTTAGTATTTTTCTGATGTGTCCTACTTTGAATACGTTTGAGACGTGCTTTCATCTTATTCTAAACAAAAACCCATTCAATTCCCGTAGCTTTCATCTACGTTGTCATCATCATCATCATCACATCTCGAAGAATAATTATCCAACTTGTATATCCATTTAGATTGCTTGATGAACGAGGCTAGAATGTCAAATATTTCAAAATCACAAATCTTCTTATTAATGTCATTGTACGCACGAAAAAGTTGTAGACACACAAACATTCAGACATCAGTACTTAACACTAATACTACGATGGTGAATACCACAACAGCCAACACGTCTGCTAGTCTTGAAAATATACGTACATAATGATTTTTGGTGGAATATTGATATTCATGAGCAGAAATCTTGGATGTGTGGAAACATCGTCGCCAAGCTTATTTCATTTGTCTATTTTGGAAAACTATTGCTAGTTTATTCATTCTTAAAACTGTATTCTCTTGACATGTATCGTCGAACGCGGGTTTAATAAATCACCTATGAATGTGTCAATACACTCTGTTGAATTGGAGAGCTTATCTCAATGGTGATGTACCGGAGTGAAATTGTTGTGTTTCTACTAGAACTGCGCCAATAGAGCAATCGCGTTCATGTTGCTCACAAGATTATAGCAGAAAGCTTTCTGCTTCGGATCTTAGTCAATAGTCATCGATTGGTTTGATACACCAATAGACATGGATATTGGCGGGGCTAAAGGACGGTTCACATACTGGTTTCTTTGGATTACGTTCGTATTTATGTGTTGTTGGCGCTTTCCATGTATCATCCCATCCGAGACTTATTTCAAACACTAACAATAACATAACGGGCCGTGCTCTTGATCTGGAAAGATGAACAGCTAAGAGAGAATGATTTACTACTAGTCTCGCTTTGTGTCACTTAAACTTGTTCGGCATTGTTCGCGTCATACACTTGAATAAAAATCCACAAAATCTACGGTTATTAGGTGTGAATATCGTTCAAGGGATCTTCTTTTCTTGAACTGCAGTATACTTTGTCAGCTTTCTTAAATCAAGACTATTCTGTTCAGCTCACAGTAGAAAACAATTCTACTAACCGCAGAGGTTAGACAATATTCAAGAGTTAAATTCAGACGATGGTCACAACATAGTATGACATCTTACTTCTCTATATCGGATTGGCTGCATTTTGTTTTCGTCCTCTTCGATGCTTTCATTTCTATACGTCATTTTCATAATGACAATCCATGTCTCACCTACTTAATACTGAAGAAATTTCTAATGAAGAATGTGAGAAACAAAATAATTCTCATACTCTCTATCAATTGTTAGTCGATTGGTATGGCACATCCAGTCTGAATCGTCCACTCTCTTCAACACAACTGACAGATCAATGGACAACATTATGGTTTGCGAAACGTGAACTACAAATATTAGCTGACGAAAAGCTGATGAAATATCATTCGGCAATCGAACACTTTCTTGATTTCCAACCAGCCAATCTAAAAGAAAAAATTGCATTGGTTATTCTTTACGATCAAATCACTCGAAACATCTTCCGAGGAACTGCCAATGCTTACAAATACGATGACAAAGCTCAACAAATTGCTTTATCATTGATCGAAAGTGTGACTCTGTCCGATATTCCCATTCAGTTTCTTCTGACTATTCTTATTTGTTTAATTCATTCGGAACAAATTCAGCATGTTGATCTAGTGAAAGATCGTATTGAACAATATGTGTCAACTAATTCGTCAATCGATTCCAATCTTCTGCGATCGTTGAATGGCATCGTGAGAAATCATTATGATCGTTTGCAATTGTTCGGTCGAATTCCCGAAAGAAACCGTTTTATTAATCGAGAATCAACTCCAGCTGAAATTTCATATATGCAAGCTGTACAAGCACAAGACGCTTTTTCTTTTTACTGAACAAATCGGACGAGGTCTCAGTTATTTCATAGACGTGCTTTTGTTATTAAATTTTACATTCTATTATTACATTTTTTAAATATAATCTGACCGGACAGAATTTTATTCAAGAACAAATAAAGAAGAGACCTTGTTTTCTTTCGTCTCTCTCAATCTAGTACATACGCTTGTGCTGCATTATCTTATCTGTGATTCGTAAAAATATCGAATACATTCACGTCAGTCACAATCGAGTACCATTTTCTTGTTAGCAGAGAACACATTCTCTGATTTGAAAATAGAAGTCAACATATTCTTTCTTTTATTCTACATCGAAAACAGCTGACAGTATGAGTGGTAAGGGACAAGATTCGGAGGCGACAACTACAATTATATGGTCTTCACACTCATTTACTTGGTATGGGCAATGCATCTTTTTGGATTGATACTATTCTAATGGATGAGCATATTATGCCGTCGAATGACACTTTTCGTCAGAATAAACTGAAACGCCGTGATTTATGTCCTCTCGTTTGGGATCAAGTTGGTAAAACAGGTTTTGTTGATGGCGAAGAAACGGCGACGTTTTTCTATTATCTTATTGGTGAAAGTGGGTTACCGATGAGTGGAAAAGATTTTGGAAGATTTCAAGGACTTAGTTCCGAAGTGTTCAATAATCAACTATTAGATCGTTCTTTAACATTCAAAGAAAACTTTTCGTACGATGTCGTGTTGAAAGTATCGGATTTAAGCAAAAGCCTCGGTGTGAAACATACGAACCATGATATGATTCAACTTGTGATTAATGAAAGATTAGGTATTACTTCACAATCAAAAGTCAGAATTTGTGAATGGATTATCTTTAATGCACGTGAGCAAAAGTTCGAAATTGTCGATGGAATTCGAGTTGAAGAGTTGCGATCATTGATCAAATGTGATCCAAACGCACCAAATAAAACCAAGGAACTAGCACGATCATATATTATAAACGCTTTCTCAATGTGCGATGCACAAGGAACACCTGCTCGTTACGTTGATTTACATGGTTTTCATGGGTCATTCACACCTGATTTCTATCCACATCGATTTGCTCTCAAAGACTCGATTTATTCTCAACGACCCGATGTTCTCGCTGCACTCATCGCCAATATTATCGATCGATATCAAACGTGTTTGCCTCCAGTTAAATACTGTGAGTTTTCGGTCAGCGTCAATGATCTTTGTCGCCCATGGATATACGACGTACTTCGCAGTGTTCAATTCTATGGCGCACAAGAAAAGGCACAAATTCAAAGGGATGAAACAAATCACACGTATATACCCACATTGAAACTGAGTTCCTTCTCACAATTAGTTCTCAATGGCCATTTTCCTCACTTGGAATTTGCATTCACTGGAGCGGAATCAGAAGATGGAAAACTTAATCGTTCTACGACATTTGATTTCATTTACAAATTCTTGATTGGTTTTGATCGTCAAAAAATACAAACGAGCTACTTCAAGAACTCAAGCGAAGCTCTTGATTTCTTATTAAAACAACCACATCAAGCGATTATGCTCATGCTGCAAGAGATTGAAAATAGAAAGGAAAACATAACTGGAGAAAGTATGTTTGCCTGGTTTACGAACAAATTGGGGGAACTAGAAAAGAAGGAAGAAGCAAATTTAATGCCAGCTTTTTACGGTTGGACAGTCGGTCTTGATCTGTTTGGTGATGAATCAGGTTTTCCATACTGCCCATTTGTGGCACCCTCGTTCATTAATTATATTCAAAAACGGCGAAAAATTTCGAAAGAAACTCCCAGTCTCGAGCGCAACCTTTTTGGTGTTCGTGTTCATTGCGGTGAAAACGTTATGTTTGCTGATACTAAAATTCCAGGATATCGACTATTTATCGCGCATATGTATATCGTTTTCCGCTGTTTGTTATTTCTTCAAAAAGAACTTCAGTATGGTATTCGAATTGGTCATGGCATCGCATTCGATCGTATTTTCGATGGTACAATGAGCAAATTAAGGTATCGAAAGTCGTCGGTGATATTGGCAGACATTCAAGAACGGGCTCAAGATCTAATGAAAACAATAGCTTTTGAAGTCAATATTACGAGTAATGAATATTTACTAGGTCAAACATTACGTCGAGGAGATGCTGGACGCCCACTTCGTCTTGGCGGTTTATTTGACAGAGTACCAATCATTCTTGCGACTGATGACGACGGAGTTTGGCCGATTGATCATTGTGCATTCATTCATCCTGGCCATCATTCGTTAACAGCTGAATATTGTCGAGCAATTTCGTCTGGTTTAATTGATAAGACTGATCAGCTGCAGAAGATTCTTCAAAATACGAGAGATTTCTGCTTCTGGAATATGGGTGGATCTCTCCGAAAGCCGTCCAAGCCTTACTACTCTCCACAATATAATCATCTGGGTAATACGATTATTATACATCCAGATATTCTCCGACGTCTTCAGAGACGTTACAACGACAATCCTACGACAGAAACCAACTATACGGATAGGTTTTTTTTCGGCGATCTGAACGCCAACTCCATCAAATGGAAGCATGAAGCAGGTGTGTTACGCGTAGTATTCACTTGTATTTGTACAGGTGGTAATATGAGTGCAGAACAAATATCTGCGATACGCAATGATTATAGTATTATATTTGGACAAGATGAAAACCAGTTCGATTTGATACATAGTTTCTGGAAGGATGTCCGCTCCGAGTTTATGTCGAGCAATCATGCTACACGCTCACACGACGATTTAGGAATCGGACACAAAGTTGAGTTGAAATTCGATGATGCAAATTTTTTAGTCTATGCAAATCCGAAGCATGGCCAACTACAAGACTCGCCCGAGCGTTGTTTGTGCGAATTCATTCATCAAAAGCGTGGATCCAAGCACACAATTTATGCGTTCGTAGATACTATTGATACCGAAAAGATGGTAAAACTTCTGGAACAAAGAATAAACTCTGGCGTTAGCGAACAATACAACAAGATGGCTTTATTCATATATACAAATACAAACATATATGAATATGTATCGCATGGAATTAATAAAGACTTTACGTTAATAGTAAATCCCCATTCGTCGAAGCGGAAGAAAAGCAAACAATGCTTCTTGTACACGTTATGTTCATCTGCCAGTGCTGCAACAGCTGCTCTTCATTTGATTGCCGAAATGATTTCTCGCAAACTATCTAGCCAGGGATCTAAATTTACGCCCGGTCAGGCACATCCTGCTGCGTCAATGAAGCTGGAGTCTCCAATACCTGTCAGCCGTGATGCTACTGATGAAGCATCGGAAGAGAAGAAACATTTGCTATAGATTTAAATCCTACACGATCAACTCTGCGTTTGTGTCTATACTTTGTCACCATTTATAAGTAGTAGTCGAGATCTTTCGCGATAACTCATATATGCTTGTATTCGGTTTTTGATTTTCACAATAAAAGCTAAACTTTTAAAAATACACGAGAATAACAAAACGTGTAAATCTCTCAACAATCTATTTTCCACTGGACACTGTTTTTCAACATAGTAAGGACTATATATTATGATTAATTAGAAAACAAACAACTTCAGTTGGCTATCGAGGAGAAAATAGTCGATCTGATGCGGTGTGTGAAGCGGTTAAAAAGCCATTGATCAATATGTTCGATAGGATAGAGGAATATTCTTTTTACAGAACGTATTACAAACTATAGTATCAACATCATAATAAATATTCACAAAATACTTGAATGTAATGGCGTAAACAATTTTATAATAGTCGATAGAAAGAATTTTTCCTTTTCTTTTCTCCTCAAGAGATATAAGTAACATATTGAAAAATAACATACAATACTACTCGTCGTGGACTATCAGATAGTTATGAACCATCTTTAAAATAACATATATGAGAAGATATTTTTGCGCTACAAGATGTGCAAGTTTTGTTGACTAAACTATATTTTAGGGGATTTTTGAAAGGGAAATAGTTGTGCAAACTTGAAAGCACTCTGTAAACATCGGTGCATAAAAGACATGCGACCAGCCGTTTACTGTTACCGTTTCCATCTTTGCTTTAAGTGATGCCATTGAATTTCGTATTGTTTATTTAAAGTGCTCCATAGTAGCGAGGAATTTCCGCGTCACATGTGGTTCTTCTTTTCTTTTACTGTTTCTTAATAATAACAGTATACATTACACGTGAATAGCTGATCAGCCATGACGACAGAACGCAAGAAAAAAACGTCGTGATTGAAAAGACAAATCGATATATTCAAGGAGAATATTCAAACAATTGCGTCACTCTATTGGAAGTCAAACTAAAATGAGTTTCCTCTCGAGAATCCCGAAATCAACACGTTTTCATGTAAGTGCATTTTTTCTCAAGCTACAAGAAGTACACTTTTGATTTCTTTTGTAGTCTATAGCTCGTTCTTTCGCTGTGGAAAGTTTTCAAAAGCACAATATCAGTGCAAAGCATACAACCAACACGCATGTACGATTGAATGTATATTTACTTCCTTTTCATTTTTCATATTAGATCACTTCAAAATATAAGATTATCGATCATGCCTATGATGCCATTGTTATTGGCGCTGGTGGTGCGGGTCTTCGTGCTGCTTATGGTTTATCAGCAGCTGGTTTTAAAACTGCAGTTATTAGTAAATTGTTTCCTACACGCAGTCATACGGTTGCCGCTCAAGGTGGTATCAATGCTGCGTTAGGAAATATGGAACCTGATGATTGGCGATGGCATATGTATGATACAGTCAAAGGTTCTGATTGGCTTGGTGATCAAGATGCAATACACTATATGGCTCAACAAGCNCAATGATCTTTGTCGCCCATGGATATACGACGTACTTCGCAGTGTTCAATTCTATGGCGCACAAGAAAAGGCACAAATTCAAAGGGATGAAACAAATCACACGTATATACCCACATTGAAATTGAGTTCCTTCTTACAGTTAGTTCTCAACGACCATTTTCCTCACTTGGAATTTGCATTCACTGGAGCGGAACCAGAAGATGGAAAACTTAATCGTTCTACGACATTTGATTTCATTTACAAATTCTTGATAGGTTTTGATCGTCAAAAAATTCAAACGAGCCACTTCAAGAACTCAAGCGAAGCTCTTGATTTCTTATTAAAACAACCACATCAAGCGATTATGCTTATGCTGCAAGAGATTAAAAATAGAAAGAAAAACATAACTAGAAAAAGTATGTTTGCCTGGTTTACGAACAAATTGGCGGAACTAGAAGAGAAGGAAAAAGCAAATTTAATGCCAGCTTTTTACAGTTGGACAGTCGGTCTTGATCTGTTTGGTGATGAATCAGGTTTTCCATACTGCCCATTTGTGGCACCCTCGTTCATTAATTTTATTCAAAAACGGCGAAAAATTTCGAAAGAAACTCCCGATCTCGAGCGCAACCTTTTTGGTGTTCGTGTTCATTGTGGTGAAAACGTTATGTTTGCTGATACTGAAATTCCAGGATATCGACTATTTATCGCGCATATGTATATCATTTTCCGCTGTTTGTTATTTCTCCAAAAAGAACTCCAGTATGGTATTCGAATTGGTCATGGCATCGCATTCGATCGTATTCTCGGTGGTACAATGAGCGAATCAAGATATCGAAAGTCGTCAGTGATATTGGCAGACATTCAAGAACGGGCTCAAGATCTAATGAAAACAATAGCTTTTGAGGTCAATATTACGAGTAATGAATATTTACTAGGTCAAACATTACGTCAAGGAGATGCTGGGCGACCACTTCGTCTTGGCGGCTTATTTGACAAAGTACCAATCATTCTTGCAACTGATGACGACGGAGTTTGGCCGATTGATCATTGTGCATTCGTTCATCCTGGGCATCATTCGTTAACCGCTGAATATTGTCGAGCAATTTCGTCTGGTTTAATTGATAAGACTGATTAGCTGCAGAAGATTCTTCAAAATACGAAAGATTTCTGCTTCTGGAATATGGGTGGATCTCTCCGAATGCCGCCCGAGCCTTACTACTCTCCACAATATAATCATCTGGGTAATACGATTATTATACATCCAGATATTCTCCGACGTCTTCAGAATCGTTACAACGACACTCCTACGACAGAAACCGACTATAAGAATAGGTTTTTTTCCGGCAATCTGAACGCCAACTCCATCGAATGGGAGCATGAAACAGGTGTGTTACGTGTAGTATTCATTTGTATTTGTACAAATGGTAATATGAGTGCAAAAGAAATATCTGCGATACGCAATGATTATAATATTATATTTGGACATGATGAAAATCAGTTCGATTTGATATATAGTTTCTGGAAGGATGTCCGCTCCGAGTTTATGTCGGGCAATCATGCTACAGGCTCACATAACGATTTAGAAATCGGACACAAAGTTGAGTTGAAATTCGATGATGCAAATTTTTTATTTTATGCGAATCCGAAGCATGGCCAACTACGAGACTCACCCGAACGTTGTTTGTGTGAATTCATTCACCAAAAGTGTGGATCCAAGCGTACAATTTATGCTTTCGTAGATACTATTGACACCAAAAGGATAGTAGAACTTTTGGAACAAAGAATAAACTCTAGCGATAGCGAACAATACAACAAGATGACTTTATTCATATATACAAATACAAACATATATGAATATGTATCGCATGGAATTAACAAAGAATTTAGGTTAATAATAAATCCCCATTCGTCGAAGCGGAACAAAGACAAACAATGCTTCTTGTACACGTTATGCTCATCTGCCAGTGCTGCAACAGCTGCTCTTCATTTGATTGCCGAAATAATTTCTGGCAAACAATCTAGCCATGAGTCTAAATTTTCGCCTGGTCAAGCACATCCTACTGAATCGATGGTGTTGGAATCTCCAATACCTGTCAGCTGTGATGTCACTGATGATGCATCGGAAGAAAAGAAAAATTAAGTACTTCATTTCGAATACACGTGAAGCACCAGAAACATTTACTATAGATTTAAATCCTATACGATCAACTCTGCGTTTGTGCCTATACTTTGTCACCATTTATAAGTAGTAGTCGAGACCTTTCGCGATAACTCATATAAACTTGTATTCGGTTTTTGATTTTCACAATAAAAGCTAAACTTTTAAAAATACACGAGAATAACAAAACGTGTAAATCTCTCAACAACCTATTTTCCACTGGATACTGTTTTTCAATATAGTAAGGACTACATATTATGATATTATAATTAATTATAAAACAAACAACTTCAGTTGGCTGTCGAGGAGAAAATAGTCGATCTGATGCGGTGTGTGAAGCGGTTAAAAAGCCATTGATCAATATGTTCGATAGGATAGAGGAATATTCTTTTTACAGAACGTATTACAAACTATAGTATCAACATCATAATAAATATTCACAAAATACTTGAATGTAATGGCGTAAACAATTTTATAATAGTCGATAGAAAGAATTTTTCCTTTTTTTTTCTCCTCAAGAGATATGAGTAGCATATTGAAAAATATCATACAATACTACTCGTCGTGGGCTATCAGACAGTTATGAACCATCTTTAAAATAATATATATGAGAAGATATTTTTGCGCTACAAGATGTGCAAGTTTTGTTGACTACAACTATATTTTAGGGGATTTTTGAAAGGGAAATAGTTGTGCAAACTTGAAAACACTCTGTAAACATCGGTACATAAAAGACATACGACCAGCCGTTTACTGTTACCGTTTCAATCTCTGCTCTAAGTGATGCCATTGAATTTCGTATTGTTTATTTAAAGTGCTTCATAGCGACGAATTTCCGCGTCACATGTGGTTCTTCTTTTCTTTTACTGTTTCTTAATAATAACAGTATACATTACACGTGAATAGCTGATCAGCCATGACGACAGAACACAAGAAAAAAAACATCGTGATTGAAAATACAAATCGATACATTCAAAGAGAATACTCAAATAATTGCGTCACTCTATCGGAAGTCAAACTAAAATGAGTTTCCTCTCGAGAATCCCGAAATCAACACGTTTTCATGTAAGTGCATTTTTTCTCAAGTTACAAGAAGTACACTTTTCATTTTCTTTTGTAGTCTATAGCTCGTACTTTCGCTGTGGAAAGTTTTCAAAAGCACAATATCAGTGCAAAGCATACAACCAACACGCATGTACGATTGAATGTATACTTACTTCCTTTTCATTTTTCATATTAGATCACTTCAAAATATAAGATTATCGATCATGTCTATGATGCCGTTGTTATTGGCGCTGGTGGTGCTGGTCTTCGTGCTGCTTATGGTTTATCAGCAGCTGGTTTTAAAACTGCAGTTATTAGTAAATTGTTTCCTACACGCAGTCATACGGTTGCCGCTCAAGGTGGTATCAATGCTGCGTTAGGAAATATGGAACCTGATGATTGGCGATGGCATATGTATGATACAGTCAAAGGTTCTGATTGGCTTGGTGATCAAGATGCAATACACTATATGGCTCAACAAGCTCCGCGTGCTGTTGTTGAAGTAGGACGCGCGCTTGAGATAAAAATCTACTATTGAATTTCTCTTCGACGGAAAAAGCTTGACAATATCGGTATGCCATTCAGTAGAAATCCGAATGGCACAATTTTTCAACGTGCCTTTGGTGCTCAGTCGTATGAGTACGGTCGGGGTAAGCAAGCACGTCGTTGCTGTGCTGTTGCTGATCGTACGGGCCATGCAATGTTGCATACACTCTACGGCGAAGTAAATAATAGACTATTTAGGCATATATAAAATGATATTTATCTAGTCGTTGAAATACAGCACAGATTATTTTATTGAATATTTTGCGCTTGATTTATTCATGAATTCAGATAGAACACAATGCCTTGGTCTTATTGCATTAAATCTTGAAGATGGAAGCCTTCATCGATTCCAAGCCAATAATACTGTTGTAGCAACTGGGTAATCGTATTGGATTCTTTTTTTATGGATATAGGTTAAAATTTAACGATTTAGTGGTTATGGGCGAGCCTATTTGTCATGTACGTCAGCGCATACATGTACTGGTGATGGTAATGCCATGGTTACTCGTGCAGGTCTGACAAATCAAGATTTAGAATTTGTTCAATTCCATCCAACTGGTAATTCCTATTGTTTCGACTTGTGAAACAACGTTGAAAAGAATTTTATTAGGTATTTTTGGAGTGGGCTGCCTCATATCAGAAGCTGCTCGCGGTGAAGGCGCCTTTCTTGTTAATAGTAATGGCGAACGCTTCATGGAACGTTATGCGCCAGCTAAAAAAGATCTTGCTTCGCGTGACGTTGTGTCACGTTCGATAACGAAGGAAATTGTCGAAGGACGGTTGGATAGTTTTTTGTCCGAAATTTTCCTCTAGAAAAACTCTTTGACTAATGTTCATAGTGGCGTTGGGAAAGAGAACGATCATATGTATCTCCAATTACATCACTTGGATCCAGAACTAATACACGAACGTTTACCAGGCATTCAAGAAACCGTCAAAATATTTGTCGGTATTGACATCACGAAAGAGTCAATACCTATAATACCAACAGTTCATTATAATATGGGTGGTATTCCGACAAATTATAAAGGTCAAGTTATACAACATAAAAATGGAAAAGATGTTGTCATCAAAGGTTTATATGCAGCCGGTGAAGCTGCATGTGCAAGTATCCATGGTGCTAATAGACTCGGCGCAAATTCCCTGCTGGATCTTGTTGTATTTGGGCGTGCATGTGCACTCACAATTGCAGAAGAAAATAAACCTGGAGACACGTTACCCGAACTTCCATCGGTGAGCAATGAAAACCAAAGAGATTTGTACAATAGTGAACCTGTTTTAGGATACTGGTCGAATGTCGATCGATAACTTAGATCGACTGAGATATGCCAATGGATCAATTTCAACAGCGGAACTTCGTTTGAAAATGCAAAATGTATGTAACTTTTATCTGTACGCACTGAGTTCCTTATAGAGGATTTAGACAATGCAATTTCATGCTGCAGTCTTCCGTAAAGATCAAACACTGACGAAAGGTTGTGTATTGATGGATAGCATATTTCAAGGACAATACGATTTGGGATTAAAAGACCGTGGAATTATCTGGAACACAGATTTGACTGAAGCGCTGGAATTACAAAATTTATTACTTAATGCTGTGCAAACAATCTATGCGGCAAAAGCACGAGAAGAAAGTCGAGGTGCACATGCAAGAGAAGATTTTCCTGTAAGAATAGACAAATGAAGAACAATATGAATCTGACATTTCATTGTAGGATCGTATTGATGAGTATGATTATTCAAATTTAGCAGAAAATCCTATTGCCAATCAGAAAAAGAAACCATTCGAGAAGCACTGGCGTAAGCATTCATTATCTTACACGGATCCCGCAAGTGGAAAAGTAAGACGAATTAGGTGAAAGAATATCTCTTGAATTCGATTCTTCCTTTTCTAGACAACATTATCATATCGGCCTGTAATTGATAAAACATTGGATGAAAACGTTTGTGCATCAGTACCGCCACAACCTCGTAAATATTGAAAGCGAAAAAGAAAACTTTATTCAATCAAACAATCTGTTTCAAAGACCCATTTTAATCAAGAGTTTTTGCCCGTTTGGATTAAAAAGTAAATAACCATTGACAACACTTCCTAAGACAGCAACCAGAAAACCTTTCGAAAGAAAGAAGATTGGATTGGTGATTGCACCCCAATAATCCATATGATGATCTAGTCGAAAACATAAGACATTGCACGAGCCGAATACGAGACATCCTAAGATGATTGTACCAAGGATTGCTTTTGTATTAAAGTATCGATCAGTTATAAACATATTTATCAACGTTCCCATGGTTGAGCCCATTCCGATGCCGCAGAAAAATAATGTCCAAGCGATTTTATAGAAAAGATCTTTGAAACCAGAGAAAGCAAAAATACCAATCAATAAAAACATAAACTCGGCGCCCATCGACGACATAATGAATAATTTCATCGGTCGAAGATAATATTGCCGCCGTTTCTGCGCGGCGAATGAAGTCGATGATGATGAATTGCTTTCATTCTCGTCGGTGACCGATGGCATATTATGTTTAGTTGCGTCCATCGTTTCCTTTGTAGACATTAGAATTTGAATCGATAAATGGATTTTCCATAAAGAAACTATCAAATACCAATCGAAGTGCACAGAAGATGAACCTCCCAAGCGCATGTGAAAGAAAAACATAGAAAATCCATATATTCTACGTAATAGATGTCTCTGTCGTACCAAAACAAGATTTTCATTGATATGACAAACATTGTGTACGTTTATTATGTTTTTTTCGTTTGATTGAAAAGTGTATAGATTGTTGAAATACAGAATCAGTTTTCTATGATGAGTTAACAAATTTACAATGCCATGCAATTGCTCTGATTGTCTCTCCTATCACAACACGACGTTTTTCACTTCCTCGTAACGTGAGTCATTTGTACCAACTGAATCATGGACCGTTATAACGCCCAAATCATCATAAGTGTGTAAGCTGTCATGAACAATTAATTCGTACCGATGACCTCAGATTTTACACAACCAATTTGTCGCTTCGAGCACCTTTCCAATGAAGTCATCTATGAAATCTTTGATTATCTTGATTTTAACGATATTCACCAAAGTTTTNGCAATACACTATATGGCTCAACAAGCTCCGCGTGCTGTTGTTGAAGTAGGACGCGCGCTTGAGATAAAAATCTGCTATTGAATTTCTCTTCGACGGAAAAAGCTTGACAATATCGGTATGCCATTCAGTCGAAATCCGAATGGCACAATTTTTCAACGTGCCTTTGGTGCTCAGTCGTATGATTACGGTCGGGGTGAGCAAGCACGTCGTTGCTGTGCTGTTGCTGACCGTACAGGCCATGCAATGTTGCATACACTCTACGGCGAAGTAAATAATAGACCGTTTAGGCATATATAAAATGATATTTATCTAGTCGTTGAAATACAGCACAGATTATTTTATTGAATATTTTGCGCTTGATCTATTCATGAATTCAGATAGAACACAATGCCTTGGTCTTATTGCATTAAATCTTGAAGATGGAAGCCTTCATCGATTCCAAGCGAATAATACTGTTGTAGCAACTGGGTAATCGTATTGGATTCTTTTTTTTATGGACATAGGTTAAAATCTTACGATTTAGTGGTTATGGGCGAGCCTATTTTTCATGTACGTCAGCGCATACATGTACTGGTGATGGTAATGCCATGGTTACTCGTGCAGGTCTGACAAATCAAGATTTAGAATTTGTTCAATTCCATCCAACTGGTAATTCCTATTGTTTCGACTTGTGAAACAACGTTGAAAAGAATTTTATTAGGTATTTTTGGAGTGGGCTGCCTCATATCAGAAGCTGCTCGCGGTGAAGGCGCCTTTCTTGTTAATAGTAATGGCGAACGCTTCATGGAACGTTATGCGCCAGCTAAAAAAGATCTTGCTTCGCGTGACGTTGTGTCACGTTCGATAACGAAGGAAATTGTCGAAGGACGGTTCGATAGTTTTTTGTCCGAAATTTTTCTCTAGAAAAATTCTTTGACTAATTTTCATAGTGGCGTTGGGAAAGAGAACGATCATATGTATCTCCAATTACATCACTTGGAACCAAAACTAATACACGAACGTTTGCCAGGCATTCAAGAAACCGTCAAAATATTTGTCGGCATTGACATCACGAAAGAGCCAATACCTATAATACCAACAGTTCATTATAATATGGGTGGTATTCCGACAAATTATAAAGGTCAAGTTATACAACATCAAAATGGAAAAGATGTTGTCATCAAAGGTTTATATGCAGCCGGTGAAGCTGCATGTGCAAGTATCCATGGTGCTAATCGACTCGGTGCAAATTCCCTGCTTGATCTTGTTGTATTTGGGCGTGCATGTGCGATCACAATTACCGAAGAAAATAAACCTGGAGACATGTTACCCAAACTTCCATCGGTGAGCAATGAAAAAAAAGAGAATTGTACAATAGTGAACCTGTTTTAGGATACTGGTCGAATGTCGATCGATAACTTAGATCGACTGAGATATGCCAATGGATCGATTTCAACAGCGGAACTTCGTTTGAAAATGCAAAGTGTATGTAACTTTTATCTGTACTCACTGAGTTCCTTATAGAGGATTTAGACAATGCAACTCCATGCAGCAGTCTTTCGTAAAGATGAAACACTGACGAAAGGTTGTGTATTGATGGATAGCATATTTCAAGGACAATACGATTTGAGATTAAAAGACCGTGGAATTATCTGGAACACGGATTTGACTGAAGCGCTGGAATTACAAAATTTATTACTTAATGCTGTGCAAACAATCTATGCGGCAAAAGCACGAGAAGAAAGTCGAGGTGCACATGCAAGAGAAGATTTTCCTGTAAGAATAGACAAATGAAGAGCAATATGAATCTGACATTTCGTTGTAGGATCGTATTGATGAATATGATTATTCAAATTTAGCAGAAAATCCTATTGCCAATCAGAAAAAGAGACCATTCGAAAAGCATTGGCGTAAGCATACATTATCTTACACGGATCCCGCAAGTGGAAAAGTAAGACAAATTAGGTGAAAGAATATTTCTTGAATTCGATTCTTCCTTTTCTAGACAACATTATCATATCGGCCTGTAATTGATAAAACATTGGATGAAAACGTTTGTGCATCAGTACCGCCACAATCTCGTAAATATTGAAAACGAAAAAGAAAACTTTATTCAATCAAACAATCTGTTTTAAAGACCCATTTTAATCAAGAGTTTTTGCCCGTTTGGATTAAAAAGTAAATAACCATTGACAACACTTCCTAAGACAGCAACCAGAAAACCTTTCGAAAGAAAGAAAATTGGATTGGTGATTGCACCCCAATAATCCATATGATGATCTAGTCGAAAACATAAGACATTGCACGAGCCGAATACGAGACATCCTAAGATGATTGTACCAAGGATTGCTTTTGTATTAAAGTATCGATCAGTTATAAACATATTNTCGGTTTTCTGATTTCATATCAGAACCGAATCACTTTCTTTCGCTCATCGAGTCCTCTTATTGATGATCTTCTGTCTTCGACATTTACTAAGATGACTCAACTTCGAACACTAATTCTTGAAAATATTCGATCGAAACATTTACAAGATATTCTCGTCGATCTACCTTCTCTTCGATCACTTGTTATTAAAACTATTGGTCCTATTTCATCTACCGGTGATTTATTTCGTCAAATATTTCATTTACCTGCATTAAAATATTGTCATACAACATTCCCTGACAACTGGCCTTCTTGTCGATTACCGTTTCCGACTACAAACGACTATAGCCCCATTGAAACACTTGTTCTCAATAATGCTTTACCTATGAGTGAACTACATATCCTTTTATCATACGTTCCTGACATTCGTCGTTTATCATACTCTATTCATCAATGGTCAACTTATACAACAATGCAACGAGAACCAATTAAATTGAGTAATCTGACCCATCTATTTCTTCATATGGCACGTATATTTCATAGTCAAATGAAACTTTTAATGGAACAACTATTTTCTCATGTTCGTGTTGTGTATATCACGACACTTGATTCTCCATTACGTTTAACGACAAACAAATGGGAAGATATGGTCATAAGTCCTCTGTCAAATCTACATGCTTTGCATGTGAAATTTACGGATGATGGAGCAAGGTATTTATGTTGGCGTGATCAACAGTGGTGTTGGACACAAGAAGAACAATTGCAAAGTATATCTTCAGTACAACCGATTACGTAAGAGTGAAGAAAGTCAAGATATTTATCCTTATCCCTTTTTATGTTTACAGGCAGAAATGTGCATGTACCAATCGTTGTTCAGCTATGAGTTCAAGTTATTATCTTTCTGTCACTCAACTTGCTCTTCGAAATGATATATCAAAAATAGATAATTGTGTTTATTTTCCCTATATTACTAAATTGACTATCTTCCAATACTCAAATGCAACTAACCATTCAATTTCAGCTATTCTTGATCGAATCTTTCCTCTCATGAAACTCACAGAATTGATAATTAATTATCCGCAGTTTTGTGTTGGAAAACTAGCTGAACTACTGTATTTTTCACCGAATGTCAAGAAATTGGCAGTTCATTCAATATCGTGTCACAAAGTATCATCGATTGCGATCGGAAAAAGTGCAACTCTGAAAACAGTATCCGAGAACAGCAGAATCAAAGATTTGATTATAGAAAACTATGGCACATTTGCCGATATCAAATTACTAGGCGATCTTTGTCCTCGAACTCAACAATTGACTGTTGTTTTGAGTAACTCGAATGCTTCTAGTTGTGCATCATTATTGACATTTCTATTAGAAGAGCAAAAGTCTAATACTCGTCGTCTGTGTTCATTGTGGCTTATGAATGTCAGTAGTCGGTTCAATCGTATATTACGTTCAATGGTATTGTCACCTGGTATTTCTGTCGAATCTACTAATGACAGCATTTATTACTGGTGGTAGTTTTTTTTTAAATAAAATTCAGTCATTGATCATGCTGGAACATATTTTAATGCGTCTTATAAAGACGGTCGATCATGATGTCTCACTTTCGTATTCTATCGTCAAGGTTTAAACAATGGTCGAACTTAAAATTCATCTGTCGTTTATATTAAATCGCATGAGAATATTTATCAATAGTATTTGTAAAACTAATATGAATTTCAATTGTATTGTAGCGATATGCACGTAGTAAACTTTGCCATTAAATCTTTCCTTTTTTTCATATCGCTTATCATTGATTAAATGAGAAGTTCGACAGAATACTTTTCCATATTACAATGTGACGATTGTCGATGAAAGTACGTGTTTATTTATCTGTTTCTTTCGGTCCGAAATCGTGTCGCTTTATGATAAGAAAAGAAAATGTTTGAGATC